AAGAAAAGAAAAGAGAAAGAAGAAAAATCTGGCCATGCCTTCCAGCACAGTTAGCTTTTCTAGCTATGTCCTGGAATTTTCAGCAGCTGGACTCCAGAGACAGCACCGTGTCAGAGGAGAAATAATGGAGCTGTGTTCTCATCACATCTATTCTGTCTTTAGTATAACTGGAAGAAAATGCCACAAGGGGGTTGTATAAGGACTTTTATACAGTATACAGCACCAGGGTTTTGGGTTCAAGCAACTGTGTGTACTATAAAGTTAGTCAGACCCTTCTAGGCTGAGGCTGCTCTGTCGTTGTCTTATTTAAGAGAACAAGTTAAGGCATGTGGGCAACCTGGTTAACTTAGAGTAGAGATCCTAACCCAATTGTAGAAGAGGAGCCTCACAAACTAGCTGGAAAATCCACCTAGCTTTATTCCCGTGAGAGCAACAAAGATTAGTACGGCATGTGGAATATTCCAGAAACAAATATTTCATTTAATAGTTATTTGTCCAATGTCTCCTATAGGTTCTGCAGAGAGCACTATGTTAATATTAGACAATGACTGGTTTAGTTTTTTATTCTGCTCATCACATTACTGCCACCACCCTTTTACTAAGAGGCCAGTACTATCTTGTGATTGGCTAAGAATAGATATATGAGTTGCCTGGAACTTACTTTAGCCAACTATTCTTTTCTCCTGTCACTCACAGTATTCAGTAATGTCCAGTGGTGGCTAATCTGGGCCCCTGTTTTCTGATGATGTATCTCTCTTCTTATAAAGGAGCCAGCTAAATGGCAACATGCTAGCCCAGCATCATTTCAGCAGTCAAAGCAATACTGCTACCAGAGATGGTTAGCAGGGGTTTGGACCTCAGATTAATTTCTGTAATACTGTTAACCTCTTTGTGGGGGGGCAGATTTTCTTGGGAGAAAGTGAATGATCTTTTTTTCAAGAAGGTATTTGACACTATTGTTCAAGAATAAGCACTGGGTTTATAAAAAGAAAAAGAAGAAATACAGAGTTGTGGTCTTTTACTAGTATAAAGACAGGCATAGAGTTAGGAACCTCCGTAGGCAGGGTTGAGGTAGGAAGCAGCAGGTCCAGCAGGGGTAGTAATTTCATGGTTGCTGTGCATATTTCTATGCTGTTTAACATTTTATGTCAATGAAAAAGCTGAAATAGATTTTCTAAAATAAAAGCTAAAAGATTTGTAATGTTACTGTTATATAAACAGTCACCACCAAAAAGCCTTTGCATCCAGGTGGCTGTAGGAACCAAAGGCAAGTGGAATTTTGTGATTCTCTAGGTCTGTAGTTCTCTGTAGGTGCCTGTTTGTATTCTTGAGGGACTTACGGCCAGTGAGAGAGAGACCAGATGTAATCACTATATTGCAGGAACATGGGTAAAGCGTGCTCCACTTGTCCAGTCGGGAGCTTCAGAAAAGTTCACAGAGGTCTTCAAAGAAGTGAGTTGATTGTCCTCAAGGTAGCTCAGGGAGTTGCTGCCAAACCTGACAACCTAAGTTCCAGTCCTGGAACCCATATGATAGAAAGACCCACCTCCCTCTAATTGTCCTTTGGCTTCCACTTGCTTACCATAGCATGTGTACACACAGAATAAGTAAATGTAAATAATAAATTTCCTTTCCTTGAGAAATTGGAGGAAGGGAAGGTCTTGGGCTACTGAGGACTTAGGCACAATCATTTCTACTTTCCAGGATTTGGTTAGGTGAGTGATTCTCCTCTTAATTGATAGAATGTACTGTTTTTGATTCTTTGTTTCTGTCACCTGCTGCCACCACTCCTACTTAGTAAAGTAAACATCCTGACAGGAATTTGAAAAGGCAGTCCCTTCAGAACAGAGCAATTTGCCTTGTTAAAATAGTTTTCTGTGAACTTTCTTAAAAACAGACTTTAGAAAAATAGATTTAATTTCAAAGACTTTCCCAACTCCTGTCTTTCAGTGCCCGAAGTGACGAAACCAAGTTTAAGCCAACCAACGGCCGCCAGCCCAATTGGCAGCTCTCCATCGCCACCAGTCAATGGTGGCAACAATGCCAAAAGGGTGGCAGTGCCGAACGGACAACCGCCAAGCGCCGCCCGCTACATGCCTCGGGAGGTGCCGCCGCGATTCCGTTGCCAGCAGGACCACAAAGTGTTACTAAAACGTGGGCAGCCCCCTCCACCGTCCTGCATGCTCCTCGGGGGTGGAGCAGGGCCTCCTCCCTGCACAGCACCTGGAGCAAGCCCAAACAACGCACAAGTGACAGGAACGCTGCTGCAGAACGAAAGTGGGACTGCACCAGGTAAGATGGACACTGGGGCCAGCTTCAGAGAGAGGGAAAGCATTTTCTGTGCTTATTTCCTGATAGCAATTCCGTGAAAGTCATTGTTGATACAGATTGTATTATGCAAAAGATGGGAGAGGATCCCAGCATAAAATGTGCACGAACACAACATAAATTGGGTTGTGGTGTCTTGGCATGAAAGAATAAGATCATGCTTTATCTCCTAGGGTCTGTAGTTCCCCAGCTATGTTCAGGAAGTGAGACTTACATGGGACTTCTTCTAAATATTCCAGAATGATCACGTAGGTTGTTGTATAGAATCTGGAGAGAACACCAGATATACAGTTACATAGTTTTTAAGTAGTATTTTTTTTTCCTGTTAAAACAGTGTTTAATTTTAGAACTCTGGATTTTGAGCTTTGTTAAGACTGTAATATTGATGTGAGAGATCTTTCCTTCAAGAGTTCCATTAGAAGTTTTAAGGATCTCTGATATAGCCCAGGTTGGTACCAGACTCATGATCCTCCTGCCTCAGCTTCATTAGAACGTGTTCCACCAAGAGTTTTTAATAAATATTGTGTCAATAAATAGTAAAGCGTTTCCAGTCCCTTTTTAAAAAAATTAATGTGTCTTTTTAGATTATATTAAAATTTAGTGTTTGAGCTAGAGAGAGAGAACACAACAGGTAAAGATGGTTACCACCAAACTCAGTAGCCTGAGTTCCATCTTGAGGCTCTACCCACATAGTGAAAAGAACTGACTCCCAAAGACTGTCCTCTGACCTCCATATGTGCATCTTAGCACACATACAAATAAGTAAATAAAGGTAACTTTAAAAACAAATTTTGAAGAAAAAAACCCTAAACTTTGAATATTATTAAGCATAGGCAAGACCAGCACAGTCTCAAGGTGTTAAGATTCTGTGCGTCCTCATTTTAGTATATTTGTGTATATGATGATTATAATTATAAATAATTAAAATTATATATACACATATAAATAATTAAAATTTTATATACATATACACAGATGCACACACAGACTTATACACACACAACACAGTGACAGGTTTTCTCTGTAGCCTTAGCTGTCCTAAAATTTACTTTGTAGACCAAGCCGACCTCAAACTCAGAGATCCACCTGCCTCTGCCTCCCGAGTGCTAGGATAAAAGGTGTGCAATACTGCCACTGGGCTAAAATGTTTTAGGTAGTGTTATTTTTAGTTCATAGTAATTGAAAACTGCTTGGTTAATGGAAAAATTAGTTTAGAAAAAAATTCATTGTAAGCATTATTTCCCCCCACCCTACTAAATATGGTACATTCTACTGAAATATGAGCTGAGCAGTAATCTGATCCATCAGATTACTCTCCTTGGGAGTCTAAACCTGTCCTGTATCTCAACGGCTAGCTTGGGGACAGTCGTCATTCAGCAGAGGCTTATAGAGCAGAACACACAGGCCACACTGTATAGAATTTCCACGTTAGCAACATAGGCTTTCATGGAAACACTAGTGTAGGAAAGCAAAGATGTAAACAGAGGGTTACCACACTGAGGAAAATGTCCCTTGCTGAAGAAAGATGATTTTTCAGTTGGCAAGCTTGGGAAGGAGCTCCACAGATGGAGTGGCACTTGAAGAATATCCATAAAGATGAATTAGTCTCACTGTACAGATCTGGGAGGAGAAAACAGTAGGTCCAGCTTAGAGTGGTGCTGGGGTCAGAGGTGTGTTTATGCACTGTTGGCATCTTTGTGGGATGTTGTAAAGGATATAACCAGTAGGACTGATTGGCCTTAAAACATCTATCTTGGTGAAGCCATCTGAGGGGTTTTACTTTTCTGTGTATTAAGTAATTGTTCAAAGCTCTCAGAGAGCACTGAGAGAACCAAAAGGGTGTTTTAGAAAACCACTCCAGCCACAAGTGTTAGAACAGATTGAAGAAATACAGCACGCTTAAGGTCTGTCGCATTTTCTTAGGATACAAGAAGGTCCTTCTGTGTTAGCAGAAGTGGCAAGTAGGTAACTTTGAGAGGTGGTATGGACTAGTACATACAGCAATAGCCAGTAACAGGAAACTCCAGTATATTCTCATAGCTCAGCGCAGAAAGACCCAGTGATCTGAGTTCCGTTCCTAGAACATGGTAAAAGGAGAAAACCAATCCCAACTTATTTGTCCTCTGACTTCCACACTGGCACCATGCCATGTTTACATATTATGCACACACCCATACTTTGATAAAAAGGTGACTCTAGATACTGTGTTAAAATCATATAGGAAGACTGACCAGGTGAACAAGCCAGTCTAGGAAAGATGCAGGGAGCTCTCTTGGGGTATTGATGGTGATGTATGTACAGCTTATGGATGACAGATGATCTCTTTCCCAGAGTCAACCCTTGGAGGTGCTGCTGCTTCAAATTATGCAAATTCCACTTGGGGTCCGGGAGCCTCCTCCAACAACGGCACCTCCCCCAACCCAATTCACATCTGGGACAAGGTGATTGTAGACGGGTCTGACATGGAAGAGTGGCCTTGCATTGCCAGCAAAGACACTGAATCTTCTTCCGAAAACACCACCGATAACAACAGTGCCTCGAACCCTGGCTCTGAGAAGAGTGCTCTGCCAGGAAGCACCACTAGTAACAAAGGCAAAGGGAGCCAGTGCCAGTCTACAAGTTCTGGGAACGAATGTAATCTTGGGGTCTGGAAGTCTGACCCTAAGGCTAAATCTGTTCAATCTTCCAACTCTACTTCAGACAGCAACAATGGACTAGGAAACTGGAGGAATGTGAGTGGTCAAGATAGAATTGGACCTGGCTCTGGCTTCAGCAACTTTAACCCAAATAGCAACCCATCTGCCTGGCCAGCATTGGTCCAAGAAGGAACTTCTAGGAAAGGGACGTTGGAAGCAGAAAATAGTAATTCCGGTGCACAAGTGAGCACAGTAGGTCAGGCATCCAGGGAACAGCAGTCAAAGATGGAAAATGCGGGTGTTAATTTTGTTGTCTCTGGCAGAGAACAGGCTCAAATTCATAACACTGATGGACCAAAAAATGGAAACACTAACTCCTTGAACTTAAGTTCACCAAACCCCATGGAAAATAAGGGAATGCCCTTTGGGATGGGCTTGGGGAACACCTCCAGGAGCACTGATGCCCCTTCACAAAGCACTGGAGATCGAAAGACTGGGAGTGTTGGGTCTTGGGGTGCAGCTAGGGGGCCTTCTGGAACTGACACAGTCTCTGGACAAAGCAATTCTGGAAATAATGGGAACAATGGAAAAGACAGAGAGGACTCCTGGAAAGGAGCTTCTGTTCCAAAATCAACTGGGTCAAAAAATGACTCTTGGGACAACAATAACAGGTCTACGGGTGGGTCCTGGAACTTTGGCCCTCAGGACTCTAATGACAACAAATGGGGTGAAGGGAACAAAATGACATCTGGGGTCTCTCAGGGAGAATGGAAACAGCCGACTGGGTCTGAAGAGTTGAAAATTGGAGAATGGAGTGGTCCAAACCAACCAAATTCTAGCACTGGAGCATGGGACAATCAAAAGGGCCACCCCCTCCCTGAAAACCAAGGCAATGCCCAGGCTCCCTGTTGGGGAAGGTCTTCCAGCTCCGCAGGAAGTGAAGTTGGAGGTCAAAGCACTGGAAGCAACCACAAAGCAGGAAGTAGCGACAGTCATAATTCTGGTCGTCGGTCATACAGGCCCACACATCCTGATTGCCAGGCTGTCTTGCAGACTCTTTTGAGCCGAACTGATTTGGACCCTAGGGTGCTCTCAAACACTGGCTGGGGCCAAACTCAAATCAAGCAGGACACAGTGTGGGATATTGAAGAGGTGCCAAGGCCTGAGGGGAAATCTGACAAAGGAACTGAGGGGTGGGAGAGCGCTGCCACACAGACCAAGAACTCAGGGGGCTGGGGAGATGCACCCAGCCAAAGCAATCAAATGAAGTCTGGATGGGGGGAGCTCTCAGCCTCGACCGAGTGGAAGGACCCCAAGAGCACAGGAAGCTGGAATGACTATAAGAACAACAACTCTTCTAACTGGGGAGGAGGACGAGCAGATGAAAAGACACCTTCCTCTTGGAATGAGAGTTCCTGCAAGGATCAGGGGTGGGGAGGTGGGCGTCAGCCCAACCAAGGATGGACTTCTGGGAAGAATGGTTGGGGCGAGGAGGTTGATCAAGTGAAGAATAACAATTGGGAAAGTTCTACAAGTAAACCTGTGCCTGGGTGGGGTGAAGGAGGGCAGAATGAAATTGGAACTTGGGGTAATGGTGGGAATGCAAACCTAGCTTCAAAAGGTGGGTGGGAAGATTGCAAAAGATCGCCTGCGTGGAATGAAACAGGCAGACAGCCCAATTCCTGGAGTAAACAACACCAACAGCAGCAGCAGCAGCCTCCGCCACCACCACAACCAGAGGCTTCTGGTTCATGGGGAGGCCCACCCCCACCACCTTCAGGCAGTGTTCGACCTTCTAATTCCAACTGGAGCAGTGGGCCCCAGCCTGCAACCCCTAAGGATGATGAACCCAGTGGTTGGGAGGAGCCATCCCCGCAGTCAATTAGTCGAAAAATGGACATCGATGATGGCACTTCAGCTTGGGGAGACCCTAACAGCTATAACTACAAGAATGTGAACCTATGGGATAAGAATTCCCAAGGGGGCCCACCGCCTCGAGAACCAAACTTGCCTACCCCAATGACCGGAAAATCAGCATCAGGTAGGCACCCACTCTTTTCTCAAAGGTTTTAGTAAAGAAAAGAAATCCTAGTCCACTATCTGTTAAGGTACATCTATTTAACTTACTCTGAGGATTATTCCTTCAGTTCCAGCTTTGTTGTTCTGAGACTCTTTCTGTAGGGCACTAGAGATGGCATCTGCTCTAGTACATTACAGTGGTCTTTCTTGGTACAAGAAAAAGATAGCAATTATTATTGGTTTTTTTTCTGACAGGGTTTTCTGTGTAGCCCTGGCTGTCCGGGAACTAGCCTATAGACCAGGCTGGCATCAAACTCACAGAGATACGCCTGCCTCTGCCTCATAAGTGCTGGGATTAAAAGCTTATGCCACCACTACCTGGCTAAGTCCCCATTTAAGAACTAATGAAGAAAGTTACCTTATTTCTTTCCTTCCTGACTGTACTTGAACCCACCCTGTGTGCTTCTTTTCCCCCAGCAAAGGAGAGTACTGTGTGGTGTTCTCCCAGGAGCCTTCACAATGCTGTATCACAGCTGGTATCTGGACAGCTGGAGTCTCCAAATTTATTAATTTTTATGGTGCTGGGGCTCAGAACCTGATATTTGTGCATCCTAAGCAAGCACTCTATCCTAAGTGAAATTCTCACTTCCTTCCAGGTGACTTAATGGTTGGCTGTAATATACTTAAAAGATGATCTCAGGACAATCAGATATTAAACTGTTCCAACAACTCTTAATTCTGTTCTCAGTTTGGCCTGAATATCACTTTAAAAAACTTACCAATTTAGAAAATGCACCTTGTTTGTTTTTGTTTTTAGTTAAAATCAACCATGTTTAGTTTCCCAGTATTCAAAGTAAACCTAGTTTTTAAGTAAATGTCATTAGTAACACTAATTACCATTCAAAGTGACTGCTTTTAACTAGCTCTTTTTTAAGAATTAAAAATGAGGACAGAAATAAAAGATTACTCTTTAACTTTTTCTCTAGAATCACACTTGCTGTACAGAAAAGCAAAAGACACCATAAATGAGAGACTCTTAGCCTCTTGGGTTTCTCACTGTAATCTCTTAGAATTTCTTTCATTCATAAATCTTGCTCTTAACTATTACAAATATACCTAAGCTTTAATTTTTTTTAAACAGGGAAGGAATTACATCTCTGTAGTATTCATCTTTTTTTTGTTTTTTTTTTTGTTTTTTGTTTGTTTGTTTTTGTTTTTTATGTGGGCTTTTTGAAGGGAAGAGGCAGGAATCCTGAGATTGGATCCTGGGTAGGCAGGCAATATTCCTGTAGCTATGTCCTATATAAAGCAATACAGTTCTTTCTCTTAATTGCTTTATATGTAGTGCTCATTTTATGAGCCCAGTATTTGTCTAACCTGTCCCCTCTGGTAGATATTTTAGTACCATACTACCCACATTTGATATAACCTATCTCCTTCTAATATTTAAATTGCTTCCATTTTTTTTCTAGAGTTAATACAGTGAGCATTGTTGTACATGTAATTTCATCACTTTAGTACATATATCTAGGGCAAATTTTTCTGGCAGTGGAGTTACTGGGTCAGGAGTCATTTATATTAGACCTTTGAAAAAAGTGACTTTGCCAGATGCCCTCCATTAAGTTTGAATTTATCTCTGCCAAGAGATACTCACTTCACCTCCACTGGATTTAAGTATTCAATGGATACTTAGAGACACACATTTTTTTTTTTCAGTCTGGAGCAAAAGCACACCACCAGCTCCAGATAACGGGACTTCAGCCTGGGGTGAGCCAAATGAAAGCAGTCCTGGGTGGGGTGAGATGGATGATGCAGGAGCATCGACCACAGGCTGGGGAAACACACCTGCCAGCGCTCCCAATGCCATGAAACCCAGTAAGTAATTTGAGGAATTCCTTATTAATTAGGAAATAAGGCATTTTGGTGAGGGCTGTTTTATTTCAAGTGCTGAGTCAATGCAATTCATAACCTGTAATATTAAATAGCAAATAGTGAACGTTGCTGGCATGTGTTCAGATGTTTACAGTGAGCTAAAAGTCATTTATGTTGTTGACTTAAAAGCAAATGAATGGCCAGGCATAATGGTACACACCTTTAATGCCTTTAATGCTAGCATTCAGAAGGCAGAAGCAGATTGGTTTCTGTGAGTGAGTTCAAGCCCAACCTGGTCTACATTGTGAGTCCCAGGACAGCAGGGCTCATGGTGAGACCCTGTCTCAAAAAATAAAATATAACACAATAAAAACAAATGCAGGCTCTTCAAGCACTTGTCCTCATGTGTAATTAAGTTTGTTCCCTAAACCCACATTGTAGAAGAAGAGACCAACTTAAACAAGTTGTTCTTTGACAACATCTTTATGCACATGACCCACAAACAGTAAATGAATGTAAGGAAAAAGAAACAGGATGGATTTAGTATCTAGAACTATAATTTGAATATTGTGTATTTTTACCCAGAAAGTAAATATGGTCATTGTAACTACTTTGTTTCTCCTCCTTTTTTTTTTCATATAATTAAGACATGATTTATCAGTCATCTGCTTACATAGGAGAATTTTAGGTGGGGAGATTGGTTGGTTTGTTGGTTTTTATGTTTGGTTGGTTGTATTGGATTTTTTTTTTTAATCTGACAAAAATGTCTTCAGGTTTTTAAATGAAAAATAAGCTACACTTGATGTAACTGGCAATTTGTAGTCACTGTAATCTGCAAGCTGTTCTTTGATTAAATTGAGAATTTAGTATCAGGTGCACATTCTACTTTACTGTAACTTTCTTAAACATGTTACAGCCAGGCAGTGGTGGCACATGCATTAATCATAGCCCTCAGGAGACAGAGAAAGGAGGATCTCTGTGAGTTCGGGACCAGCCTGGTCTACAAAGAATTCAAGGACAGCCAGGCTACAGAGAGAAACCTTGTCTCAAATGAAAAACAAAACAAAAGACAAAAGTTCAGTATTAGTTCTGATCAAATAAACATGTAACAACATCTCTTTCCTACGGTATAACAGGCTTAAAGGTTAAGGTTTTTTGTTTAAATACTGTAATTTTATGGAATGCTCAAGGTAAGAAAAAGGATAAGTATATCCATGATACCGAGGATTCTGTGAGGAATATATTAGATTTAATCTAGAATTCACAACCCTGCCTATGGGACTTTGTTATATTTTAAAAGTCTACTCCACTTCATAGACTTCTGGAGTTTTCTGAAGACCTTGTTCTCAGATTTCCATTGTGAAGTCAGTTTTGTTATCATGGGAAATAGGATCTAGTTAACTTGAAATAGATCCAGATTGCTTACGAGGCCTGACACAGATTGTTTAGCAGGAATGAAGGATTTTTATGGGCCTTTCTCAGCTTAAGAATCACTATCCTCTACCACAAATCTGTCATTTTCCCTCCTGTGTTCTGTAATATGTTCTGTTGGCAGGATCATTTGTAGCTCATGTCCTTTTTTTGGATGGCTTGAATGTCTAATGCTCAGAGGAAGGAGTAAATCATTCAGCTGACACTGGCAAGGTGTGATCTTCCACAGCCAAAAATCCCTTATACTTGGTACTGAGTCCCATAATTAAGAATCAGATGCTTAGCCAGATGGTGGTGGCAAACGCCTGTAATCCCAGCACTTGGGAGGCAGAAGCAAGTGGATTCTCTACTTTTAAAAAAACATTGAGCCGGGCTGTGGTGACTCAGGCCTGGTCTACAGAGCTAGTGCCAGGACAGACTCCAAAGCTACACAGATAAACCCTGTTTCGAAAAAGAAAAAAAACGATTAAAAATCATTGCGATTCCAGGGAACAAATCAGATTGCCAGCCTTAGTAGCAAGCACCTTTACGACTGACCCTGCTTTTTATATATTTATATATGTTTTTTTAAGTTGTTGTTTTGTTGTACAAGGTCTCCCTGTGTAGCTCAGCCTAGCCTGGAACTTAGAGCTCCCAAGTGCTGGAATTAAAGGTGTTATGTCCACATTGCCTCCCAGTCCCTTTTTTTGTTGTTGTTTTTTGTTGTTGTTTTGTTTTTTGCTTTTGTTTGTTTGTTTGTTTGTTTGAGACAGGGTTTCTCTGTTTTGCTTTGGAGCCAGTCCTGGACCTAGCTCTTGTAGACCAGGCTGGCCTCGAACTCACAGAGATCCGCCTGCCTCTCCCTCGCCAGTGCTGGGATTAAAGGCATGCGCCACCATCGCCTGGCCCCAGTCCCTTTTTTTATGCAAAACATTTGTTAAATGTTCCCCTCTTTTCTGAAAGAATCGATCACTTGGCTTCCCATTTTCTTAACTTTTATTATTTATTTATTTGTATGAGTGTTTTGCCTACATGTATATATGTGCTGCACAGCATGCAGTGCCCTCAGAGGCATTGTGTTCCCTAGGACTGGAGTTTATAGACAGCTGTGAACTAGGAATTGAACATGGGTCTGCTGAAATAGCAGTCAGTGCCATCTCTCACAACCCATTTTTATAAAGAGATCATCAATATGCTATATATATTTGGTTTTAAATTCCTATTGCTTATCAGTAGGTGATATAAATCCTAAGTTTAATGTGTGTGTGTGTGTGTGTTATAAAATTGTAACCCCTTATACCATCTGACTGTCAATACTTTGAATAACAGTCCTACCAATTGCTCTTCCACCAGAAGGTCACTTTGTGTGGCTAGGATGAACTCCATGAGAGAGTTATAACATTCACTTGGACCTGCTTTAGCATGGCATGCCACAGTTATAAGAGCCAGCGCCATGTGCTTTGCAAGTGGGAACTTGACTCTGATAGGCCTGGTCTCAAGGATAGCAGCTATCTCTGGAAAAAGTACAAAAAAAAGGAGCCATTTCCCAACTCCCTACTTCACTTGAAGAAGGCAAATCCAGTTCTATACAGTAGTTTTGGAGGGAAATGAATGTTTTCTTACAAGCTTCATATTAACAATATTTGGTTAATTAACAATTAACAAAAAAGGGTATGGTAGTAGAACAGACTGGAGACTGGTGTCCAGTGCCCTCCTCTCTGGCTATCCCATCTTTTTTTTTTCTCCTCCCGTTCTGTCTTCTACATTTTCTCATTTCTAACTGAAGCCACATCTAGGATCCTCCTTGGCTAATGCATTTCAGTTACAGTTATGAACCTAATAAGCTGTAAGTTTTCATGGCCTTGTGTTTTTTATTCCCATTCTTATTTTGGCCTCATCCCAAACAAGGTAGACAACTGTTTATTTGGCCATGCCTATTTGAAATGCCTATGTTTGGTAGTGTAAAACAAAGAAGTACTAGACTTCCGCAGCCATGCTCATTAAGAGAGACCAGTTTCTTCTCAGTGAGGTGTGAAATTCATATTCATGTTCACTCTCTACACACACACACCTTCTGCTGATTTGTTTAGGATAGTGTCTGAAGTAGTTCATGTTGTCCTCAAACTCCTGGTAATCTTCCTGCCTCAGCTACCCAAGTGGTGGGGTTGCAAGTATGCACCACCTCCCAGTTCTGAAATTTCTTATAATAGTGATGAGTTCTTTTTAGTTTTGAAATTACCGTCTCCCTGGTTTCAGGAAGATCCATAGAAGTAGTCAAAAGATCTAAGGTTTGTTGTCTGCTTTCTTTAAGTATAATGCATTTGTCTTACCATGTAGATAGAGCAGACAGTGCTGCATTGCAAGGAATGGCTCTAGTTTTGTCACATGTACTTACTTCAAAGAATTGACTCACTCTTTCCTTAAGATTCCAAATCTATGCAAGACGGCTGGGGTGAGAGTGATGGTCCGGTCACAGGAACTCGCCATCCTAGCTGGGAAGAGGAGGATGACGGAGGAGTCTGGAACACCGCCGGCTCTCAGGGAAGCACTTCCTCCCACAACTCAGCAAGCTGGGGACAAGGAGGAAAGAAACAAATGAAGGTAGTGCTTCAGAAATGCTTCAGCTTGCTTATTCATTCCTAGAATTGTTGATGGAGGGTACGAGGCAGTTGGAGTCACTGAGATCCTAAAGAAAGGGGAAAGTATTTCTTTATAAATTAATAACTACTTCCCTGGTGTCCCTCACCTTCCTATCCCATGGCCTTGAAATCTTGAACTATAGAGTTGGCACTGTGGGTAAAATAAACTTTGTAAGGTAAAGGTAATTGAGTTTTGGTTTCCATGTTATAATTTAAGTTCCTGAGGCTGCTTTAAAAATGTTTTGTGCTTTTACAATTAACGACAAAGAAGTCCTATGGGTAAATCTCCTTGAAAATGTAGAAAAGACACCAAAGGAAGATATAATAATGGCTTTCCCATGGTGATCAGTGGGTCTTGATTTTACCTGATTCATCCCAAGGCCCAGAACCTTTCTTTCAGTAAAATGTAAGCCAGCCCAATTTTTAGCACTGCCATAACTAAATGCGTTCCTCATATTCTGTGCCTTCCAAACACCTCACTTTCCATATAACAACCAGTTTTCCTCTTGTATTATCATGATTTTATTATTATCTTACAGTCCTGGCAATGGAGCCCAGAGACCTGCTAGTGCTAGGCAAGCACTCAGCTGTTGCTTTTGTATAGGACACTGGTATTGCAGATGCAGCCATGATCTTTGCACCTGAGCCACTCTCTTGATAGATACCTCTTTTCACTGTAACCTTCTCTTTTATACACACACACACACTAGAAATAAGGAACACACACCCATATGCTTAATTTCACCCTGAAACCCCTTGCTACCCTGTGACTATGCTTCCTAGTCAATATCCTCTTGGGCTTCAGATCCTCATACTCCCTTCTGGTAGCCTTCACCCCTTGGACTGAAGCTGGGGATTTCAGTACCCTAACTTTCTTCTGTAGCATGGAGCAGTTGGTTTCTGTTGGAGACATTGGTTGAAGCAGTTCTTCCTGGGTTTCCCTTTACTTTCCTTACTCTAGTCACTAAAGAATTTGCACTATGCTGCTCAGCATCTTGGTACTCTCCTGTTGTCTGGTCTGCCTTGTCAGTCTTCTTACAAATTAACAGTGGATCCAGACTGAGTGAAAGATCCTGATTAAATCCTCCCACTCAGGTGGCAACCAAGATTTACTTGGGAATTGAATGTTTCGGCTCTGATGCCAGTGATTCTTACTAAGGATAGTTTTTAAGTGTCATAAAATAAACATAATGTAAAATTGTCATCTTAACCATTTTTAAGTATGCAGTTCAGTGACATTAAGTCAATTCTCACAGAATTGTTTCCTTCTTAAAGCTGAAATCTCTGCACTTGTAAATTCACTGCCTCCTTCCTTCAGAGGGATTTTTTTTTTAAGAAAAATATCTTGGCTAAATATAAGTATCTCATTACTTTAAAAATATATAGCTTGAACCCGATGTGGTGGCACTTATCTGTAATCAAAGCCCCTGAAGACAGATGCTGTAGTTCAAGGTTATCCTAGGTTACATAGTGAGTTTAAGGACATCCTGTTTCAAATAACAGCAACAATAATACACATTATGATAATATACATAGCACATGTTTTACCTATAGAATGCACAGCTACACAAAGCCTAAACCCCATCCCACAAATCCCTGCCTTCACAGGGGTGGGAATGGAGCAGATGGAGAAACCAGAGCATCCTAAGAGTCATATAGACTTACCATGCCTTCCATTATGCCTGGAGCTCAAGGACAGTGTCTTTGTCCAGGCCTCTTTCCCACTAAGAACCTGTGACCCTTATTATACTGTGAACGAGATAAAGAACTCCCTAGAACTTCCACACGGAGAGTGATATTCAGCTGAAACAGACTTTCAAACAGCATTCACCAGTAGTAGTTTTTTCCACAATAGAGTCCTGCTGGGGTTTACAAGAGAGCATCTTCCTGGAAGTGGCCATGGTGGCATGCAGAGGTTAACATTGTACACAGTTTGATGCTGACTCTTTCCATGTAAAGAATAAACTTCGTTTTCCAGTTCATTGATGAGTAGGAGTACAAGCTGAACTGAAAAGTAAAATGGCTGAACCTAGAGTTTATTAACCATTACAGTAACAGGTAAGATATCAAAATGACAAGCATTAGGTTCAGAAAGGTTGACTCTTGGCTCTGCATTTTCAGTGTAGGTGTATCTTGGGAGGCTGTGATAAGCTCTATGACTGAGATTACGTTTTCATTCCTGTAGTGCTCGCTAAAAGGAGGAAACAATGATTCCTGGATGAATCCTCTTGCCAAACAGTTTTCAAATATGGGACTGCTGGTAAGTTTCATTTTTCTCATGTGTAAACATATACCAAATTTCAGGCTTAGTATAAATTTAAGGACCACTACAAAATTACAGATTTAAATACGGGGTAAGCAATTTAATATTATTCTCTATTTTATTAAGTAATTATATGACAACATTAAAAGTGAATTGTCTTTGTGTCCTTTTCCTTGGAAAGGTAGGGATAAAGAAGACACTTAAATGACATTTGTACCAGTCTTTGCATCCTTGTTTCCAAAAAGAAAACTGCCAGAGAAACTCTGCTAGGGTTCACTATCTAAAGAATAATTCTTGCAGAATCTCTAATTTTCTTGTCTCTTGGGAACACTGTGGGGACATCCTGTCCTGGTTGCCAAAAGACAAATGATTTAGCATGGCTACACAGTTCAAGATTGATGGCTTGAGGGGCTGGAGAGATGGCTCAGAGGTTAAGAGCACCGACTGCTCTTCCAGAGGTCCTGAGTTCAATTCCCAGCAACCACATGGTAGCTCACGACCATCTGTAATGAGATCTGGTGCCCTCCTCTGGCCTGCAAGCATACATGGAAGGAATGTTGTATACATAATAAATAAATAAATCTTTAAGAAAAAAGACTGATGACTTGACAAGTCACAAGAAGAAGCTGTCATCATTTGGCTAGCACTTGCGGAATTTGGTCCTGTGTACTTAAGAATGAGTTGGTAAACTAGTCCTCTGTCCATAGTTGTACTGAGACTGATTGCATGTGGAATTAAATGCTAGACATTTAATTAAGCATGAATGGCCATCAGATTATGATAGCAGAAATATTACAGTCTTTTGCTCCAGTTTTAATATTTACTGCAGAAAGTCTTGTCTGGTGCTTGTGGTTAATATGGCTTTCACATGAAAAATGGCTCCTCTTCTCTGATTGATAATTGTTTCTCACTTTGTGTGCTTTGTTTTATTCAGAGTCAAACAGAAGATAACCCAAGCAGCAAAATGGATTTGTCTGTAGGTGTGTATCAGATCACAAATAGGATTCGGTTTGTAGTCACGGCTATGATAGGCCCTTAGGCTCTCCTGCCCTGCTTGAGTTCAGGCAACCAGATGGATAGATATTTACTGAACGCTTAACTCTATATAAGATTTCATGCCAGACACAATATGAAGGTTGAAAATTCAGATAACTGGACAGCCAGGAAAGAATGTAAAGGAATGTTGTGTTCTAGGTGAACTGGTTAACTGTGAAGAAGGCCTATGTGCCTTAAAAGCCAACCTTGCTCTACCTGAAGCAATTGTTGCATAAAATCGAAACTTGACTGGACTATAACTTATTAGCATCCAGATTGTTTTTCACTGCTTTGGGTTTTGTTTGTTTTGTTCTTTTTCTCAGACAGGGTTTTTCTGTGTAGCTTTGGCTGTCCTGGAACTCCCTCTCTAGACCAGGCTGACCTTGAACTCAAGAAATCCACCTGCCTTTGCCTCCTGAGTGCTGGGATTAGAGGTATGTGCTATCACCACACGGCTCAGATTCTTTTTTAAGTACTGAAAACTAAATTCGGATTATTTTTAATATGTCTGTGGTACTGCTAGTCTAGACCCTTAAGTTGACTCTCTGTACCCCAGGGTTTCATCATTGACATACTTCTCCATTGTGACTGGAGCAAATGGAGGGACAGCCCTTCATCTGTAGAAATTTTCTCAGTAATGCTTTTGTTCACCCCAGGGAACATAAAAAAAGAGTCAAACTAAAAGTAAGAAAATAATCATGGATAGCAGTGATAAATAGTGTTTAAGTTGTGACCTGATGATGTCCTAGAACAGATCTCTAGGACTGAGAAAGAAAGGAGGAAACAGTGATTGCACATGCAGCCCTGACTGAGCAGACACTGTTGACATGATCCACTGTGTTAAATTCTTAAACTTTGAATTTTGGGGGAACAGGTGTGCCTCTATGATCTTTCTATTTCCTATAACTACTTCAAAACTCCTACTGTGTATTTCTAGCAGGTGCTAGCAAGCAAAACAGGCAGCTTTTTTCACTGAGAACACCTGGCTTCATGATTAAGATGTATTCATCCAACACATCAGTCGTGATCTGAATATTGTTTAGTCAGTTTTGCCTCAAGGCTCTTTTCCGGTCTTCCAAGGCAGACAAGTGTAGCAGGTTTATATTTAATTTCTAAAAGTGGACACGTATGTGCTCCAGGGGTAGAACAAGCCTTGAACAAGTGAGAATTCTGGTCTCATTCCAAAGAATAGAGAGAATTTGTCCCCAGGACCCCAAAGAACAAGTGGCCAGGTCACATGTGGCTCTCGTGGGAGACATTGATTCTCTTTATTTAAGTTCTTGTTTATGTCCTTTCAGATAAGAAATTTGATGTGGACAAACGAACAATGAATCTCGGGGATTTCAATGATATCATGAGGAAAGATCGACCTGGCTTCCGTCCACCTAATTCCAAAGACTTGGGCACTGCAGACAGTGGGCCTTACTTTGAGAAGGTGAGCTGCGTGCTTTGTTTAAGTTTATGAGAATTGCTATGTTCTTATTGTCTTCTGATAGCTAATTCTAGACAAAGCATAAGCTTACTGAACTCAGCAGGTAGAACATGAATATCACCTGCGCTAATGTGGTGACATGAAAATAGCTGATGTCAACAGGTGATTGGGCAGGAACGAGAGCCCTCTGTCCGTACTGTTTTTGTGACAAAGCTCTAAGTTTTGAGATATTCGTGGAGTTCCGAGGGAGGTTATGGACACTTAGAGATAAGCTTACTGTGCACTCTTGTTCCTGCTGCTGTGCCAGCGACAGATGAAATCTGGGCTTTGTACGAACACATGTATCTCCTATGAGCTTGGAGTCTTGTCTGGAAAAACTCTCCATCTTTCCCACTTCCCTAGTTGCTTGTTTTTAGGTAAATGGTATATTCTTCAAATTCTCACTCCTGATTGAAACAAGTAAGTTTTACTCACTTGTTCTGATTTTTAATATTTCAAATGAAATTATTCCTTGATTCAGAATATTGTTTTATAGTGTTCCTGGTCCCCTTAAGACATTTAAAACCAAAACATGGAGATCTAGGCCCATATTGTTGCCGGTCTAGGTGACATCGTATTCACAAGACGATTGCCTGACTTCTGCTTCAGGAGCCCTACCACCAGAGTAATCAGTAATAGACTCATAAAAATAAAGTAGCAACCCTTTTCCTGGTGCAGTGGGCCGACTGGGTTACTGACTTAGAGGAAGAGGAAGTCTCTGTGGAAGAGGATGACAGGTGATGTCTGCTGGGCAAAGTGCAATGGTTATTATCAGATCCAAATTTCATCCTGGGTTATTGCTAATCCACTCTACTTTGTTTATTCCTAGTGTGTCTCTCTTTCCCTTCTTGCATTCTGTTGCTTCACTAACCAACACTCATTGTGATTGGCTAACTCCTACTACCTTTCAGCTGACTTTGCCTTTCTCCAATCAAGATGGGTGCCTTGGGGATGAGGCTCCCTGCTCTCCCTTCTCCCCTTCTCCCAGCTACAAGCTGTCTCCCTCTGGTTCCACACTACCCAACGTCAGCCTTGGAGCAATCGGCACAGGGCTCAACCCCCAAAACTTCGCTGCTAGACAAGTAAGGAGGCCTCTCAGATTTGTAATTTTTTGGCTGTGGCCTCACCTTGGCCCTGGTCTTCAGTTTATTTCATCATTTGTCTGTCTTGGGAAACTTGTTGATTACTGAATGCACAGAATGATACTAAGTATAGGTTGTACATCTTCTAGCCCATAGAAACCATCTCTCTTCATGTTTCTCAACATGGATTTTACTTTAAATCTGTTTCTTTTATCTTTTTTATTTTTGGTTATAACTGGTTTAGGAAAATACGAATGAGATTCTATAGGGACCTTATATAATCTAGTGATATATAAGATACTTTTATATACTTTTTAATATTAGATTATATATTTGGCCAGAGAGGTGGCACAGCAGTTAAGAGCACTTGCTGTTCTTGTAGAGGATCTGGGTTTTGTTTCCAGCACCCATATGGCAACTCACAGCCTCCTATAATTTCTGTTCAGGGGATCAGATACCCTCTTTTAGCTTCTGCAGTTACCGTGCATGCACATGATACACGGACATTCATGCAGGCAGAATGCTCATACATAAAATAAAAGTAAATGTTTTAAAAGCCATTAGAAGATATAAGTACTATTCCTGGGGTAGCAAAATTAGTAAGAATAAGAGTAAATATTTGAGGGTTACAGTATCTTAAGAAAATCTAGGTTCTTGTGGCCATCTTAAACCACAGTACTCACATAGAGAAGGAGAGCCTTAGGAGTGAAACTTTGAAGAGTGGCTCTGCTCAAGCATTGGCAGTCACCAAAACTAGTCCCCCAGCAAGGGCCGCATAGTAGCTTCTGAGCTAACAGGGCCATCTGAGATGATGCGTTCTCACTCAAAGACCTGCAGGGCACGCAGCAAGGCTACCAGGGGCTCTTGTAGTTTTATGTTAAAAAAAAAAAACAGGAATCTGGGGCTACCAATGCTATTACAGCAGCAACTCCCAACAGTAGTATTTCCCCAACCAAAGTTCTGTGCCCCCACACTTGTCACTGTGCCTTTCACGTCAGGATGGAGCCCAAAAGCATGAATTATACAATGTGTGGTTCAGTCCATTCTGTTTCATGTGATGACTTTTACATGGGCATTAAAAGCAGGATCACTCACCATAGTCAAGTTGTGCACAGCCAGTCGTGCAGACGTAAAGGAGATTATGCTGTGCCCATGTATTCAGATTAGTTAGTTCTGGATTGGGGGACTCAGACTGTTTTTCTGTTTTCTTCCTTTAATTTCAGTGTTTTGCCTGTTTGTTTGTTTTATAGTTTCCTAAAGGGGAATGCTCTATATTGCTTACATGAACAGAGAAGAACAATGTTTTGAGAATTTTTATTTTATATTGAGATATAGAAAATATAAAATACAAAATGTGGTTTCGGGCTCACATAAGTATCTAATGCTACTAGTAGGTGAACTCAAGTTTAATAGACCAGCCACAAGCTTGGCATTAGACTTTTTAAAAAGGGAATTCCTTGTCTTGGGTGGATTACTGCAAAGTCTACCAGTATTGGGTTGGTGCATATGTCCTACCCAAATCCAGTTCTGTTTCAAACTGCTGTCATGCGGAGTTCATCACATTTACTTCATAATTAAAAGATAAAACTTAAGGCAGTCATGGTAACACACTTTTAATCCCAGTACTTGGGAGGCCAAGGTGGAAGGATCAGGAGGCAGGAGTTTAAAGCCAGCTTGGACTACAGTGTAAGATTCTGTCTCTAATAATAATAAATAGTAATAATATTTTCCTGAATCACAGAGCATTTCACTCAATTTGCTGGTTTTATTTTTAATTTATATACCTTTCTGAAATAAGCCTTGGGTTGAGGCAAATAACTCCAATTAAGAAGACATAGAAATAGGTCATCCTAGAGCTTCCACGTATACCTGAAAAGCTTGAACAATAGTCAGATAAACCACCATTTGCATGTATACAGCCTTTGAATCACTGTCTTCTTAATTCCTAGATTTAATGTTTTTGAAGGCCACATATATTTGTCTTCAGCAAATCCCTGAAAATCAGCAAAACTGAGCCAAGAAAATGAGTTTAAGTGCCATAGTAAGATAGCAGCATTTTTATAGACTGCTATTGGCTTGCTTGTACCCACTTTAAAAACATTAGAATGTTGTGTGTGGCTTCAGACACCCTTCAGTATTGAAGCTTCTCAGAAAGCTGAGAATCTTCTTATAAAAGGAAAGACTGAAATTTAAGATGACTCTAGCTGGGCGCGATGACTCTCACCTTTAATCCCAGCACTGAGGAGACAGAAGCAGGTGGAGTTCCAGACCAGTCTGGTCTACTGAGTGAGTTCCAGGACAGCCAGGGCAACACAGAGAAACCCTGTCTTAAAAAGCCAAAACAAAACTAAACTAAAACTAAATGACTCTAAACTAGGTGCATTGATGTGAGTTAAACACCCTTGGGAAAATAAAGTTTGTGGTAGATCATTGATCTTTTTATGATATATTCAGATTTTAAATGCCATTTCTACTTTGTTTGTAATCATTTTTCATTTTAGTGCTTTTTAAGTTCATTTATTTGCCTGTAGCAGTCTCTTAATCTAATTTTGAATCATTAATGCCATCATGGTCTCTTTAGTGTTCCTGGAACTTAATGATGCTATTTAAATTCTTTAAGATTATCTTATCCCTATGTTAGACTGAAAGTAGCAACCTCAGTTTACAACATTATTAGCTGTCTTTTTCTCAAATACTCAGTGGGGTGTTCCCAAATGAATGATTGATGGGACATGGATATTTGCAAATGGTGTGTGCCTCCTATAGACTAAGGCTTTATGAAATTCTGAGAATGCCAAAAGGAAGGATTCAACTGGTAAAGAAAAAAACAAAACAGAAAACATAGACAGTGACTTTATCATGGTTTCAGTGAACATCATTAGAGAGCTTTAGTGTTTTGTTAGCATGGAAGGAAATTCAGTTACTTTGTTTGTGGAACAAGGAAGGAGGCTTTGCGGACAATACCCTTAATGGGTCCTTTAACTCAGGCCTTAAACAGACAAAAAGTGCATAATGTAGAGACTCTCAGGAGGCCAGTACTTTGGAGACAAAAACAGTTCAAGATCAGCCTGAACTGCTTAGTGAAACACTGTTGGGGTGGGGGAGCAGTCCTCAGGCAGCAAGTCATCAGATGCAGTTCCTTTCCTGAAAAAATTTTCCTTAGCTAGAAACAAATAAGAAAGGTAGGGTCCCGGGAGCCCAATTTCCTCTTGCTCTTGTTGGAAGATTAGAGATGAGCTCAGTGAAGTGTTTGCTTGGAAATCATGAAATTGGAGCTTTTTTTTTCTTTAGACTAGGCAATATTTATGTTTTTTAATAAGTTACAGGTGAGTAATGTTTATTCCCATGACCTGGAATGATATTCCATATATCTTTTTCTTCTTACGTCGATGTAAGATTGATTAGCATTTAGCATGTAGCAAAGAAAGCCAGCAGATTCAGGACAGGAACATGTGCTCAGAGCTAGAGCGGGGTCCCTGTGGATAGCTATGATTACTTACGCCAAATGATTGAGGGAAGTGATATCAGAGTGTTACTTTACAACTGATAGTTTGGTTATAGTGTATATTTTTACCCAGGTGCCTTTTAAGATGGGTCTCAGATTATGGAGTTTGAGAATTAAATTTGATAAACCCAGATTTTTGTGATGGCACACATCTGTAATCCCAACACTTAGGAGGCTCACCTTGACTACATAGTAAGACTTTGTCTCAAAAAAGCAGTCTTGAAGTTTTACACAGCCTGTTCCTTTTAGCCACAAAGAATGTAGTACTACTTCTAAATGTGACTAAATTTAACTCTTTCAGTTTATAGAATTTACCTGACCACCTGTGGTGAATGATGTGCCCGTGACTCAGTTTGAGTAACTTTCCCCCGGCATCCTAACATGAAGAGCCCTTCAGTTCTAAAGTGAATGCTGTCATTCCATGGACTAGAGATCTTGTTTCTCTAGGAATAGAAACTAGAACTAGAACTGCTGTTTGACTGTTTTCTTGAATCGATAGAAACATCCTGACTGGTACTGTTCCCTCTGCAGGGCGGCAGTCACGGTTTGTTTGGAAACAGCACAGCACAATCGAGAGGCCTGCACACTCCAGTGCAGCCACTGAGTTCTTCTCCTGGTCTCCGGGCGCAAGTGCCTCCCCAGTTTATCTCCCCCCAGGTAAGTTTTGTGTTCCCACCTTTTGGAGTTAGAGAGCATTCAGGTGGTGGCCCATTGTTACTTCCTGGTTGGTGAACATGAAAGGGAGAGTGGTTACAGTTGGCCATTTGGCAAATCCAGATGCCGAGTGCAAGGTTGTTAGAACATAGTATCAGCCCCCCTTTATAAATTACATCACACATACAAAGTAGGTGCTTTGCAACTGCTAACTGCCTAATACTGTATTAGTTTGGTTTGGTTTGTGTTTTTTTGTTCCTAATTAAAGAACAATTTATAAGTTCTAAGGTAACAGTATTCAGAAAGTTTGCTTGAAGATAAACAGAATTATAAGATTCTTCATTTTTCTATATAACTCTAAGGAGCTGTATGCTAAATACTGTCTTCCTACTCAGAGAGCCCTGAGCTGGTGAAGAGGCCAGTCTGATTGGACTGTACAGAGGCAGCAGTTGGTGTGATACATGTCATAGATGGTCAGCAAAGTTTGGAGGCGAGGGTGATGCTTCACTTGATTAAATGTTACTAGCATCACTAGCAGTGAAATTTAAGTATAAGTTCAAACCTTGAAGTATAAGTTCAAAATTCTAGGTTTAGCCACAAAAAAAAAAAAAAAAGATTTTCCAAGCCACAGAAGCCTCGTGGCAGTTCAATAATAGCTGGTAGTTGGTGTGTTAAGGAAAGGGAGTTGGTTTGAATGGTTGGTGTGAACAGTTAATAGAGATGGATGCATTCCTCAGTGGGATGGGGAGAAACTAGACAAGGGATTGGGGACAGAATGTGGCAAAGCTATGTTTGCACTACTCAGGAGTTTGGATCTTGTTCTGTAGGCCAGTCTTTGTCAGCTTGTTCATAACCAGGATCTGGGCTACTACTAAAGGTCTCCCTCACTCACTCCATTAAGACAGAATTCTTGGAATTTGGGGCCTGCTCCCCCTAGGTAGTTTTTGTTTTGTTTTGTTTTGTTTATTTTAGTATATATGCACTGTTTAAATATAATAAAAAAACAAATACACAGATTTTTGCTTGTGTGTGCATGCATGTGTACAGTGTTTATGGAGGCCAGAAAAGAGCATTAAATTCTCTGGAACTTGAGTAATAAACAGTTAGCCACGACCTATGTTCTGAGAACCAAACCCCAGGTATATGAGTCCATCTCTGTTATGTCCTATCTCCCCTCCCCCACTTGGCTGGTTGTTTTTGTGTGGTGGTGTTGCAGACAATGGAACGTTAAACATGGTTTTCCAGAGATGATAGGAAAGTGCATGGTCTGGGGATGACACTGGCAGTAAGACAGGGTGTGTTTACATATAGAGTTACCGGAACTGCAGGGAGCAGGGCTGGCACAAGGGCACAAGCAAAGTAGTGACAGTGGAAGCCAGACCACCTATCTTTATGTGGCCTATCCCTTCCTCCTCCTGAAACACTGAGATCACTTTTCTCTCAAGCACCTTAACGATGGGTCTCTGCCTCTCCTTCACCTCCCAATACTGCATCATCATACTGTCTTGGTGCTTGATTCTCAAACTTCTCATTATAACTGAAGGTTTCTCTTTCCATCTGGTCCTGCAGCCACTTTTAAAATAACCACTCAGAGGCTTAATAATAATTACAAACCATTTGGCCTATTCGCACAGGCTTCTTTCTGGTTAGCTCTTACATATAAATTAACCCATTTCTATTATTCTATATTTTACTACAAAATTTGTGGCTTGTTACCTCACATCTTGCTTCTCCAGCAACTGCCAGTATCTCCCAGACTCCACCTTCTTTATCCCTGTATCTCTGTTTAGATTTCCTGCCTAGCTATATTCTGTTCTGCCATAGGCCAAGGCAGCTTCTTTATCAACCAATGATAATAAAACATATTCACAGCATGCAGAGAGGCATCCTACATCATACAGTCACCAGTAGGTGACTTCATCTATTCCAGTGACCTTGATACTGAGTGCCAAAATTGTGCCTGCTGTGAACATTTTTTTCAGTTCCACAAACTGTTAGATATATCCAAATTTAAAAAAAAAAATCCCCTGTTATAGCTAGATGTGTTCCTATTCTACAGTTGCTTGCACCAAAGATCCCCAGGTAAATTGTGATTCTTCCCCACATCACACCCCACATTCTGTTCAGTAAATTTTCCCCTTCAAAACCTGATCCAAGCCTGGCAATGGTGGCATACACCTTTAAATTCAGCACTTGGGAGGCAGAGGCAAGTGGATCTCTGAATTTGAGGCCAACCTGGTCTACAGAGAGAGTGACACACCAGGGCTACACATAGAAACCCTGTTTCAAGTAAAACAAACAAATAAAAACCTTGATCTAGATATGGCATCTTGCATAGCAGTGAGGACCAAGGTTCAGATGCTATGATAATAATGACATAATGAGTTGATGTCCTACAATTCTAGCTCCAAGAACCCCAGTGCCCTCTTTGGCCTTCACGAAAACATGTAGGCACACATTTACCTGTGCACATTCACAGATACACACAAATAAATATTCACAAAGAAACAACCACCTTGATCCAGGCTCTGTCTGTTTACCGCCTCTACTATGCAGTCCCCAGCAGGATGCCATCATAGTCTAGGGTCTTTTTGCCTGTCTGTCCCATTCTGCTTCGTTCAGTTGTTGCTTTCTGTAGTCTGAGTCACACTAGTCCACTTCTACAGCCACATTGTCCACTCTGGTAGTTGTTAAGAGGGGAGCACTTGAAATGTGGCTATTCATCAACATTACGTTTAAGTAGCTACACCTAGCTTAGAAAGCTATGTGCAGCCTTGCTGTACAACATAGGGTACATCATGCTGTCCCTTGGCTGCAGTTCCTCTCCTGGCTTGCTCACTCACCTAGAATGCAGTATTTACTGCCATGTTTAAGGTTCTTGGTGATCTTACCCAACCTATACCTGCTGTTTACTTATGTCTCTCCAGCCAAATAACCCCAAAACACCGGTCACACTCTTGTCTCAGGTTGCCAGTCAGCTCAGTCTTTACTTCCTTGACTCTCTACTTGATCCAAGGTGCTTTCTCACGCTCAGCTCTGAACCTCATGGTACCTCCAGACTGCTCGTTTCCTTACCCTCCAGAGGTTTCATCTGTCTTTGTCTTTCTGCCTCTCTGCTTCTTGAGTCAAGCTTCACAGTGGCAGGATCACAACAATTGTGATGTAGCCTGTTGACTTCGTGCATGAGCAGGCATGCTGTTCATATATGTACTCACTGCAGGTCACTCTCACCTGCTGTTGTTAACGTCGTGTCTTAGTGTTCTCTCCTGTCACCAAATGTCTCCACGTTGGTTCCCCACTTACCCTCGCTCTTTCCAGTCTTGTAATGGACCCCAGGGCATGCTAAGTAAATAACCTACAACTGAGCTATACCCCAGCCCATATTGATCATTCTTTGGGCTTTTTTTGTTGTTGTTGGTTTGGTTTTTGTTTTTGTTTTGTTCTTTTGGTTTTGGTTTTGTATTTTTGAGATAGGGTCTCACTATAACCCTGACTGGCCTTAAAATCATAGAGATCCTCTTGCCTCTACCTCTCCAGTGCTGGAATTAAAAGCATGGGCCACCATACTTTGGCAATCTTAATCACTATTAATGAATGTTTCATTAGATACATTTACCTTAATGTACTTATCACTCTCTTTCCCATTTTATTGGATATTAAGTTGTTTCTAAATTTTTACTATTGTAAATCATCCGCAAAGAAATTCTTAAACAAAAACCTTCATCCATATTAGCTTCTTTCTATGTAGTTCATTCTAGCCTTGAACTCCTGATCCTTCTGCCTTAGCCTCCCTATTGCTAGGATCACAGGTATGGGCCTACATTATTTCTAAACTTAGCTGTCCCGAATGCAGTTTTTGAGGGTTTTTTTTTATTTGTTTGTTTGTTTGTTTGTTTTATTAAGCATAGACAAGAAACCTAACTTTTAATATTTATTACAAGGCTACACTAGTAAAAAGTTCATGTGGCTTGTGTGAGGCCCTAGGTTCTTTTCCCAACATAGCCAGGAAAAAAAAAAAGAAAGAATTGTTACAGCCTTTGTTACTACAGTTGCCTTTCCCTCCTGACTGGGCTATTCAGAAAGTAACATTCTGGTGGCTTTTGTGTGCCTTTTTACATTTCTGCCATTTTGCACCTGCAGTGGTTTGTTAAAAGCCATATTGATTGCAGCAAGATTTTCACTTTCTCCGGCCCAGCTGGAGACCGAGGGCTTTTAAGCCAGCATAATTAACTCCCCACAATGGGAATATGCAAGCCTGCACTTTAATTACTTTGCATCCTAGGTTTGAACAGCCATTTGCCAAGAGCATAGTAGTGATGCTTTCAGGTCCCTTAGTAATTCTTGGAAGGAGGCACTGTATCTACAACCTGCAGAGGCAAGGGTAAATAGAACGACCTTCTCCTCCTGAGTATAGCTTTTTTTTTTTTTTTTTTTTTTTTTGCAAATTTTCAAGGCAGAGTTTCTCAGTGTAGCCTTGGCTGTCCTGAAACTCACTCTGTAGACCAAGCTGACCTCCAACTCACAGAGATCCACCTGTCTCTGCCTTCCAAGTACTGGGATTAAAGCATGTGCCACACCACCCAGCCTGAGTATAACTCTTTAAAGTCTAAGACTTTCAATTTAAGGAGCATGTGCGGTGGTGCAATGTAAATATAAGAATGCCTTATGACTGGGTGGTAGCACACACCTTTTATCCCAGCTCTTGGGAGGCAGAGGTAAGCAGATCTCTGTGAGTTCAAGGCCATCCTGGTCTACAGAGTGAGTTCCATGACAGAAACCCTGCCTCAAAAAAACAAAAAAATAAAAAACAAAAGAATTAATTTACTTTTTTTTAAAAAGGGATACCTTATATTGGTGTGCTTTTCTATATTTGGACATCTTTAAATAGTGGTGTGTTAATTTTGTCTTTTTTTATTTTGGGCAGTGAAACCATATAGTATATGTGAAAGAATATACAAAGCCAGGCGGTGGTGGCACATGCCTTTAATCGCAGCACTGAGGCCAGCCTGGTCTACAGATTGAGTTCCAGGACAGTCAGGGCTACACAAATCCTGTATATATGTAGTATATATGAAGTATATTGGGAAATTTTAGAAAGTGTGTTCAACATACTTATTATAAGACTGGGGTAGGAGTCAAATCCCACAGGCATGTTCTTGCTGTGCTGTAAATTCAGCATTCCAAAAAGAGGTCAAATAAGTGTTTTAAGTTGGTTCGTAATACTCAACATCACCAGTGTCTCTTAGAGGATGGAGAGGAAGCAACCAACCTCACAGCAGAATTGGTTGAGTAACCGGATATGTTTGAGATCTTGAAAAAAATGAGTTGATGGGGGCTTGAGAAATGGCTCAGCATTTAAGAGCACTGACTGCTTTTCCAGAGGACCTGGGTTCAATTTCCAGCACCCACATGACAGCTCACAACTGTCTGAAAATCCATTTCCAGGAGATCTGAACTTCACACCAATGCACATAAAATAAAAGATAAATAAATCATAAAAAGTTTTTTAAAAAATGAGTTGATGGACCATATATATAGCAAGTCTGGACTTCATCAGATATTTGTATACTAGAGAGCATTTAAAAAATAGGAAAAAAATTCATTCTTGAGAATGTTCAGAGGTGGTGACTTGAAATTAATAGGGGACTGCCAGGCGTGGTAATACATGCCTTTAATCCCAGCACTCGGGAGGCAGAGACAGGTAGATCTACATAGTGATCTACAGGCCTGGTCTACATAGTGAGTTCCAATATAGCCGGGTCTGTGAGGAGAAGCCCTGTCTCAACACAAAACAAGAAATTAATAGGGAACTGAGCAATTTGACTTCAATCAAGGTGCTAAGGAAAGGTAAGATCAGAACACTTAATAGAAAAGCAATGGATGGGGTATAGAATGGTAGATGTGGTGAAGAAAGTCAGAGACACTAAGATTAGAACACAATAGGGGAAAAGTAAGGAGATACTAAAAAGGCCTTTTTTTTCTTCTTTTTTTTTCATTTTTGTTTGTGACCCCCCCCTTTTTTTGTCTGTTTGTTTTGTTTTGTTTTTTGTCCTTTTTGGTTTTTTGAGACTGGGTTTCTCTGTATAACTCTGGCCATCCTAGAAATCTTTTGAGACCAGGTTGATCTTGAACTTACAGAGATCCACCTGCCTCTGCCTCCCAAGTGCTGAGATTAAAGGCATGTTCCACCACCACTCAGCCATGACTTAGTTCTTACACTAATGTGTAGCACCTACTGGTGACTAAGTAGTGCTTCTTCTATTCTTTTGTCTTAAGTAGGATGTAGGGGTGGGCCTGGAAAGATGGCTCAGCAGCACTGCACTCATATGGTGGTTCACAGGTGCCTGTACTTGGCTTTCATGGAAATCTGCCACCTTCAAACCTTCTTGAGCTCCTGCATGCTCATGGTGCATATACATACACACACAGGTACACACACATTCAAATAAAATAGCCTCCCGTGTGTTCGAATTAAAGGTGTACACTACCAGGATCAACCCAAAGAGCCTTCTTTATTTAAAAAAAAAAAAAAAACCAAACATAAAAAGGGCCATTCTGGTCTACATAACATTCAAGGACAGCCAAGTCAATAAAGTTAGTCCCTGCTTTATAAAAGAAAGAAGGAGTGAGAGGAGATGTAGTTCAGTGATAGAGTGTTTCATCCTTAGCACTGAGGCAGGATGGGAGGACAGCTAACAATTGGGAGCTTTAACAAATCTTACAGCAGAGAATGAATTTATAAAAAGAAAGATAAATGCTAAGACATTTGTTTGGCTTAGTAAGTAAGGGGCTCTTCTCAGACTGATCAGCTTCAGGCTGGGCAAAAGTTTTAGTTGCATTCTCCTAGATTATTCTCAGCTCTACCTAGCATTTCCGTCTATAGTCCCATGGGGCAGCAGAGTAGCAATAAGTAGACAAAAATTATTTGAAAATAACTTGGTAAATGACTCTTAAGTTAGAATAATAATGACAGTGTGTTCATTTAATAAGCATTTAGAGTATCTGCATAAAAATAAATGCAGTTAATAAAAATTAGAGACCCATTCACATGGGTTCAGTATTGTAGGGGGTGGAGCTAGGATTGTGACTCTGATAGAGTGCTTGCTTGCTTGCTTGCCTTTCACTGATTCAGGCTTTGGGTTTGTTTCTCGTCACTGCAAAGGTAAAGAGAACTCAGGGAAGCAAAACACCTAAAATACTGTTGGTTATAATTGATACTGAGCTGACGATTAGATAGAGAGTTGGGATGTGAGCATTAGAGACCTGAGGCCTTGTTAAAGAAAGTATGACTTTGAGCAGAGTGTTAGGGGTGGCCACATCTACTTGGTGTTAGACTGTACCTAGAACATGACTTTTCTGTACTTGGTTCTGCGCTGAGAAACAGATAGAGATGAAAGAAGCAGATGTGTTAGCTGGAAGGCAAGGAACTAGGGAATTGTGGTCTTGTTTCCTGAAGAACCATCCTGTGATGTAAGAATGGATACTCCGAAGCTCATTTCTAAATCTTTGGCATAGGTTAACTCAAATGTCTCGAACAACACATGGAGGTTTTTATTGGCTGGTTTAGTTGATTAATTACTTTCTATTCCTGTTTTGGGGATAGGCAAATAAAATTCAAAAAAGTTCTGTTCTGAGACACTTGGCTTAGAAATGATAGAGAATGGAATACATGCCAAGGTAGACTGTCTCAAGCCTTAAAATCAGTTTTGTTTTTTATTTATTTATTTTATTTTATTTTATTTATTTTTGTTTCTAGAGATAGGATTTCTCTTTGTAGCCCTGGTTGGAATATATGAAAAAAATATTCATATATATTTATATATATATTCTTATTTGTATAATTAAGTGCTTTCTGATAAGTATCATATTTTGTTTGGTTTGGTTTTGATGGAGGGAGGTGTTGAGATAGGTAGGATTTCTCTGTGCAGCCTTGGCTCTTCTGGTATTCGCTCTACCAGGCTGGTCTTGAACTCACAGAGATCCTCCTGCCTCTGTCTCCCAAGTGCTGGGATTGAAGGTGTGTGCCACCACTTCTGACTTCTGGTAAACATTTATTAGCTCTAAGCAGTTTATCATGTTTTGCTATATGGCATGTTTCCAATACTAATTTCTCAGTTAGAGAAAAGCCGTATTGTCATCATTTTTTTTTCTAAAGATCTTTTTTTCTGACTTAAAATTTCATCATTTTTACTTCAGGAAATTAGAGAGTCTTAGGAGAACTAAAAAGTTAACAGCCTCGCAGTCCAGTGATAACAATTGTTAACCCTGCGGAGTATCCTGCAGATGGTTTTTAAGAAGCTGACAATGCTTGCTTTAGTGGTATCAGGTCTTTTTTTTGTTTGTTTTTAAAAAGCAAAAGTTTTTATTTTGATAAATTCTAAGGATTTTCTCTGTCTTCTGATCAGGTTTCTGCCTCAATGCTCAAGCAGTTCCCCAACAGCGGCCTGAATCCAGGTCTCTTTAATGTGGGGCCCCAGTTATCTCCTCAACAAATTGCCATGCTGAGCCAGCTTCCACAGATTCCCCAGTTTCAGTTGGTAAGTAGCATGTTTTGCTCCTGTTGCTAAAAAGGTTGTTTGCTTTTCTTATCTCCTTTGCATTAACGTCTTTGTGTTCAAACTTTTATATAGACGATTACAATTAAAATTGATATATCAATTTTCATGAAGGTGACCTTAAGTATAGACTAGGAATTTAGTTATGGGTGCTTTGCATGCAGACACTCCATGTCAATCTCAGGAAACTCTGATTCCCTCCTCATTGTTTTGTAGGCATGTCAGCTTCTCTTGCAGCAGCAGCAGCAACAGCAGCAGTTGCTGCAGAACCAGAGAAAGATTTCTCAAGCAGTGCGCCAGCAACAAGAACAGCAGGTGTGTGGGTGGGGAGGTCCCCTAGTGTTCTGGGCAAGGAACACCTTTGACTTAACTGCTGATTTGGGATACTGGCTTATGATCATCTGTCCATTTCTCTTGGGTCCTTCCTTAATGGATGCTGACCTGCAGCTGGCAAGAATGGTGAGTGCTCTCCAGCAGCAGCAGCAGCAGCAGCAACAGCAGCAGCAGCGGCAGCCTAGCATGAAGCATTCGCCATCTCATCCTGTTGGGCCTAAGCCACATTTGGACAACATGGTACCCAATGCGCTGAATGTGGGGCTCCCAGACCTTCAGACCAAAGGGCCAATCCCTGGATATGGTTCTGGTATGTTCTATGTTGTGAAAAGTACTTAATTTTAAATCTGCTAATCCTATCTAGTAGTAAGGGTTGACTTTGCATTACTCTCCTTTGCTTTTTTCTTTTAATGTTATTTATTTTCTTTAAAAAAAAATTTATTTTGAAGATAGTTGGTAGCAGCAGTGCAAACCTTTAATCCCAGCACTCAGGGAACAGAGGCAGCCGGATCTTTGTGAGTTCAAGACCAGCCTAGTCTACAGAGCAAGTTTCAGGACAACCAGGGCTACAAATAGAAACCCTGTCTCGAAAAAACAAACAAACAAACAACAAAAAAAATGAGTATGTCCTGAGGAGCATACTAGAGGTTGACCCCTGTCCCTCAGACTTGAGCATCCATATATTCATGTGTACACATATAAACCAATTAAGTATTTATATATCCTCTGAATGCTGCACATGACTGAAGTTGTATCTGTGAAAGTATGCATAAGTTTGAGTGTTTCACTTCACTGATAAGGCTACCTTCTCAAAATGGTGTTTTGCCTGCATGTAAGGGTGTCAGACTGGAGTTGTAAGCCACTGTGTGACTTCTGGGAATTGAACTCAGGACTTCTGGAAGAGTTGGTCAGTGCTCTTAACCACTGAGCCATCATCTCTCTCCAGCCCCCATTAAGGCAGTTTTTTTTAAGGTAGGGTATAGCACAAATAAGGATAATTTTTGAGATTAATTGAGACTTTTATCTCTTTAGAAATGGGCAACATGCTGTAAGCAGAGTCCAGGCAGTGAGACAATACTGATTAAAAAAATAAAATTAATGGCTGTATACAGTGACACATGCCTGTTACTTCAGTGCTTGGGAAACTAAGCCATGAGCATTGCAAGTTCAAGGCCAGCCTGAGCTACATTACAGGATGCTAGGTTTGTTGGTTTGATTGTTTCTTTAATGGCATTTAGAATTTGTTTTGGTAAAGAAGATACCAATCTGTGTTTTAAAAAAAGAAAAAATGAGTGAGGAGACCTGAAATCTCTGTTCCTTTACCAACCCCTGATTGGACAGACGGCTGCTTTTTGCCCCCACCTACTAGGAATTCCAGCTGGAGCTAGGAAATAGTAGGGTGTCTTTGACCCTGGGAGTCCCAGCTTTTGTCTGCTGTCTTCTTTTATTTATTTTTATTTTTGTTTCCCCTCTGAGACAGGTTTTCTCTGTGTAACAGTCCTAACTATCCTGGAACTCCCTTTGTAGACCTGGCTAACCTCAAACTCACAGAGATCCGCCTGCTTCTTCCTCCCATGTGCTGGGATTAAAGGTGTGCTCCACCATATCCCAGCCCTAGCTGTCTTCTACATGTGATCTGAGAACTGACTTAAACTCAGAATAGCCTCTCTGGGGCTATATGTAGTAGAGTGAATTCTTAATAAGTGTAAAGCCTGGCTTTTGTTCTCCGTGCTGGGAGGAAAAATACCTTTTTTCTACTTGACATATGACAGGCCCTTTCCTGTGCTTTCCTGTGTTTGCCTTCCTCTCTTGGTCAGTGTGGCCTGTCAAGAGGGCCTCCCTTAATAACTTAGTAAAGTACAGTGGTAACTTTGTTACCTTCTCAGTCTTGTTTTTTATAAAGGGTGAGCTTGAGGGATGAGGCTGGGTAAGTAGATGTGGAGGTAGATGTGGAGGTGCTTCTGACTTTAGACTTTAAACTCGAGAAAGGACTTCTTTTCTGTAGTCAGACTTTTCTTTGGGCCACCAGATCACAAATAATGACATAGAGACTTAATATTAATTATGAAAGCTTAGCCTTTAGCTTAGGCTTTTTCCCAACTAGCTCTTATAATTTAATTAACCTGCTTTTAATAATCTACATTTTGGGGGCTGGAGAGATGGCTCAGTGGTTAAGAGCATTGCCTATTCTTCCAAAGGTCTTGAGTTCAATTCCCAGCAACCACATGGTGGCTCACAATCATCTGTAATAAGGTCTGGTGCCCTCTTCTGGTCTGCAGACATACACGCATAAAGAATATTGTATACATAATAAATAAATATTTTAAAAAATAAATAATCTACATTTTGCTGCATGGCTCAATTATCTTTCCTCTGTATCATATGTCTAACTTGCTCTGTATCTTAGTGGCTCTCCACAAACCTACATTCCTTCTCCTCTTCCTCTCTTTCCCTGGAAGTTCCACCTATCCTCTCCTGCCTAGCTGTTGACTATTCAGCTCTTTATTAAACCAATCAGAAGATGCCTTAGCAAAGACACATGGCACAGTCACAGTGTACAAAAGATTATCCTTTAGCATTTCCCCCATTTTTGTCTAAACAAAAGGGAAAGGTATTAACTCAAACGTAGTAAAACTATATACAATGAGAACAATTGTCAGGTATTATCTAAATAAAAAGGAAAGGTTTTAACTTGAACAGTAAAACTGTGTACAGTAAGGATAATTATCAGGTAAGAATTACACTCACAATGTCTAGTCCATATGTATTTTGCAAATTCAGAGAAAGTCCTGTATTATCTGTCCTATCCTAGTGAGTCTAAAATTTTATATCTATGCCACTTTCTATCATAAGTTGTATTACCATCCTAAAAATATCTTTTTAGACCTTATAATGTCTTCTTAGATAAACAACTTAAACTTTTATGTTTCTTATAAACTTTACATCTCTTACTTAAGTTCCCTTTCTTAATTTGGTAACAAGGAAAATTGTAAAACTATAACTATTCTTCAACCCCATCAGAGGCTGGAGAAGGATATAATGCTACCAGAATAAGCAGGAAATGAAGAGCAAGCAACTTCCAAAACTATAGAAATGACAGAAGCAGCTGGCTGCCTGGACAGTTGCTCAAGTTTCCTCTACAACATTGGGGCATCCATCTTTGACCTATAGGCCTAGAATATCTGACAGACTTTTCTGTGAAGCAATTTTAAAGGACTATCCTACCTTGTCTTTGCAGAAAGTTCAGCAGTCACCTTCTTTTGTGTCCTGCTTGTCCAGTTTGTACAGCATATTGTCAGCAGTCAAAGCAAGTACAGTTTCTTGCCCAGTGGCTAGCTTTGCCACATTGAAAACAAATTCCATATGGAAGATCTTTGCTACCCATCATCCCCCCTCCTTTTTATTTATTTGTTTTTTTGAAGTAGATTGATGCTGCCAGAAACATATCTGTCTCACTGTCATGAAAAACCTTGTTATTAAAACATCTTAAATGAATGCTCATATTCTGTAGATCTCTGAAGTGTTTGAAGACTACCTATCTAAAATATTTTTAACCTTGAAAACATATCTAATATGACTACAAGTTTGATTGTTATAGATGACTTAACTACTAACCTGCATTTCTTCAGTAGCCTAAATAGTTTGTAATAATAATTTTCAAGGACTCGAACTACTTATTGCATTTTTAAATGCACTGCATAGGTACAGTACCTTAAATAAGTCTAGAAACACATATACAGTATGTTCTAACAAAAATAACCTTTAAATTTGTAACAATATAAAAAATTCATACTAATGTAAAATATTTGGGATTAATAGTTCGTTTTTAGTTTAAAAGTAGATTCAATAATCTACCCTTTTATCTTATCATTCCTATATCCCTCCTTTTTCTTCTCAGACAGAGATCCTTGAATCCAGCCTCCCTTATTTAGTTTCCTCCCTTAACATGACCAGCAGCAATTTGCAACCAGCCCCCATAATTGATGACAAACAGCCGTATCCCACCGAATAACCAAAAACTACTCATCCCACCTCTTGAAAATGTGGGTGTCATATTCTTAAAGTTACTTCCTGCTGTCTTGGTGGCAACAGCATCTTTAGGAGACCCTGAGAAAATTGAGATAATGAACAAGTCCTTGGAAAGCTAGCTGTATCATTTGTTGTTCAGTCTCTGTGTAATGGGAAAGTGCATTGTCTGTGTGAAGTCCTGGCTAGAGTAGTCTGTGATGCTGAACTTATTCTCATACCTTCTTGTCAAAAAGTACAGTAGTGTTGAGTATGTAGCTCAGTAGTAGAGTGCAGTTTTACACGTGGGATTAAAAGTCTGCTCTACCACACCTGACCTATTTCTGTTTTTTAAATAATGAATGTGTTTTATGACAAGCCTTGCTACTTAACCTGGAACTTTTCTATAACCAACTGGCCTTGAACTTGATTCTGCCTCAATGCCACAAATGTTGGCATGTTATCTCTATATTTGGGTGCCTAACTGTTCCGAGTACTGTGCTAAGCCTAGAGCAGTAAGATTTTCCTAAAAAATGTCTTTAAAACAGAATATAGGAGCCGGGCGGTGGTGGCGCACGCCTTTAATCCCAGCACTCGGTAGGCAGAGGCAGGCAAATCCCTGTGAGTTCAAGGCCAGCCTGGTCTACAAGAGCTAGTTCCAGGACAGGCACCAAAAACTACAGAGAAACCCTGTCTCGAAAAATCAAAAAAAAAAAAACAAAAAACAGAATATAGGGTTTGAGTTTTTGCAAAAATATTAAGTGTCATCTGGGCAGTGGTGGCACATGCCTTTAATTCCAGCATTCAGGAGACAGAATCAGGTGGATCTCTGTGAGTTTAAGGCCAGCCTGGTCTATGAAGCAAGTTCCAGGATGGCCCTGTTTCTAGACACCCCCCCCCAAAAAAAAGAAGAAGTACCAAAGGTAAAGATAGCAAAAATGTGCGGGGCATGATAGTACATGCCTTTAATGCCTGCTTGGTCCACATAGGGAGTTCCAGGACTACATAAAGAACAAACCAAAAAATAATAACAAATGTTTTGGGTTTTTCTAATGCTGAATATATCAAATAATATATAAAATACTTCAGGATGAAAGGGTAACAAGAATAATGTTTCTTAGAATCCTTCATAGTATTTTCTTGAGGGTTTTTTTTTGTTGTTGTTGTTATTTTTGTTTTGTGGAATGTTTGTTTGAAATTGGGTCCTGAAACTTGTTACATAGCTCATACTGTCCTTGAACTCGCAGAGATCTACCTGCATCTGTCTTAATTATTCTAAAACAGTGCTCTCATACATACGCTCTCACTCTTTCTGGGGCATTCTCTCTCTCTTTCTCTCTCTCTCTCTTTCTCTCTCTCTCTCTCTCTTTCTCTCTCTCTCTCTCTCCCCCTCTCTCCCTCTCTCCCTCCCCTTCTCTTTTTCTTTCTCTTCCTTTCCCATCGTCATCGTCTTCCTTCTTCCTCCTCCCCTCTTCCCCCCTTTCTCCCAAAATTCTTTTCTGTTTTAGAGGAAGAAATTAAAAGACTCTAACTGCTTGGCAGACAGGGACACACTGCATTGGGCTTCTTGCCATTTTCTAAGCATACCTGAATGTCATGAGTCAGACCTTGTACCAGTTTCCTAAACCCTAGATTGTGCAGCTCTTCTCCTCCCCTGGCAGCCTTAAGACAACTTGCTCTTCCATGTTGGTATCAGATATGGCTGGAGAGTGGTTGAATCTGGCCAGCTGTCAGGCACAAATGTTTGTTTGCTCAGTAAAAATGTGGGTGTAGGTAGGCACTGACATGTACCTAATTAGATGACAGTGACACCCATTTTCATACCATGAAAACGAGACAGCACAGTTCTTTCAAGCAGGACTGAAGAATTCCCTCTGTAGACCAGGCTAGCCTCAAACTTAGAGATCCACCTGCCTCTGCCTCCCAAGCACTGGAATTAAAGTTGTGCACCACCACCCCCTGGCTTTGGGTACTCAATTTCTGATTCAAGAAGCATATAGACATAACTGTGATCTCTTTCCAGGCTTCAGCTCTGGCGGCATGGACTATGGCATGGTTAGTGGCAAGGAGGCTGGGACTGAGTCTCGCTTCAAACAGTGGACCTCCATGATGGAAGGGCTGCCTTCTGTGGCCACACAAGAAGCCACCATGCACAAAAATGGTGAGAGAGCAAGCAGTCCCATGTTGCTAGCAGAATCTTCTGGTGATTACTCAGTCCTTGACCAAGTATCCTGCATGTTTTGTTGGCTTCATGGGTGTGCTTGTGTTTTCTTTTTTAAGAGTGGGTCTTTCTTTGTATCCTAGGCTGACCTAAAACTCTCAGAAATCTGCCTGCCTCTGCCTTCACAGTGCTGATATTGAAGATATTTCCAACCACACTTTAAGGCAGTATCTCAGGGGGGTTTAGTATGTAATCCCATCACTCAGGAGTCAGAACCAGGTGGATCTCTGTGAGTTCTAGTCAAGCAAGTACCGGGCCAACTTACATAAGATTTATAAGACCTTGTTTCAAAAAGAATTCTTTAGTTAAATAAATGATTAATTGCAATTAACTCATACAAGTCCTGCTCCCTTTTTGTTTGTTTGGTAGGTTGGTTGGTTGGTTTTGGTTTTGGTTTTTTCGAGACAGGGTTTCTCTGTGTGACAGTCCTGGTTATCCTGGAACTCACTTTGTAGATCATGCTGGTCTCAAATTCACTGTAATCCTGCTTCTGCCTCCCAAGTGCTGGGAGGTACCACCACCGCCCAGCTGTGATTTATTTTAAAAAAGACAAAACAAAACAATTTTTTTAATTTATTTTTATTTTATGAACATTGGTGTTTTGCCATGGATGTTGGATTCCCCAGCATTGGAATTATAGACAATTGTGAGCTGCCGTGTGGGTACTGGGAATTAAACCCAGGTCTTCTGGGAGAACAGGGCTCTTAATCACTGAACCATCTCTTCAGCCCCTCCAGCCCTTTTTTAAGCTCTTGTAAATACATATTTTCGCTGCATGTATTTCTATGCACCACATGTATGCAGTGACCTCAGAGACCAAGAAAGGGCATTGGATTACTGGGGACTGGAGTTAGGATGGTTGTAAGCCTTCAGGCTGTGATGGCACTTGCCTTGAATTCCAGCACTTTGGAGGCAGAGGCAGGTGGTTCTCTGTGATTTTGAGGCCAGCCTGGTCTACATAATGGGTTCCAGGACAGCCAGGACAACATAGAGAAACCCTGTCTTGGGGGAGGTGCTGGCTGTAAGCTACCATATGGATGCTGGGAATCAAAACCATGTCCTGTAGAAGAGCAGCCAGTTCTCTTAACTACTGAACCATCTCTCTAGCCCTCCTTTGGTAATTTTTTGAAGTACAGATCTTTAGCTTTTGTTAATGAATCTCTTGCTATTTTTCCAAAGTTTATGATCATCTATCAGAGGGAGATTAGGCTTGCAATTCATATTTTATGGTATTTAAATGGTTCTAGATAAGGATTGCATAATGTCCCACTTGTCATGGGATTGAGATAATAGTTACAAACTTGGGCACCCATAAGATTAAAACCCATTAAAGTGGGTGAGAAAACAGAATCCTCGTGTTGAGGTTTTGGTTGATTGATTGGTTTTGTTTTCTGAGACAAGCTCTTGCTAAGAATTTGTAGTCCATTCCTCTCTCAAACTCCTGCCCTAACCTGGGTATAGTTGTGGTGTAAATTAAAGACCAGTTTGATCTACATAGTTCAAGGCTACACTAGGACACATAGTGAAACCCTGTCTCAGAAAAAGAAGAAAATGTTCTACTAACTAGTAGAAGAGAATTCATAAAGATTGGACTTTTTTTTTTTTTTCCAGCGCCTCTTGTTTTTTGTGAATTAGTGTCCCGCCAGGACAGCATTGACGTTGTATTTTGATTGTGGATTAACCTTGCCTGTCCATAATTTTCGTTAAGGAGTCTCTATTTCCCTAGAAGAAAGATAAAAGGTCTGGATCTTCTTTTGGCCTTCAATGAATTGTTTGTTTCATTTGTCAGTATTTCACTTGGACTCAGAGTTGTCTCTGTGAGAGTCAATATAAACAAGTATCTGGTCTTTTGTGGCAGAGCCCCGGCAGGCTTAACCAGTCAACTCATTCAGCCTGCAGCCTTCCAGGTTCCCATTATAAACCCTCTTTAATAAGCCCATTATAAAACCTCTTTAGTAATCCCATCCAGAGACTGGGAAAGGAGCCACCCAGGTCTCCTACCCTGTTAAGTAGGATCAAAATCAAGAATAATTTACTGAAATTTTAAAATCTGTTTTATGGACTGAGCAACCCTAGTCCTCTGTCTTCCGTCGCTCCAAGCACTTTCACAGTTCCCTTAGGCCAGTGATTTACCAGGTCTGGATAATAAATATAAAATGGCATGTGAGAAGATAGCTCAGAGTTACAGTATCCTCTCTCCTCATCAACTAATATAGATAATGTTTTCCCCATTTCTTAGCAATCCCCAAGATAATTGTTCCTTTCATTTTCCACTACCTCACTGTGCTGTGCCTCTGAACCTGATTAGTGTCACTGTCCTTAGAAAAGTAAATGCCCTCTTAGCAGAGAATGAAGACAATTTTAATCATACTCCTTTTATTCCAAACCAAACAGATTGCTTTATTCGATATTTATCCAAGCATTTTAATACATTATCCTGCAAATCATTTTATGTGTTCATGACCACCACTCTAAGACTATGTCAGATAAGTGACGGACTATATGAACTTCATTTGGGAAATAAGGAAATAATCTCCCATATGCTCTTGAATTTTTATTTAAAGTAAAAATTTATTGTTATTGTTGTTAACTTAGTGAATTTAAGCTTTCAACTTTTACTGCATAAAAATGCTTGAAGGAAGCACTAACAAAGCTCCAAGAATATCTCTGGGAATACAGTGACAAAGGATTTGCTGTTCTCTGTATGTGAGGCGGCCCTGGGCTCCGAAATGTAGAGTTCATTGCTGGTGTGTTGGCAAAGACCTTGGATGGGAATTCCACCTCACTGCCTTGGAATTTAAAGCAATCGCAGATGGCTTTTTCTCCAATGGACTCTGAATATTGCAGATTCCAGATAACCCAAGCTTAACCAGCCCTTAAGAGCAGAGGTAGAAAGCATCAATACAAAGATCACTTAATACTCTCCAAGGTGCTAAAGTTGTCCAGTTTTTCCCATCTGTACTTTTGAGGAGTTAGTGTAGCAGTCATGTAGATACTATGTTTCATAGTGTGTATGATTCTCTGACATATAACACTATGGGGTTTCCAGATTGAAAGGACTGTTGTAGAATGAGAAGGCTCCTGTGGATTTAGTTGAAAAATGGAGAGACTCAGAGAAGTGAGATGAGTCATTATGGTCATACTGCTAGAAGTATTAGCCCAAAGTCTTTATTCTGTAAGCTTTAAAAACTTGTCTTTGAGCCAGGCCATGGCGGTGCATACCTTTAATCCCAGCTGTCAGGAGGCAGAGCCTGGCAAATCTCTTTGAGTTCGAGGTCATCCTGGTCTACAAAGTGAGTTCCAGGACAGCCAAGGCTACACAGAGAAACCCTGTCTTTAGAAAGTTCTGTTTGTTAGGTTTTTACTCTTTTATGTGTATAGATGTTTGGTCTGCTTGTGTGTCTGTGCGCTATGTGCATGTTCATGCCTGTTCCCCACAGAGGTCATAGGAGTGTGTTAGAGTCCCTGGAACTGGAGTTACAGGCAGTTGCAAGCTGCGCTGTGGGTTCTGGGAATCAACCCTGGACCATCTGAAGAACAGCCAGTGCTCTTAACCTCTGAGCCATCTCTCCAGCCCCTAGAGCTCTTTCTTAAACAGTTATTTCTCTCTTTTCTCAGGCGCTATAGTGGCCCCTGGTAAGACCCGAGGAGGGTCACCTTACAACCAGTTTGATATAATCCCAGGTGACACACTGGGTGGCCATACGGGTCCTGCTGGTGATAGCTGGTTACCTGCCAAATCTCCACCGACTAATAAAATCGGAAGTAAATCCAGCAATGCCAGTTGGCCTCCAGGTATTGTTCATAAAATGCTTTTTCTAGAATAGTACTTCTCTTGAATTTAGGTTCTGAACAAGCTTGTTTAGCTTGCTTTACTGAGAAAGCCCCATGCTTCATTGTCTGATAAAGGCAAGGCATACACCCTGAAACCTGTGCCATAGGAAAATAAAAGATCTTCGAGAAATGGGTAGTTAGTGATAGTGAGTGGCCTTGAAGCTGGGACTTGGCATTTGTTCTGTATGTAGGATGCCATATAACATAAGCTATTTTAAAGTATGTGTTGAATCAATTGATATATTTATTAGTCAGATGTGTCATTAATATGCTCCAGGTACATGGTGATGAGTTCAGTAAGATTCGTGTCTCTCTCTTCCTCCCTCTCCTTTCTTTTGTCTCTGTATTCTGTTTTCATTGTAGTTTAATAAAGCAAAAGTACAAATTAGTAATTGTCCTTCTGTCCTTATATAGTGCAGACATAAATGTATATAATTACATTTTATTAGAGTGAGATGAAATAATGCCTCCTGTTCCTATACAATAAATATTGCTCTTCTCAACACAGTTAGGGAAATACCAGTTTGTTAATGATATCACATATCTTTAAGTACAGCTTAACTGGATCAATACAAACATGATAAGCTTCCATATATAGTCTAGGTTTTCTCACAATCAGTTAACTTCTTTCCAACTATTCCTGAACCATCTGTGAAGCAGTGATCACTTATATTTCATTTTATTAAGTTCATTTTGGCCAGTACCTAATTAAGAAAAATGGGAAAGGTCACTGGTCTCAAGCCCAGATTTTTTTCCCAGTTCTTGGCCTCTCACTTCATTAGGCACGGGTTCTTACTTTCCTTTAAGATTTTAATTTCTCTAGTAGCTGTAAAAATCATATATGGAGCCAGGCCTTTATGAGTATGATCCAGTTCACTATACTAATAGACTTGCTATCAGCAAAAGCATTTGCTCAGGGTATTTTTACCTCATGTTGACAATCTGATGTACAATAGATTCATTATTTAGACTTTTCACAGGATCATGTTTTTTTCTACTAAACAGTTATTTTAGCATAATAACAAATAAAAATCAGGCATAGTGGCCTTTACTTTAATCCCAGCCCTCAGAATGCAGAGGCAGGCAGATCTCTGAATTCCAGGACAGCCAAAGTTACATAGTAAGACTCTAATCTCAAAACAAAAAACAATAGTAATAAATAAAATAGGAACTGTGTAAAGTAAACTTCTTTTTTTTAACTATCTCCCATCTCTAACATTTCTTCATGTCTCAGAATTCCAACCAGGAGTGCCATGGAAAGGTATCCAAAATATTGACCCTGAATCTGACCCCTATGTAACTCCAGGAAGTGTGTTGGGGGGTACAGCTACATCTCCCATTGTAGATACTGACCATCAACTGCTGCGGGATAACACCACAGGTAAGTGAGTGCTACAGACACCAGCATTTTTACAGTTGTCCACCATGGCTTTAGTTCTGTTTGTAGTACCCGATAATTTAAACAGAAAATAGAATAATACTGCTTTTTACATCTTTATTGTTTGGTTGCATTTTGTTTTCCCTTGTATTTAAGTTTAAATAAAACGCTCACAAGGTTTCCCTTGTTCTACTGACATTTGTTTCTAATATTTCTTCTTCATTTGTACCCTCAAGGGTCTAATTCTTCCCTCAACACCTCGCTGCCTTCACCTGGTGCCTGGCCCTACAGTGCCTCTGACAACTCCTTTACCAACGTTCATAGCACTTCAGGTACTTGGTGGCTTTTCCCCTCTTGTCTGGCAGTTGACTGAGAGGTTCTTCTCTTCCACTGGCGTTTACTTCTTAAGAAGTGCTAGTCAGCACAGATGGGGGTGCAACCTTTCTTTGCCTTCACTATCCACTCAGGGAGCTCCTAGTCTCACAGAGATTGGGTAGGTCCCTCATAGGACTACATTGGTCAAAGCTAATGGGAACAGAATGTCATATAGCTGGGGTATTCAGAGGGCAGAGTTCATGACCTGATGACCATATGTTTCTGTTAGCCAGCCTGCCAAGGCATAGGAAGAGACAGTTTAATCCAGATTAGTGTTGAAGCAACCAGCGATAGCCTACTCTTCCCCCAAAATCTGACTTAGAGACATAATGAAAAATAGATGGCCAGAGTCAAAAAGAAGACCTTGATTAATTTGCCAGTACTACTTGTTGAGTTCCTCATTACTTGGCGTGGCAGGGAAGGCTGGTTGGGTTTTGTCGTTAGTTTGTTGAGACTTATGAAGAATAGAGCAGATAGCAGCAGTTGGAAAGATGGTTCAGTGGGCAAAATGCTTGCTGTGCAAGTATGGAAACCTGAATTCAGTCCCCTGAACCCACATAAAAAATCAGGCAGAGCTGAGCAATGGCTCACTGGTTAAGAGCACTAACTGCTCTTCCAGAGGATCTGGGTTCAATTCCCAACACCCACATGGCAACGCACAACTAACTGTCTGTAGCTCCAGTTCCAGGGGATCTGGCACCTTCACAGATGTACATGCCGACAAAACACCATGCACATAAACTTAAAAAATAAAATCAGGCACAACTCAGCACACTTTTAATCCTAGCATTTAGGAGATGGAGACAGGTGTTGGTCTATGAGTTGGGGGCTAACTTGTTCTACATAGCAATTTCCAAGACAGCCATTCATAGTGAATCCTATCTTAAAAGAAGACACTCAGGTGTGATGCATACATCTGTAATCCCAGTGCTGGGGCGCAAAGACGGGAAAAATACTGGGGCTTTGCTAGTAGCCAGTCTAGCCAATTCAGTGTGCTACAGGTTAAGGGAGGGTCATTATCTTAAAAACCAAGGTACAAAAAAAATTTAGCTGTGTGGTGGTGGCCCATGCCTTTAATCCCAACACTCAGGAGGCAGAGGTAGGTGGATCTCTGTGAGTTCGAGGCCAGCCTGGTCTACAGAGTGAGTTCCAGGACAGGTTCCAAAGCTACAGAGAAACCCTGTCTCGAGGAGAAAAAAAAAATAAGGGGGGCAGTTGTATCACACAAACAGTGCCACAGTGAGCTGCACACTTGCTGAGTGCTCCTGTAGGCCAGCATCATAGTCAGCCTGAGCATAAACTCCCTTTTGTCTTTCTCCTACTGTGGAATGGGTTACCCTCACTTAGTAGATAAATTGAGACGATTGTGAATGAATTCCTACAGTCTGACCTGGGTTAAGACCCTGTGTCAATATACCAAACAAAAATAGCTATTTTGCCTCAGAACTGACTGAGCCTAAATTTTAAAGGAAGCACCTTAGTGGTCAGTGTTCCTAACACCTTCCCCATATTTTTCTTGATAGGACTTCATTTACTTGTAAAACTTGCACAAGCTGGCACAGTGGGTACAAGTGTTTATTCATAAACCTGAGGACTGCTGTGGTGCCCAGATCCCACAGTAGGAGAGATCCACACATGCTCCGTGCTGTGCATACCAATACCCACAGTCACACCTGTGCATGTACACCATAGTAGAATAACAAAACAAACTTGTCTGACTCTTCCCTTTTTTGGATTAAGGAATGTGTTTGACTGTTTTTCTTTTGACACGGGGTCTCATGTAGCTCAGGATAGCCTCACATTTGCTTTGCTCCTCCTGCCTTCACTCTCATGTGCCCTTATAGGACTGTGCCGCCACAACTGGCTAAAGTTTTGAGACATCTCAGTTACCTGGGTTGCTCTCTGTTTCCTTGGGCTGAAGCAGTCCTCAGCCTCAGTCTCCCCAGCAGCTTGCCCACATGGCTGCCTTCTCTGGCACTCTTCTCTTTCCTTTGTTCCTATTAAAAAAAATAATAATAATAATAATAAAAAAACGCCCAGATCTCAGGAATTATCTTCTTGCAGTTGGACATTGACCTGAGACTTCCCTAAGAGTTATCTTGCCTATCCTTAGAACAGCCTTTCCTCCTTCATTCCCTGGACCCCAAGCCCTGTCCCTCGGAATACATTTGACAGTCATAGTTTTCATCTCCACTCCCTTTGGTTCATTCTATTCTCACTCTGGTTTATGCTGTGTCATATGGAAACTCTACTGCAGCTTACATAGCCACAGTGTGCCTATGGCCTCTTATCCCTCTGCCCCATGAAAACTGAAAAGAACTTCTGCTGAACCTAGATTTTCTTTTCCCTGCTTTTCTGAGCCCATCCCTTGATGTAAACACTTCAGATTTATCTTTGTAGAGTTTTTGCTGACAGCCTAATGTTTTCTGTCTTCTGTGTATTGAATATATGTGCTGTTGCCAAGGATACCAGTTCTGTTTTTCTGTCTCGCATCTGAATCAGAGGCTCTGCAAGATAATTGTGTTACCCACACTACTGTCAGGTACCTTAAGCCTAGTAAGCAGTGGTGGTTATTTGATGACTTTCTTTTAGATATTTTTATTTTATTGGATGTGTATGAGTATTTGCCTAGTGCCCACAGATGTTAAAAGAGGTTGTGGGATCCCCTGGAATTGCAATAATTATGAGCCACCATGATGGAAATTGAACCCAGATCCTTTACAAGAGCAACAAGTAATCCAAACCACTAAGCCATTGCTCCAGCCGTATTGACTATTTTTAAAATCAGTGTTGGTGTCTAACATGTATCAAGTCACAAGCAATGCATAATTTTCTAGTTTTGTTTTGATTTTCATGGTAGTTAGTGAGCATTTAGTGAGTACTCTAGTTCTGTTTGTATTAACAGTCTAACCCTGTCTGTCCTCCTCAGAAATAATTTTCTTCATGAGTTTGTCTTCTCTTTCAAGTTGTGTTTACCCAAGAAAGTAGTCGGAGATTAGTTGCCTTATTAAATCTTTGTCAGTTTAGAATCATTTTAAAATTTAGCACACTCAACAATTATTCTCATGCTGTTTGCTCCCCTTCCCCATATTTTTCCTGAGACAGGATTTCTCTGTGTAGCCCTGGCTGTCCTGAAACTTGCTCTGTAGACCAGGCTGGTTTCGAACTTAATAGATCCGCCTGCCTCTGCCTCCCTAATGCTGGGATTAAAGGCATGCGCCACCACTGCCCAGCTCATACTGCTGCTCTTAAAATATATGCTTCCTGCTACTTTTCGATGTTTTTGAGACAGATTTCAACAGAGTTATAGAATAAAAATATATTTGTGTTTATGTGCAAATAAAATTTGTGTCTGTTTCTGGGCAGGTGCCCATCTGATGTGGCTGCTTCTTGACTTTTTTCTTCTCACAGCAAAGTTCCCTGATTACAAATCCACGTGGTCCCCAGATCCCATAGGACACAACCCCACTCATCTCTCCAACAAGATGTGGAAAAACCACATCTCCTCCAGGAACACTACACCGTTGCCCCGCCCACCTCCTGGCCTGACCAACCCCAAACCGGCATCTCCCTGGAGCAGCACAGCACCCAGATCAGTCAGGGGGTGGGGAACCCAAGACTCTCGGATTGCCTCGGGTGAGGAGGATCAGCCAAGCAGAAATGGCTATTTAGCACTATGGGGAGGGCTGAACATGGAGGAGAGCATAGCTATCTGGTAGAAGAAAAGGCATCTTTTGATTGAAAAGTTGTGCTCAGTACAGATGAAGAGACCCAGGACCTCTCTAGGGCACATGAAATAAAAATGAACAACTGTAGAGGGCGGCCAGTGGGAGGGAAGACTGGCTCACACAAAAGCAAGTGAATTCACTGGGTTCAAGGACCAGAAGAGACCAGAAAGGTCAGGGTTGGGAGGGGGAGGGAGAAAGGGGAAGTGGGGGGGGGGGGAGATCTGCCTTTCATTGAGTGCTTTTTGTTGTTTTTATCAGTCTTCCTCATCATTTTTCTGTTTGCAGCCTCTACCTGGAGTGATGGTGGCTCTGTCCGTCCTAGTTACTGGCTGGTTCTTCACAATCTCACTCCACAGGTAACCTTATTTTCTTACGGTTTTCTAGATAGGGCTTGGTTTTATTTAAGGAGAGAGGAGCCAGACCTGGTGGCACATACCTTTAGTCCCCAGCACTTGGGAGGCCGAGATACTAGATGTCTGTGAGTTCAAAGCCAACCTGGTCTGCATAACAAGTTCTAGGGATACATGGGAGCTCTTATTTCAAAAAAGGGGGGAGAAACAGTGGAAGAGGTTGGCAGATATGAAAGCTCATTTATGGTACTGGAGAGATGGCCCAGCAGCTAAGAAAGCTTGCTGCTTATGCAGAACACCCAAGTTTTGGTTCCTAGCACCCACATCAGATGCCTGTAACTCCAAATGTAGGAGGTCTGATGCCCTCTTCTAGCCTATAAAGAAAGCACATTTGTTCCATGGCCACTACAGGAGTCCTATTGACAGGATAGGGTGCTGTCTTCTAGGCTCACCCTCACCCTCAGTAGTGCTAGAGATGAGCAGATTCTACAAAGCGGTGAGAGTAAAAACGTCTGACCTACTGGTAAGGAAATATGTTGTGTAGATATGCCAGCTGGAATTTGAAACCAAATGAGATGATGTGTTTTAACCACATACAAAAACATATTACAGAACGGGCTTGGAAAAAGCTCAGTTGATAAAGTGCCACTGTGAAATTTCTTAGACTCTTTAACATGCTAGTGTCTGTTAGGATTCTGTATGGGGAAATACATTTCATTGTAAACTTATTTGCCCAGTGAACCTATTTGTGGAAAGTAAATCACAAGGCTCCTATTTGTAGGCATATTTAAGAAAGTCATTCTTTACCACGATGTCTAATCAACTCAGAAGTCCCAATTTAAGGCCAGGTGTGGTGGTGCATGCCATCTGGGAGGCAGAGACAAGCAGATCTCTTGAGTTTGAGTCCCCCATGGTCTACATAGGGAATTCTAGGTCCAGGGTTCCCTAGTCTCTCAAAAATCAATCACAGTCTCAGTTCATTCCCTCATCTAATATCTGACCCAACTATAAGGGGTAGAGACTGCAGGTCAAACCTGGGGCTCACACACAGTAAGCAGGAGTTCTACCTGTAACTACAGCCCCAATATAAAAAAAAAAAAAATCAAGCATGGTGATGCTCAAAAAAAACTATGTATGCATTAAGCGTTTATGCCAAGCAGTAGTGGCACATGCCTTTAATTCCAGCAATTGAGAGGCAGAGGCAGGTGAGTCTGAAGCCATCCTGGTCTTTAGGATGAGTGTAGTTACACAAAAAAACCCTGTCTTGAAAAAACAAAGGGCTTATAAAAGTTGTCACAATTTGTAGTGGTTATAATGTGGATAGGATGAGAGAGTCAATAAGAAGTATCTAGTTTTGAAAAGAACTTGGACATGCTAGCTAATCCTTCACTGCTTGTAGCCACTAAAAAATAGTAAGTGTGCATCATTATGTATATATGTAAATGAATGTGATATTGGCTGTGTTTGTATCAGAAAGAATTGATTTTTTTTTAACATTAGAGCTGCCTAGTAAGCAGATTAATGTCATTCCTAGTTTAAGTTGTTGGTAGAGCAAAGTTGATGCATGGGCCAGTTGACTTTTCATCACCAAAAATGTGTTTAAAGAACATCTGTCTCCTGGAAAGCAATTTGTGCCATATACTGACATACCCATGGTTGTTTTCTGTGAAGAACTAACATGGTTTGCTGAGTTTTACTCTTCAGGCTTCTCACTGGTGCTGAAAATGGCACCTGGGTTCTTACGTATGTTAGGCCGTTGTTTACCACATTACACAGCTCTTTAAGGCATCCCCAGGTGTAGCATTCATTTTCCAATGAAGTGAACTGAAGTATTGGAATTAAGGCTTAAATAAATATATTTAAGATAGTGTTGCAAAATTAATCCATACAGTAAATAGGTTTGCTCATATAACTCCTGTGTTGGGGAAGTTATCTATAATCCCTACAGCATTTGGTCCAATGAACTTAGTAAAAAAGAAGGTGGAAGTATTCCCCTCTTTATTTGGCCAGAGGAATATGGCAGTGTTGGAGTGATTTGTTTTTGCACTAGACCAGTTTTAACTTCAGTAGATAGGTAGGTAGGTAGGTAGGTAGGTAGAGATGGTTTATTTAACTTTATTTTATGTGCATTAGTGTGAAGGTGCCAGACCCCCTGCAACTGGATCTTCAGACAGTTGTGAGCTGCCATGTGGGTTCTGGGAATTGAACCCAGGTCCTCTGGAAGAGCAGTCAGTGCTCTTAACCACTGAGCCATCTCTCCAGCCCCTTCAGTGCCTTTCTTGTCTGTCTCTGTGGGGTTATTAAATGAGGAGGCAGAAAAAAATAAAATGTTAGTAATGATATTGATAACTTTGCATGCTGACTTTAATTCTTATTTCTGCCTTTTGAGATCTACAAACAAGCATACACTTGTTTGTTGCTCTCTTTTTAAAAAACAGGCTTGTTTTATGGCTCTTATGTTTTTATTTTTAGTTATTTTTATAAAGAAGCATCTTATTCAAAAAATAGGAATAATGAACCTCAATCTCCTTCTTTAAATGTCTTCGAATTTGCCTTTTCCATGCCTGCTCCACATCTTAGCTCACACGTGTTGTTACCTCTTAGATTGATGGGTCAACCTTGAGAACGATCTGCATGCAGCATGGTCCACTGCTGACATTCCATCTGAATCTAACCCAGGGCACTGCCCTGATCCGGTACAGCACCAAACAAGAGGCAGCCAAGGCCCAGACTGCACTGCACATGTGAGTACTGCACCCTGCGTGCCTTCAGACAGCACACATGATGCACACAGGAGTGCTCTGGCCCTGCTTAATAGAATAATGACAGAAGCATACACACAAGAACCTCAGTCATGTATACATCTGCAGATGCTGAGGTGGCAGTCCTTCTTCCTAACTTTGTTTGCTTTGTCTAGTGTATATCATAGGCTCAGACTCTGAACTTCAAATGCAAATAATTTGTATAGTAAGTAAATTGTACTGCAAACAAAGCCAATGTTTATGAAAATTCTACCACTACCTGGACTACCTGGCTTTGTTTAACTTTTTGAGACAGGGTTTCTCTGTGTAGCCCTGGCTGTCCTGAATCTCATTGTAGAAACCAGGCTGGCCTTGGACTCATAGAGATCTATCTACCTGCCTCTGGCTCCCAAGTGCTGTGGTTAAAGGTGTGCGCTACCACACCCAGCCCAAAAAAGAAATTATTTGTAGCAGGACTTTTGCATGAAGTGGATCAGGGTCTGACCATTCTCTTACCCTGGTGGACAGAAAAGTGTTGACTCCCTTGGGCAATAGACACTGTGACAAAAATCCCCAGAGAACATAAACAAGTGATAGTGAGGCCCCAGCAGCCAGTCCATCCCCTAAGATGGAATGGTGCTCCAGGTGCTGGCACTGGCTTGCCTGATATTAATGGGTGGCATTCTTTACCTCATGTGGAGTTTAAAAAAAAAAAAACTGACATTCTTTTTGCTTTTGTAAAGCTTGAAATTTTTTGAAAATACTTTAGATTCACAACAAAATTGAGAAAATGGGACAACAACTTCCCATATTAATCCTGACCAGTCACTCAATGATGCCTTTCCCCATTATGAGCACCACTTACTAGAATGGCCCATTTGTTACAGTTTGTGAACATTCATTGGTACCTAATCCACCAGAGTCCACAGCTCACATTAGGGTTAAGTTTACTTTCTGAGTCACTCACTGATGGTGGTTAGTATGAACAAATATATGCTGATATATCCAACATCACAACTTTTATGACATTCAGAGTAGTGCCCAAAATATGCTCTATGGTCTAGATTTTCTCTCTCTCCCTCCTTCCCTCCCTCTCTCTCTCTTTTTTCCTCACCTCATACAGGTGGACTGGAGATGTAGCTCAGTTGTTCTTGCTTAGCATGCATAAATCCCTAGGTTCAGTCTCCAGTACTACATAAACCAAACATGATGGTGCGTACCTGTAATGTCAGCATTTAGGAGGTAGACACAGAAGGCCAGCCTGGACTATGTGAGACCCCCCCATCTCAATCAGTCAGTAAGCAAGCAAGCATGTAGTCCATGCAGTGGCAGAGGGCTGGCAGCAGTGATGCCTTGTGTTCCGGTCTCAGACATCACATTGCTCTCTTCCTCCTTCCTCCAGGTGTGTGTTGGGAAACACTACCATCTTGGCCGAGTTTGCCACTGAAGATGAAGTTAGCCGCTTCCTGGCTCAAGCTCAGCCGCCTACACCTGCAGCAACCCCAAGCGCGCCTGCCACAGGATGGCAGTCACTGGAGACCAGCCAGAACCAGGCAGACCCCGTTGGACCTGCGCTGAACCTTTTCGGTGGGTCCACCGGGCTCGGGCAGTGGAGCAGCAGCACTGGTGGCAGCAGTGGGGCCGATCTTGCTGGCACTTCCTTGTGGGGTCCCCCAAACTATTCTTCTAGCTTGTGGGGAGTTCCGACGGTGGAAGATCCCCATAGGATGGGCAGCCCTGCTCCTTTACTACCTGGTGACCTTCTAGGAGGAGGGTCGGATTCAATCTGAACTTAGAACTTTCAACTCTGACCTCGTGACCTTTTTTTGGAACAGCAGCAGCACTAACTTGACCTTTTCGTTTTTTTTTTCAACTTGCAATAAATACATTTTTAAAAGGAAAAAAGAAAACGGAGAGAGAAGAAAGGTGGGTCATTGACAGACTGTCTGAGCACATAGTTGCCTCCCTTAAAACTTCAGTTTTTTCGTTTGGAATATGAATCCAAAAAGAGAACATATCACTCTTGAAATACTTGAATCATGAACGCCAACCTAGAAAGACAATGTGAAGCAAGTACACATACCATTTAAATTTAAACACAAAAAAATTAAAAAAATTAGTTTCTAGTTTTTCACTTTTTTCATGTTATATGGAAGTTGTTGCTAAGAAACATATATACTGAAAAAAAATAGCTTTTTAACTTTGTTTGCACTGGGTGTGTTTCCGTCCTTAGGTCTACCATGTTTGGGTGGGAGGGAAATTCAAAAGAATTGTTGAGGGAGGGGGGAGGGAAGACTTGACGGAGCCTCACTTTAAAAACAAAAACAAAAAAACTTTAAAAAAAAAAAAGGAAAAATTTTGTGATTGGCTGGTTGATAAATACCAGTGTGTTCTGGCACATGTAACTGCCCAGGCATGCTCGTTCTGGTATGTGTGTGCACGTGTGTTCATGTGCATTTGTGTGCATCCTCCTCTGTCTCTATGTGTGCCTGCGTCCTGCCCTCCTCATCTCACCCCAACCCTGATTTCCCAGAAAGCTGCATTGCTGACAGTTCGCAGGCTGGCTGGCCGGCCATCTGCTTTTAATTTTTTTTAACTATGAGAACACAGGAGCACAGGGGGCTGCTGCAGCTCAAGCCACTTCTTCGGGCTGCACTGAGACGAAGGGTGCTTTTCAATGAGAGCAGTAGCCAGAGCGTGAGGTTCCCCAGCCTTCCCTTGACCTAGCAGCAGAGCAAAGCACTGCCAAGTCCAGCAGTCGGCGGGGGGTACCTCTCAGAGCACCTGTTGCTCACTTCTGTGCTGTGAAATAGGCGGCCACTGAGCACACGGGAGTTTTAAGTCCCAAGCAGGCATTTTTTGCTACTTTGAATGAGAACAGAAGATTCAGTAATTTTTAAATCATGTGATGTTTCAAAAGCAAAAAAGCTGTGTTCCCACTTTACAAGTGATCAAGTGTGAGAATTTTTTATAAGGAATCAGGTAATGCAAATTAAATATTCTTATTGGTTCTCGTTATCATTTGAGGAAATCGGCAAATTGTGAGCAGCCTCCTGGAAGCATCGCAGCTCCTCCCTCTCTGCTCCTCTCTCGCTGAGCATTACCTGTGCCAGGCCGTGGCGTGTTACAGCACCAGGCCATCACTGACAGAAACGTTTACTTAACGAATGTTCTTAAACCAGTGTGTACTTCAGGCTTCTCCCCTTGTTTCTCTGTGTTGTTTCCTGTGTATGTGGTTTGCTTAGGCAGAAATAACTTAGCAGAGACTTAAGTATTGCACCTTGTTTTGGTTTTGACCTCTTTTTTTTTTCTTTCTTTCTTGTAATGTTGGTTTGTTTTTTTTTTTTAATTTTGGTATTTAAAGACTTTTTTAAAAAAGCATCAATGTAGTAGTTCTCTGGGCCGAACAGGAGGCAATGTTTAATTCACAGTTATCAACAACATGTATGTACTATGTTGGAAACAAAATATATCAAACTGCTTATTGTGAAGAGAGTGAAAGCAAACCTGAAGGGGAATCCTTACATACAAAATAGACGGTGGGCGGGGGGTGGGTGGGGGAGATGTGTGCGGGTAACATGCTAGCACTTGTGTGGATATCCCAGTCTGCATCGTACTGTTTGTTCAACATGAAGTGCCGACATTCTGTACCAGCAATTACCTGCCCATTCCAACCCCTGGTGGGAGCAGACCTCTGCTGTCCTCTTGTGACTTGCTGCTATTGAGGACAAGGGAGTTTTTCTTTCTTTAGCATCTTCAGTGAAGGATACAACAATGCCTAATGTATTTGACTTTCAGCTTGTGTATTTGTATAGGTGGGTAGGGTGATATGGATAGAAAAATGAAAAGCAACAAAAAACAAACAAACAAAAAACAAAATTGCGTGTAAGTGGCCTTGTGAGACAATGAGTGGGAAATTCTGTAGTCATCTTGGCTTACCCTGTTGAATATAAACCTGGCTTCAGAAGAGGCTGACAGGCTTTGTTCCTGTGCACTTGTGCTTGCCAGTCTAGGAGCCCTTGGCAGGAGGGTGGGCAAATGAGTTTGCAGTTCTGCTTTGTTCCTGCAACACCTTGTTCACAGGGACTCTGCCTTCCTCCTGCTTTCTGGTTTCTATCACCACCATCCCCTTCCCACCTCTGCCCCTACAAAATGTCTCTTTCCAGCCCCACTGACGCTTAGTGTTGGGACAGAGCTCTGTTGTGAATGGTGATTTCCAAGTGAAGTGCAGCTTATATTCAGATTATCTGCAGACTGAAGGCTAAATCTCAGCATCCCCAGACTCCAAGAGCCTATGGGGATTGTCCACTGCCGCTCTTGGTTCGTTCATGGCCCTGCCTGCCCTCTCCTCCTCCCCCACCTCCTCTTTCTGCCTGTTGGGTCCTTGACCTGCACTATGGCTTAGTTGAGTTCCTTACGATACTACGGTGAAAGCCGGGTGCTAGAGCCCCTCTTGTTTACAAGACATAATGAGGGATTTGAAATATGTAAAAATAAACACGAGAAGCTAAAATGTTCTTCCATCATAAGCTTAAAGGGAAAAAAAAACCTAAAAACTTTAAAAAAAAGACCAAAAAGTGCGCGTGTGTAGATATATATATATACATATATATATATATATATATATACACACACACACACATAAATATATATTTTAGATGAAGACTAACTCTGGGAGCATTTAACAGTGTTTTTGTTTTGTTTTTAACATTTATTTTCCTGCTTTAAAATTTGCGAGCATTCTCAGGAATTCTAGGGTAGGCAGCCAGTTTTTTGAAGATGGTTTATTTAACCGTATCTTATCCTAGATAGACAGCTGTTTCTTTCCCGTTAGTAAACTTTTACAAGTTCCTGAAACTTCGAAAAGTTTAAATGATTTTTACTTACAAAAATGTAAAAAGAAAAGTCTCCAAATGTAATTATCATACAGGGGATCACACATTTTAAGATACATAGAAATATTTTTTAAAAATTAACCAATTTAGCAGCAACAGGTAAATTCATTTTCTTAACAACTGTGGGAGAAGAATCAGGTTTTGTGAGCACTGTCATGGCCTCACTTGAGATTGTGTATAACTGAATAGGAGGGTGTTTGGTGTACATGAGTAGGATTGCCGCCACACTATAACTTCTTATAAGGCTGGACTGACATCTCCCCAGTCCTGTTTGTATTCTCCGATGCAGCCCTTCTCCCTGTCTCTCCAGCCCCATCAACAAAAGAAAGGAATAAAGGAAGAAAAACCAGCTAAAGAAAAAAGAATTGGCTCTTAAACTGTGTAAGTAGTGCAGTTCTTGGGTTGCTGAGAATCTGTGCAAAGAGTTAGGAAATATTTTAAACAAATCTTAAATATAAGCATTACTAAAGGAAAATTACCTAGGGACTCTTTTGTTCATGAAGAATGTCTGTTTCACCTCCATCTGTTACAGGAGGAGAAAACAGAAGAATCTAATAAGGAACAAGTGGTTTTACTTTGCTTTAGCTCCCAGCTACTGTTGTGCTTGTTTTAAATGCTGTTTTGAAGATCTGCTGCTTACTGTCCCCATCCTGGGTGGCAGAGATGTGGAGTGTTTCCTTTCTGTTTCGGTGATACTGAATTCTCCTTTTGTATTCCCTCCTGGGGCCAGAAGTCTTGGCCACAGCTTCTTTCAAACTTTAAGCTTCCCAGTGGGAAAGAAACTCCAGCTCCACAGGTAAAGTGAGTGGGTGGGGTTGCTGCCTGCATTCTCTGAAACCGCTTTAGTGCCTTCTTACATACACCCAGACATCCTAAGTAGGGGACGAGTGTGTATGTGCACGTGGTCCAGTCACTCCACGGTTAGTAAGATGCCTGCCTGTAAAGGAAATTGGAGTGTTTCTGGACAGGCCCCAAAGGCAGTGGGCTAAATCAAAAAAAAAAAAAATTGAGGAAGTTAAATACATTTTTTTGTCTGATAATGTGGGATGCCAAGTTCTTTCCTATGTTGTGTGCCCTCCATAGGTGCTGACTTTTCCGTGTGTAGAAGGGTGACAGTTCCAGTGATGGGGAAAGTCTTTTTGTGCCGGGCCAGTGGAAGAAGGCTCCTGCTTCTCGGCTTCTGTTTTCCTGTCTTCTTCCTGCCCCTCCCTTCTTCCATTTGTCACCTTTCTGGAAGCTTTTGTTAGTGATTGGCAGTGAGCTAAGAAGAGGATGTGGTGAGGGTGTCTGGAAGACAGAAAGCCCTTCCCTTCCCATGGTATTCTTTAGCAAAAATCCTGTCTACCAAGACTTTAGGTGACTTTGTTATACATGAAAAAATTCAGTGAGCATACCCTTCCAGCACGTTCTGGCATATATACAGAGGCTTGCTAGTCACCACTATTTAGATTTGTTTTGTACACATTTTAAGCATGTAAGTGTGAGCTTTCTGTTTTATACTAGGTGTTTTTGGTTTTGTTGGGTTTTTGTTTTGTTTTGATCTTGTTTTAAATGAATACCCACACCCACACCCTGATGGTTTCTTTTAGCCCTGGCTGTCCTGGATCTCGCTCTGTAGACCATGCTGGCCCCAAACTCACAGAGATCCACCAGCTGGCTTTCTTTTAAATTATTGGTTCGTGGTAGGTAGACATATATTTGTCTCATGAGCATCATAGACTTGTTTCTGTCTCCCATATGAGTAGCCAAAAGAAAAGCACAAGTTGGGGAAAGAGTTGTCTTCCATCACTCGGGAGAACCTCTGCTGCCGATGAGACCCAGTGCCATGACCCCATTTAAGGGTTGAGAAACAGGTCTCTGATACCCTGTTTAGGGAAAAAAGAAAAAGGAAAAAAGAATAGTCAGTCTCTTCTCTCAGCCCTTAATCCTTGAACCTTTTCATTTCCAACATTCATAGGAATGAACTTAGCAGTACAGCAGTGCTGGTTCATAAAACAACAGACTCCAAACTGTATTCTCCCTCAGTGTCCCTGGTAAAACATCACCATTCAGTTAGTTATTTACAGCCAACAGGGTTTGTATTGCAATGACTTGTGTTCTAAGAATTTTCCCACTTTGTTGTGAATGTAGCATGTTCAAAATTGAATGTGATCTAGAAGATAAAATGTGAGGGGGGGAGAAGGGAGGGAGAAGAATTCCTGCTAAGAACTCAAAAGGGCTTTCCCAGTGTACCTACCAGAGACTGAACATCAACTTCCTGCAAACATGTCTCCCTTCTCAAAGTGTGGTGCTGGGAGAGAACCCAGGACTTTGCCTTCGCTAGGCGAGCACACTCTATGCCTGAGCCACACAGTTCCTCCAGCCCTACTATCACTGTTACCCTCTTCTTAGAAGGGATGTGGTTTGTGTAGGGTTAATAGCCAGATTCTACTTCGACCTCAGATGCTGTGTACTTTCTAAATTATTTTCTCATATTCTGCCATTTTGACTCTTAGTGTCTCTATGCTGAACAAAACGTGTGCACCAAGCCTGCTCTCCTGTCCAGTTTCATAGGGCATTTTCAGCAGGCCTGGCTACGATAGCCATCTCTAAGATGAGGCACAAGTGAGTCTTTGTATAAAGAAGGTCCCATTCTTCCCTACCCTCTTTTGAGTTAAAATTCAGCCTATCCAGCCCTGCCATTTGTTGCTTTGGATTAGAGTTTTTTATTGTACATATAAGGTTTTCAACTAGGAGTAGAGAGAGACACGGTCTTAGCTGTGGTTGGTTGTTTGTTTAAGAGACTTTATTCTCCAGTGTTTCTGCCAAGTTACAGCCTGTGTCAGTGCATTAGCTACACTTCCAGTGTCACTGCAAAGAGAAACCTTGTTCCATGATCGTGTCTGTCTGCAGCTAGGGTTATTCTAGCCCGTGTGCAAGTGACTGTCCATCTTTAGATTCCAATGGCCATGCAGAGAACCTTCGCTCTTTATCTACAAGAATGTTCCCAGAGTTTGTATACTCCATGTAACAATGCCCTATAGGCTTATTGCCAGTGCCAAAGTTACGCTGTCATCGGAGATGATTATTGTCAACAATAGTATTTTTATTCTCAATCTTAAATTTGACACAGGGGATACCATACCTTCTTTAGATTTGAAATTATCAACTCCAAGAATCTAAAAATACAGTAATAATAAAAACTGAATAGTGGTCCAAGTTTGATGACACACACTTTAATCCCAGCATTTGAGAGGCAGAAGCAAGTGGATCTCTTTGAGTTCAAGGGCAGCCTGGTCTACATAACACGTCTCAGAGAGACTCTGTCTCATAAAGCAAAAATTGAATATCAATCCTCACTAAACTGCCAACATCTTCCCCAGTCCACACTGCCATAGGAGGACATGAACAAGATAAAAGAAGTTGACAGAGAGGCACTAGTCAGTGGAGTGCTAGCTCCTGCCAGGTCAGCATCTACTCTGCCCCTTGTGTATGGCCATCCTGACTGGGTCCTGAGCAGTCAGGAAGTATTTTTCATCAATTTAATGACTTGGGGCTTTTTGTCATTGTTTTGTTTTTGTTTTGTTTTGTTTTTTGAGACAGCGTTTCTCTGAAGCTTTGGAGCCTGACCTGAAACTCACTCTGTAGACTAGACTGGCCTCAAACTCACAGATACTCACCTGCTTCTGGCTCTGGCGTGCTGCAATTTAAAGACATGAGCCACCACCGCCCTGCTGAATGGTTTTTAAGATAGTAGCAAAGTGACAGAAACTGCTGATGTTTGCCTCTTGGCATTTAAATAGCTTTTTCTGATAAGGTGGGCCCATGGCAGGAAAAGGACCAGTGGCTCTGCAGAGCTGAGCATTGTTCCTCATGGTGACAGATTTACCTTTCTATGGTAGGGGACAGTCCAGGTACACTTTCATAAACAAGTGTTCTATTTTAAATAAAAAATAAATGTTTCCCAAGAGCGCTGTATGGTCAGCTTAGTTTTCACACTATAAGTAATCAGTACTTGGGAAATAAACTCCCAGTTGCAGTTGACCCAGTATCAGTAAATTCGGATGACTTCTTCCAAAAGGAAAATCCTCCCTTCCTACATTTCTTTCCCTTCCTGACTTCCTGGACCTTCTGGTGGGTTATTCAGTTCTTCTTGGGCCACCAAAAGGGTGCCCCACTCCTGGGGGTTGTAAAGGGACTGGAGGCAGATGGAACAGCCTTACTTTCGTGACTGGCAGGAAAAGGTGGTAGATGCTGAGTGTGTATGCCAAAACAAAAGGGGGAATCTTTATGCAAAACTAAACAAATCCTCGGGAATCCTTCAAGAGAGGTCACATACCTTGTAAAGGTAGGATGGTCATTCACCAAGTGATAGGTTTTAGCTTGAAACTTCTTTTTGCCAGAAGTTTGGGGTTATGTTACAATAATTGTGTTTAAAACACTACCCCTTTAATTCTTTCCAAGGAATCTCCTAAGTGTAGTACTTCTGAATGTGCCTTTGTCAGTCCAGAGACCAACCGTGGTCTGTCAGTCTCCTGGCAGCCCAGGGACAGCTGTTGCATTTTTATGAGCGTCCATTTTGCATAGTGTGGTCATGCTAAAGGGATTCTGGGTCTTGGGCCTGGAGGTTTTGAGCAAGGCTCAGGTTAGTCCAGTGCAGGTCAGCTGTCTACATCTGCATTCCCTAGTTTCGTGTGTGTGTGTGTGTGTGTGTGTGTGTGTGTGTGAGAGAGAGAGAGAGAGAGAGAGAGAGAGAGAGAGAGAGAGAGTTTCTGTAAGCACTGGAGCAATTGGAATGAGGTTATTTTGGTGACCAGTTCATGCATGTAAAGAAGGCGTTTCTGGCTTTGCGCTGCAGAAGGTGCATTTTTCACCCTCTGTCTTAGGAGGCCACAGTTTTCTCAAATGCAAGTCACAGCAATGTTGTTATTTATGTGAACAGGGTATATATTGCATGCAAGAAAAAAGGTTTTAAAAGAATTGAGACCAGTGTTTAAAATAGAAAAAACTCTGAAATCATATTGTAGTTCTTGAGATCTGTTGTAGTTAAATCTAGAGATGTGTAGTTTCTTCGTGTGTTTCATGTTGGTTTTCAACAACCCCACCTCTCCCACTCCCTATCCAGTAGATGCCAAGGGCCCTGTCCATCATCCTCAGAGTTTCTCCAGAGGAAAGCACTCTCCTAAGTTCCGTCAGCTTCATTCAGGAAGACAGAGGGAGACTGTGCTCTCTCCTGGTTGCCTTGGGATGTATTGTTATGCAAATGTGATTTTCACTAGAGGCTGTTGGGTTCTTGTGGGGGTTTGTTTGTTTGTTTTGTCAACAAAAACAACAAAAAGTCCATATGTGGTCATCCTTGCTCCATTTTGTAACCGAAATTTGTAACTATGCATTTTCTGAAAAGGGGAAAGGCGGGAAGAAGGGAAAGAAGTCGATTAGCATCTTTATGTTTTTTCCAGTTTCTGTGTCCATGGTATCCTTATGTCTGAGAGGGAAGGGGAGGAGAGGCTCGCCAGGTCAGCATAGTGAGGGCAAAAGGGACCTCCCAGATCCTGCTCTTTGGCAGGTCTAATTGCAAAGCAAATGCTGAGGGGTCTGCCATGCCTGTCCACCATTTTGGTGCAGGACTCTTGATACTGGCCATGCAGTGTTAACCCAGGGCAGCGTGGAAGCTTACATGCTCCAGTGTTCTCTGAACTCAGAACACTTTCAAGCTCAGGAAACCATGCCACACTCTGCTGACCTGAGAGTTCATTTTTACATCATTCTGAAAACTCCTCTTGTACATTTCTTTGTTGTCAATCATTGTGAATGGAACCATTCCTAATTATGAGCTAAGAAAGAGGGCTGTTGCCTGCTGTTGACTGACAGGCAAAAAAAAAAAAAAAAAAAAAAAAGCTTCCCTTCCCTGTTCTCTATCCCTGTCTCTGCTTCCTGTACTGAACTGGTGGTGCGGTGAGGTGTGGGGCACTAGAAGGCCTTTGTACTTCCTCTTTTTTGTTATAACAATTCTTTTGTGGAGTTGGACTGTGATAAATCATGGCACCTGCATTGCCCTGGTCTAGGCATTATTACAACACACAGTATCAGAAGCAAGAGCCGTTCAGCCTGTATCCAGTGTTTTCCACACAGCAATCTCTGTTATGTTCACAGTACTGTAATGAGTGACAGACTTGATCACAGTCTCTTTGTGTCTGTGCAAGGCTGCACAGGCATGATCTTATCAGGGTTCCAAATCTGCTCGATTGCCTTTAAACAAAAGCAAAACAACAACAAGAAAATCCTGGTGTTTCAAGTGTCTGACACAAAATGATACCTCAAGGTATATTTCCCCTGCAATGTAACCCCTTCACTCCTCTCTCCTTTCTTGACATCAGTGAGCTACTCTTTATAAAATACGGATGTGTAAATAACCAGATAAGTCTTTGAAACACTTTCTTTGCTGTGAAAATAACCCTAAAATATGATATTTGCATTTTAAGCCATCAGAAGTTTCAGATCTGAATTCTTTTCTTGTTGAAGAAGAAAAAGCAAAACAGGTCGGTGGGGTAGCTTTGGGTTTGTGGGACGGCTGTGGCTGTTTTCTCGCAGTGTTGCTCCTCCCCACAATACAGGACAGCAGACCACTGGCGATGTGTGCCCTAACTAGGTGCATCTAGTCCAGCACCAAGGCTCTTTGACATGTTCCATCCCCTCCAGGGACTTGAGAAGGTTTGTACCCAGGACCTTGAGTTCTCCGCCCCTTTTTGTTCACATGCACAAACTTCTTTCCCTTTAGTGTGGTTCTTTAGTTCCCAGTAGAGTTAGTCCTTGGTACTGCAGTCTATCCTATGGCTTTTTCAGCAATGCTCTGGAAATGTGTTTCTTACTTAGAAGGAAACTCAGCTGAGGGGACTGCAAACAAACCTTAAAGCCCTGTGCATACTAAGATCTTCCTCTATGCTGCTTACAGTCTACATTCTTAGAGGAAACACATTGACACATGCTGCTTGTGAGGGCCTTGACTGCTGCTGCCCTCCTAGACTTTGGGCTCCCACAAGACAAGGTTAGAAGACTCCCTCTTTTATCCCACTTTAACTCAAACCCCTATCTGTCAAGCTCATTAAGTGTCCCCCCTGATCTTGTTCAATGACGACTTCCTTTGAGGGAAGAATCTTGATGAAAGTACATGGCCATCCCCTGCCCATCTTCTGAGTGGCACCGTCCCCTGGGATTTTACTTCTGTAGTTTGTTTGGAGGCCCTTGCCTATCAGTGTGCTTCCTCTTGTCGCTGGGGTTCTGCCTGCCCTTGTTTTTCTCTCTGATGTTCCCAAAGGGCTTCGCTGATGTCTGCACCTCTTTCCTGGGCATCCCCTTACTACACCCTTTGCACACACCAGTGACCAAAGTGTATGCAGTGGTCTCAACACATCAAAATGGTGCACGCACCTCTAGTGTGCTCACAGACATGTGCACAAGATTCTGCACCCTTGGCCTTAATTTCAGCACGACTTAAGGTGCAGGAACATTTTTAACAGGTTTAAAAAAAAAAAAAAACTTCTGGGAGGGAAAATAAAGCAGATCCAACCGCTCAACCATGCCCACTCCCTAACTCCCAACCATCTGCTTACAGCTCATTCTGCATCCGCCCCAGCCCTGTTCTGCGCAACCAAAACCACCAACAAAAAGCAACCTGAGGAGAGGTTTCTGGACTGTTTTATCTTTCTCCCTTTAGATGGAGATACAAATGCTGCTTTGGGTTCTGTAATCCTAGGGGGCTATGTTTACATAGTGAAATTCATTCTACCAAATCAGGAAACAGTGAGTGAGAGACCCTTCAGTAATTGGTCACTGAGGCTGAACCAGAGGTGAGAGGACCTGGGGCTGTGGCAGAGGAGGAGAGAAATCCTGTTTAACTCATTGTGATACCTGGTTCACTCCTTCCTCTCTGCTCTCAGTGGCCCTCTTTGCCCCTTTAATCAAAAAGGTTCAGAGAAAGGCACCAGAAGGAGGCTGAAGTTTTAAGAGGCAGCTTTCCATCTTTGCACATGAACGGAAGGTACCGTGAAAATCCTCTCATTTGAAACACTCAGCAAAACAACCTGTCAAAAGGACTAAATCGCTGCACATGTTGATGCTCTCTGCAAGTTACCTATAAGTGTTTTGTTTTCTTTATACTTGAAATCGCTTTTACACAATATTATTTTGGTGACTTTCTTTTCTCTCTTCTGATGGGCAATAGAAGATGCAGGTGATAAGTTTTAAGGATATTTGAGGGGAGAAAAGGATGTGGCATTGTCTTTTTTAACATAGAGGTTCAGTCAGACTCCCATATGGTAAAGTTGCTTATCTTACTGGTTTAATGTGGACACAGAAACTAGGCACTTTGGTGGTTCACTTGCACGGCAGGCCGGCCCCCTTTCTATATTTTATTTTACTTTTTTAGTATAGTGGTACTTAAAATCACTGGTTCACTTAAAAAAAAAAAGTTAAACTCTACTAATGTACAAATAAGCTGAAAAGTTGCATTTTATGTGTATTTTTTGCCATAGCAGGTACTGTATTTTTCATGCTGGATTTCAAAATACACATATATATATATATATATCAAAAGCATATATATATATATATGTCAAAAACAAACAAAACTGAAGGGTGGTGTTTTATTGGATTGTGACAGGTTGAATAATAAGGAATAAAGTCGTAGTCATTTCATTAAAACTGAGAGATGATGTAACGCATATATAAAAGTTTCTGAAGGGTTTTTTTTGGGCTTTTAAACAGCTTATTTTGTTTTTGTTTAGTTTTTATTTTATTTTGGAAAGATATGATTGTATTATGTGCAACTCAGTTGCTTCATTATAACTACAAAATATTTTTGAGTTCCTGGAAAAAAAGAAAAAAGACTAATAAATGTGTTTGGCTGCTAAGCATTTACTTTTGTGGTTTCTGACTTTATTCTGACAGTTTGCTTTATTTGCTGACTTCTTCAATATCCCTCTTTTTCTCCCCCAACTTTTCCTTCCCATCCCCTTCTGGGTCCACACAAAAGCATGTCAGAAATTCACTATTTGAATTGAGCCTTCTTCTAAACTAGGCTGATCAGTCTGTTTCTGCTGCTTGCTGCCTGTTCCAGAGCTGGTGTTGTCTGCCATGGTGCACTATGTGTCATCTTTTGCTGTTGCCCAGTGTCTTGTTTATGTTTGCCTAAACACTGGGGTAGAAGAGGAGAGAAGATGTCCCTCTGCTGCTCTTAGCTGCTAAAAAGGAGACTGAGCTCTTTCACAGACAGCAACCAACTCTTCAGCAAAACCATGCTTGACATAGTCCAGTTAGCTGACAGTGGGTGGTGGCATTGCATGAAGCCCAGAGAAATTGTGTGCTGCTATGAGCATGCTACCTACATGCATGCACCCACTCAGGGACATTCACCTCTTCCGCTGGTAAAATCATACTAGCAACTCAGGTGGTGGTCAGGTCACATGAACACTTGAGTGGGGTGGGATCCACTCAGTGGTAACATACATGCTTGGCATGTGCAAGGCAGAGTTCAAAACCAAGTACCATGAAAGCTACTCGGAACTACCTGTGCCAAGAAACACCTGAAATCCTCTTACATACTGCCCAGTTTGTTCTTCATGAAGATTGTAAACATTGACCAGATATTATGCCTCACACCTTAATCTCGAGTAGGACTGAAAGTTCAAAGCCAGCCTGGAACTTTGGTGAAACCTTATCTCACAAAGATAAGAAAAAGCCTGTGGATGTGGCTCATTGATAGAGTGCATTAGATCCTGCCTTTAATCCTTACTTTCAACACCGGAGAAAATGTATATAAACATTGGGAAATGTGGGATGAAGTGCATATCTTTTTTTTTAAATATTTATTTATTTATTATGTCTACAGTGTTCTGCCTGTATGTCTGCCTGCAGGCCAGAAGAGGGCACCAGATCACATCATGGGTGGTTGTGAGCCACCATGTGCGATTCCTGGAACTTGAACTCAGGACCTCTGCAACAGCAGCCACTGCTCTTAACCCCTGAGCCATCTCTCTAGCCCCAAACTACACATCTTGAGGGCCTGCCTATGCCAACCCCAGATTTTGTTTAGGTTTTGGCTTGACAAATAGAGATAGGGGGGGAAAAAAAAACTACGAAAACCTTCATTGCCAAAAGCTTTAAATTTCAACCAGCAGGATGGATGTGCCGGTTGTAGTCCCAGCTCTCAGGATCTTTGACTCTACAGCAAGTTTTAGCAGACCTAGGCTATGTGAGACCCTGGCTCAAACAGAGCCTTCTCTCTTACATGTCCTATCTCAGGGCACCTCCACTCCTTCCTTCTGTCTCCCAGCTATACTCTGGAAACTTTGTTCCCAGGATTCCAGATGCGCATCTTTGACCATGGCATGACTTCCTGTCCTGCTGTCGGGCTCCTGTTCTTCGATGCTGTGCTTTGCAGAAGTTACATCCCGTAATGTTAGGAGCATGCTGTTCAATGTTTGTGAGCTCCACTGCTCCTCTTTGCCTGACACTTCAAGCAGTTTCTGTTGGGTAAAGGGGGCAAATATGGAACCTATAGATGTACCCTTAACTCCCTGCCACAAGACCTAGACACTGCTCAACTTCTTTTTTTTTTTTAAATATTTATTTATTTATTACCTATACAATATTCTGTCTGTGTGTATGTCTGCAGGCCTGAAGAGGGCACCAGACCCCATTTCAGATGGTTGTGAGCCACCATGTGGTTACTGGGAATTGAACTCAGGACCTTTGGAAGAGCAGGCAATGCTCTTAACCTCTCTGAGCCATCTCTCCAGCCCCGACTGCTCAACTTCTTGCATTTCTCTGAGCCACGCATTTTGCTACTGCGTTCTCAATTTGAAACCTTTGAAAAGTTGCTGCTGCTCAGGAGGTTGAGACAGGAGGATTCCTTGAGCCCAGGAGATGGATGCTAGCTTGGGCAGCACAGCATGCATGTCTCCCTCTCTTTGGTTTCTTTTTTTAGACAGGACCTCACTCTGCTTCCAGGCTAGCTTGAAATGCTTTAATGTAGCCCAGGCTAGCCTCAAATACACTAGCCCTCCTGTCTCAGCCTCTCAAATGCTAGAATTACAGGGACAAACCACCACACCTGGTTTTACCACCACATTGGCCCCACTGATTTCTCATGTTCAGTTCCCTGTCCCCCTTCCAGTTTATATGTAATAGGATACATGTCACAATACAAATCTGATAGTCATGTTCCAACCTTTAGTGACATCCCATTAGAATAACACCACATCTAGCCTTATTTCTAGTGAGGTTTTCACATGACTTTCATGTACCTGTACTTGTACCCCAAGACCCACTACCTGTCCTTTCCACACTCCAGCCTAGTAACATCTCACTGTTGAGTTGCAAGGCCTCTACTTTGTGTAGAGAAGATGGACGATCCTTATGGGTGATAGGATGTTGTAGCAAAAAAAAAAAAGGAATGATCTACATTTGTAATTCCACCACTGAGACTGAAAGGCCAAAGGATACCCTCAGGCTTGAGGCCAGCCTGGGCCTCAAATATCCAGAAAAGTTTTTGTCTACATTTTTATACGTTTATGCATTTGAATTGGGAGTGTCAAGAAAAGATTTTTCAGGACTCCGATCTCTTTACCATGTAGGTTCTGGAAATCGAACTCTAGTTATCAGAAACCCCTTCATCCACCGAGCCATTTCTCTAACCCAAGGTTTTTTTTGTTTCTTGAGAACCAGGCTGAAAAAACAAGGACCTTAAGTGGGAAACTATAAGCTAGAGATGCAGATCAGTGGTTAGACTCCTGCATAGTATTCCAGGGCCTAGATTGATGTCTAGTGTCCAGGAAGGAGACAGTTATAAAAGCTGGAGATGTAGGTACTTAGCATTCAGAGGTAGGCATGGCTAGTGACTCACCCTTGGAATCATGGCGCTGGGAAAATGGAGACAGGAAGATAGAAGTTAAAGGTCATCCTTGGCTACACAACAAATTTGAGGCCAGACTAGGCTACTTGAGATCCTGTCTCAATTTCAACAGAAATCAAAAGAGATTAGAGAGATGGCTTGGGTTAGGAGCACTTGCTGCTCTTGCAGAGGACCTTGGTTCAATTCTCAGCACCCACATGGTGGTTCACAGCCATCCCTAACTCCAGTTCCAGGGGATACAATGCCCTCTTTTGATCTCTGTGGGCATCAGGCATGCATGCATGTGATATACATACATATATGCAAGCAAAACACACATAAAACGTGAATAAATCTAATTAAATTTTGAAGACCCAGCTACAAGAAAGGGGGAGGAGGGAATAAAAAAAAAAATCCTGGTCTGGAGAGATGGCGCAACAATTAAGAAACTGGCTGCTCTTCCAGAGGATGTGGGTTCTAGTCCCAGTACCCACTGGTGGCTCACGCCCTCTTCTGGCTTCCTTGAGCACTGCATGCATGTGATGCACATACAGGCATAAGACCCCCACACAATAAAAGGCCAAAACTAATCAAGAGATGCTACTTCAGGTAACAGCTGCAGCCAGATGGACCTATCTAGGCACTGATCAAACACAACACTTTGGAGGCCTCATGGACTCAGAAGGTAAGCCTTTCAATGGAAGTAGAGAGGAAGGGTGGGTTGAATCTTGGGCAACCCCCATCACTGTTCCAGGGGTAGTGTGTGTGTGTGTGTAGGAGGAGGAGGCTGAGGGAAGGGAGGAGAGTTGCAGAAAGGAGAGACAGGAAGGAAGTGCCAAACGCTTGCACCAGTCTGGAGGGGTGAATGAGTACAGGAAATAGGAAAAGAAAAGCTGTTTGTCACAAAAATCAAAATAACATAAAGATGTATGTTAGGAATTTCTACAGACCTCGCCTGTCTATTGTAGCCCCTGCACTCCCTCCACACCTTCCTATGCTTTATGCAAATACAAACACATATTATAGAACACAGTCTTTTTAGCAAGATAACAAAAAGAAAAATGAGAATATGGGTGTTGGAAGCACGCCTTTAACCCCAGCACTTGGGAGGCAGAGGCAGGTGAATCTCTGAGTTCAAGGCCAATCTGGTCTATAAATCTCTGAATTCCAGGACAGCCAGGGCTACACAGAGAAACCCTGTCTCAAATAAACAAATGCCAAACAGCTGGTCACCTATAAGGCAGGTGGATCTCTATGATGCATTCAAGGCCAGCCTGATTTGCATAGTGGGTCCCAGGCCAGTTAAGGTAACAAAATGACACTCTCTCAAAAAGTCCTAAGAGAAGGAAACAGGACCAGTAGAAAACTAAAGGCTAAAATTATAGTTAGATGAGGGAAAAGTAACAGGAGCCCAAGTGAAGCAGAGGGAGGGCTGGGAAGGCCGAGAATAGTTGATTTTGCAAGGATCGCTGCAGAAAGAGAACAGTGAGCCACTACAGGCATCAAAGCAGCTATACCCCCAGACCAATTCAGAGTGCACTGTCCCAAGAACCCCAGTCCAGCCTTCTGCTGTTCTGGGAGAACACCAAGGAGTCATGGACAGAAGCCTTGAGGAGGTGGCTCTGAGGGAGGCTGGGGCAGATGGAACTGTGTTCGGATCTAATGTATCATGCCTATTTCTGTTGCTGAACTATGCTTCTCTGAGTGGGTATTTACTCATCTACCCATTGTTTAATGAGTACGTACTCTGCCACCTGTGGTGCTGGGTAGAGGTGACCAAAGCAAACAGAAGGGATCTCTGTCCCTATCTGTGAGTTTTACGGTCAGGGTCACCATAACATGAGAAACTGTATTAAATGGTCGCAGCATTAGGAAGGTTAAGAAAGACAGCTCTGTCAAGATAGCTGTCAATTGGCAGGCATGGTAGCATACGCCTCTAATTACAGCACTTGGGAAGCAGAGGCAGGTGGCTGTCTGTGACTTAGAGACTGACTTGGTCTATGTAACAGTTCCAGGAGAGCCAGGGCTACATACTGAGATCTTTCAAAAAGACAAAAAAAAATAGCTGAGGGGTGAGGGAGTAAGCCTTTAATTCCAGCTCTCAGGAGGCTGAGGCGGGCATATCTCTGTGAGTTCTAGGCCAGCCTCGTCTACAAAGGAAGCTCTAGAATAGCCGGGGATACGCAGAGAAACCCTGGCTCAGAAAATAAAAACGAAAACATTGCTGTCATTGGAGTTTGGCATGGGACACAACTTTAACCCTAACACTTAGGGTGACAGAGTCTCTCTGTGAGTTAGAAGTCAGCCTGATCTACATAGAGAATTCCAGGGAGTGACAGCTGCACAGTGAGACACTGTCTCAAAATTTTTTATTAAAGTAACTGTCAGCAATAGTGTTAAGTGAGCAAATCAGGAGCTTCACTTCATACTGCAGCAACCTGCAGCAGCCCCTTTTATCTACTCGAGTTTGTTTTGTTTTGTTTTGTTTGGGTGGGATGTAGTTGTTTGAGACAGTGTCTCAAGTAGCCCCCGGAGTCTTAGGGGGTCTTAACTTACTATGCAGCTAAGAATGACCGAGCTCCTGATCTTCCTGCCTGCATCTTCCAAGTGCTGGGTTTACAAATGTGTACTGCCATGCCTGGCTTCTCAAAACAATTTTTTTTTCAAATTTATTTACTTTTTTACTAATGGTTTTTATTTCTAGCGCTTGTACTTAATTGTCATATAAAGTGTTAGACATTATGACACTTTCTAATAAAGTGACTTTAGTGATTACCCCCATCTCCCCCACACGCTGCTCCCTAGGAGCCTCTTCCTCTCAGTCTCAGAGCAATCTTAAAGGCAGGCCTTTTTTTTTTTAATGATTTGTTGTAATGCATGCATCGGTGTTTTGCATGCATGACTGTCTGTGTGAGACTGTCACATCCCCTGGAACTGGAGTTACAAACAGTTGTGAGTTGTCATGTGGGTGCTGGGAATTGAACCCCAGTCCTCTGAAAGAGCAGCCAGTGCTCTTAACTGCTGAGCCATCTCTCCAGCCCCAAAGGCAGGTCTTTTTTGTTATTATTTTTTGATTCTTTTGTTTTCTGCTGAAAGTCAATTTATATTGCTTTGCCCTTTCCTGTGCAAATATAGAAGTCAATCGAATTTTAATGTATCAAGTTTTTAGGGTTTTTTTTTTCTGGAGGGGGATTTTGAGACAGGATTTCTCTGTGTAGCTTTGGAGTCTGTCCTGGAACTCACTCTGTAGACTAGGATGGCCTAGAACTCACAGAGATCCGCCTGCCTCTGTCTCCTGAGTGCTGGGATTAAAGGCGTGTGCTACCACCACCCGATTAAGTATTAGTTCTTTTTTTTTTTTCTTAATGTATATGATTTTCATTTTTATTCTGCCACAGAAAAATTGAATTTCGGGTTGGATTTGTTCCGGAGCGGTTACGCGTTGACTGTTGACTAATTCTGAGAGGCAGCTCTGGGAGCACCAAACCCGCAGGGCGATTAGGATTTTGTCCCCCCCTCCCCCCTCCCCCGCGGAGTCTGGTTCCTGCGGGCTGCAGAACTTCCAGGCTCCGCTGGGGCTCCTTCCCGGCGTCCCTGCGAATGCCTCCGGAACCTCTCTTTCTGTATTAAAGGCTGGTCCTAATGTGTGTTCCTCAGATGGAGAGCACTGAGGAGGCACCGGGTGGGCATCGATTAAGAAGTTTTAATCGTGTTTCGTACAAACCAAGCTAAACACCTTGACGCAGCAGGGATGGGAGAAACTGGTACTTCCACCACCCTGTCAACGCTACGCCTGGGGCGGAGCCGAGAGAGGAAGTCCCGCCCAACGCGCGCCCAGGCTTCCGCTTTTGGCCGTGCTGCTCGTGTCTGTCGCTGCCGCGGTCGCGTGCTAAAAATGGCTGCAGCCGGGGACTCCGGCGGTCCTGAAAGCTACCGTTCTCCGCTGGCGTCCCGCTATGCCAGCCACGAGATGTGCTTCTTATTCAGCGACAAGTACAAGTTCCAGACGTGGCGGCAGCTGTGGCTGTGGCTGGCGGAGGCTGAGCAGGTAAGTGGCCGTGCCCCGTGTCGCGAGGAAGGTCACAACCCGAGCACCTGTTGCCTCGGGAACAGTCCCAGAGTCCTGCGCATCCTTTGGAGGACTTCAGTTTGGCCAAGGCTTTGGGAATAAGCTTCCTTCCACAGCACAGCTCATGGCACATGTTATTTAATCCTTGCAGGCTCAGGGGGGAAATGCGCTTGCTGCCAAGCTTGCAGACAGGGGTTCGAGCCCCGGTCGACATGGTGGATACTATTTGCCTTCCAACCTCTACGCGCGCACACACATACACAGGCAAACACATATACACGCACACGAACCAAAAAATAAATGGTTAAAAAAAAAAGTTTGTTTTATCTGCGTTGCAAACTTGACGATTTCCCCCACCTTTTTTAAAAAGACGTTATTTATATATTTAATTTTTTGTGTATAAATGTTTTGCCTCCATGTATGCATGTTCCACACACACATACCTGGTTGCCTGGAGAGGGAACTAGTTGACAGCCTGTTGTAAGCTGCCATGTGGGTCCTGGGAACCGAACCTGGGTCCTCTGCAAGTGCTTTTAACCACTGAGCCATATCTGCAGTCCACGATTTTTTTTTTCTTATGAGGGACAAAACCAAGTCTGTAGGGAGCAAGGCTTGCCCTCGGTTGCCGAGCTGGCTCCTGACAGCAGAGCTGGGATTTGAACCTGGATCTTTGCAGAGCCTAAGCTGAGCCCTTAGCCTCTCCATCTTCCTCGGTGCCCTTGAAGTTAGTGACAGCTTTGGAATCTGTTTCTGCGCTGCTATCGCTTCTTCTTTGTGTGTATTTTGTTCTGAGAAGGGAGGATCTGGGCAAGTGTTTATTGCAGAGGATTTGTGGGTATGCAGGGTTGTTTTTTGGTAGTGGTTTGATTTTTAAGTGGTGGGGAGGTTGGTTTGTCTGTCTTTGGAGATGATATCTCACTGTGTAGCATGGCTGGCCTCAAATTCAGAGATCGGCCTACCTCTGCCTCCTAAGTGTGAGGTTAAAGGGTTCGAAGACACAGTCACTTTAATAGTTTCTCTTACATGGGCTGCATATATTCATCCCAGTATATACATGCATGCATGTATACATACATACATACACACACACACACACACACACACACCCCGCCCTCCCCCAAGACAGGGTTTCTCTTTGTAGACTTACTTGCTCTGTAGACCAGGTTGGCCTTAAACCCAGAGATCCTCCTAAGTGCTGGGATTAAAGGCGTGCGCCACCACTGTCTGGCCTCAGCCCAGTATTTTTAAAAAATGTATTGAAGGAGAGGTTTTCCAGAGAAGGGATAGAAGCTGAAGGTGATCCAGAGAGCTGTAATGCTTCTCAAGTTTAAGAGCAGGTTAGCAGTGTGCTCACCAAGAACTCAGTGCCTAGGACACAAACTTTTATCCTGCATTCCCTGTCCAACCCCTCCACTGTGCTTCCAGACATCACTGAAAGGATGGCAGCAATTTCTCCAGTGCCTTCTGGTCCCAAGCCTGCTTTAAGGCCTTCTATGATAGTCTAATAGTCCTTAAATATGTATAAATGTCATGTACTCTTCCCCTCATTTAAAGGAAAAGAGAAGCTATGGTGATGGAGCGGTGGCTCAGCACAGCAGCCAAGGGCTTGTGCTGCTCTTGCAGAGGACCTGGCTTGAGTTCCCAGCACTGATATCAGGCAGCTCCCAACTGCCTGTAACACCAGTTCCAGGGGATCCAACATCCTTTCTAGATCCTACTGAACCTACACTCACGTGAAAGGCCACATGCACGCACATACGCGTATATACATAAGTTTTATTTTAATTACTTTTTGAGATTACAATTGCTTCTCTCCCTTCCGTTTCCTCCTTCCAGCCTTTCCCATGTAACCTCACACACACACACACACACACACACACACACACACACAGGTACGCGCACATGCGCGCGCCTTGTTCTTTCCCAAAATGCACAGCCTCTTTTTCTTTAATAGTTGTTGGTGTGTGTGTTCCAAGTATATACAAACAACCTGCTCAGTCCGTAAAATGTTGCTTGCATGTCTGTTTCCCAGGCTGACCATTTGGTGTTGGATAACCTAGAGGAAAACTATTCTGCTCTCAGCATTCCTTAGTTGGCTGTCGTTTTTTGTCTAGAGTTGTGGCATCCTGAGCTTCACCCCTTCCTTGTTGGCGTGTCTGTGATTGGTGTCATCTTGTTTTGCTCACATTTAGGCAGCTGTGTTGGTGAGACTTCATGGGTATAACTTCTGGCATTTCTAGGAGACACAATTTCACCACAAATCCCTTTTTCCTCTATCTCTCACAGTCTTTCTGACCTTCCTTCTGCCAGGATCTCTGAGCCTTATACGCAGTGGCGCTATAAATGTATCAGTTGGGACTGGGCTTCACAATCCTGTCCTGATAGGTTATGGTTCTCTGTAGTGGACTCAGGAAGCGTCTTTGATGGGAGTGAGACCTACACTTAACTGTGGGTTTAAAGACAAATATTTAGAATGTAGTTTACAGGTAATCCATTGCAGGTTCTCCAAGATCCGTGACTTCATTAGCCCAGGTAGTTTCCAGAACTGGGCATGATTTCCCTTCTGTTTGAGCAGGCCTTAAGTCTAGTTTTAGAGCTGTTGGTTACCACTGAGAAATTCGTACCACCACTGCACCCATCTACATAAAATAAAATAAATTAAAAAAAAATGAGAAATGACCCAGTGGTGGTGCCTACCTTTAATCCCAGCACTGGATTAAAGATAAAGACAGACAAGTATCTATGAGTTTGAGGACAGCATGTTCTACAGAGTTCGAGGACAGCCAGGACTATACAGAAACTCTGTCTGAAAAAACAAAACAAGAGAGAGAAATGAAAGATTAGGAGAAATACATAGTGTGAGTTTGTATGGGTGTGGGGGGGCACACATGTGGAGGTTACATGACCAATCTTTGTGGAATAGGTTCTCTCCTTCCACCTGTGCACAAGTTGCGGCTTTCCTGGCAAGTGTTTTAGCGGCTAAGCCGGGCTTGCTTTCCTCTGGAGACGGTGTTTTATTTTTTTTTAAATATTTATTTATTTATTATGTATACAATATTCTGTCTGTGTGTATGTCTGCAGGCCAGAAGAGGGCACCAGATCTCATTACAGGTGGTTGTGAGCCACCATGTGGTTGCTGGGATTTGAACTCAGGACCTCTGGAAGAGCAGGCAATGCTCTTAACCACTGAGCCATCTCTCCAGTCCCTGGAGACGGTGTTTGACATGAAGTCAGGGTCCTTCTGCTTCTCCCTCCAAAGTGCTGGGACTATGGCAGGAACCGCACTAAGCCCGGCATTGTGGAATGGCTATTTTAGTTGCTGTAAGTACAGCTGAGTCAGGTGGAAGGCCGCCACACTTTGTACACTTAGGTTCCGTAAGGATTTAGTAATAAATAGAGCAAAGCTCTCTTCTCATGCAGTGTGCTTTCAAGAGAGCAGAGTAGGTTAATTAAAGTGTGGCAGTGTCATACAGCGGCGATGTGCTCAGTAAAGCCAGGCTAAGGAACAGCATTGACAGGGACACTAGAGAAGACTTTTTTTTTAATGACACGTGAGCCCAAAGACTAGAAGGAGAGAGGGAGGAGTTAACAGTCAACACCAAGACTCTGTTGCTTCCTGTTCAAGAGTTTTCTTAGAAGATTCCTCCATGCCGCCTCCTGAAACCCGTACACTTGAACTTGTTGCCCCAGGTTTTAATTTAAGACTTAATTCATTTCACGTACTAGAACATAAAGGTTACTGAGCTTTATTTGCCTGTTCTGCAGACCCTGGGTTTGCCTATCACAGATGAGCAGATCCAGGAGATGAGGTCCCACCTGAGCAACATTGACTTCCAGATGGCGGCTGCGGAGGAGAAGCGCCTGCGGCACGACGTGATGGCTCACGTGCACACATTCGGCCACTGCTGTCCGAAAGCTGCGGGCATCATTCACCTGGGCGCCACCTCCTGTTACGTCGGAGACAATACAGTAGGGGCCTGTGCAGCTTGTGCTGGGGATTCAGCCTTTCTAATATATTTGTGTGTTCTTAATTTTCCAAACTGAGCAAGGGCCTTTCTAACCACTGTTGGCTTCTGAAAAGAAAGAATAGTATTGCAATTGTTCTTTTTTTAATTATTATTTACTCCGTGTGTTTGGGTGCTTTGTCTGCATGAATGTCTGTGTACTATGTGTGTGTCATGCCTGCCCAGTAAGAAGAAAGTGTGGGATCCCTTGGAACTGGGGTTAGCTGTCGTGTAGGTGCTGAGACTTGAACCCAGGTCTTCTGGAAGAGCAACCAGTGCATTTAACCAGTGAACCATCTCTGTCTTCAGCCACTGTTTCTGCCTCTAGTTCCAGAAAGCTGACCCGTACCTGCGTTCACAGAGCATTGAGTCATTTGAGTGTGACTTTGATATCTCCATTTCTGCACATGAGAAAGTGTATAAAGAAAGTTGTAAGAAGCAACCCGTGATTACATAAGTAGAGAACCAGGCGCTCTGTAGGCTGGGTGCAGTGGCGCATTCCTATAAACAGCTTGAGACCCCGAATAGGAGGGTCATTTGAAACATTTAGTGACACTGCCCAGTACTTTAATACTTGTCACTCTGCCCCTCTGAGACCTGAAATTAGATTCCAAATAAATTTCAGTTGAAGATGACATATTTTTGAGACAGGGTCTCACTCTGTGGACCAGGCTGGTGTCAAACTCAGAGATCCACTGTTTCTGACTCCCAAGCTCAGGGGTTAAGGGTGTGCATCACTCCCAACTTTTATTTTTATGATGGGGGTCTCAGTATATGTTTGTGTTACCTAGACTGGTCCTCAGCTGGAACGCTCGCTCTACTTTCTGCCTCAGCCATCTGAGTAGTTGAGTACAGGTGGGAGCCACTGGGGCCAGCTCCTCTTTAGTGTTAAATAATGTATAATTAAAGATATCTGTGTAAGGGTCAGATGAGGAAGAATAATCCTCTTACTTGGAAAATATTCTTTAGTTGCGTGTACTTACTTATTGGGGGGCTATGTGTACCATGGTGTAAGCATGGGGGTCAGAACAACATAGGCAGCTGGCATTCCCTTTCCAGCGTAGGCCCTTGAGGTGCAGCTCGGGTCTGGCAGGCTTGGCGACAAGCACCTCTGCCCGCTGAGCCATCTTGTTGACTCGGAAAACCTTTTTTTTAAAGTTCGCAGTGATGCTTTGTCTTTGTGATCCTTGTGACATAGGGGCCTGCTGTGGAGTCACCCAGAATACGTTCTCTTACTCCTGTGAGAGCGGTTTGGGGCCTGCAGGTGGAGCTCAGTGGGTGGTCACTTTTCTAGTCACATGCGACACGAGGTTCTTCCCTGGGAAATTGCAGCTTCTTAAGCCTTGATGTTCTAGATCATGCCTTCCTGTGCTAACAAGTATAGATGACCAGGGCAGGGTGGCTTCAACCTGTAATCCCAGCACTTGGGAGGCAAAGGCAGGGACAAGACCAGCCTGGTCTACAGAGTGAGTTCTAGGACAACCAGAGATACATAGAGAGACCTCACCTCGAATGAATGAATGAGCAAGCAAACAAACAGGTGAGAAAAAGTAGGGAGAATAGTGATGGAATGTCTCATATAAGAAAGAAGAAATGAGTCAGTGTGGCTAATAAAAGTCCCCGCACCCCAGTAGTCCTGCTGCTCTGTATGTTGCTCCCCACCCCAAGAGCATCTCCTGTAGCCAACACTACCTAATCTTTAGCTTGAGCCTGCTGTGTGGGCAAGGATAACCTTGAATATATGATCCTCCTGCTTGTGCTTCTCAAGTGCTGAGGTTACAGGTGTTGCCACCTTTCCAGGTTAGTGATGCTGGGGATGGAGCCCATGGCCTGCATGCGCTAGGTGAATATTCTGCCCACGGGCTACATCCCCACCCCAGCTTCTATGTTTTTAAATGGTGATGAGGGAAAAACCGCCTCTTGACATCTTTTGGAGCACATTTTTTGCTGATGATGAGATGGGTTGCTTGCTAGCTGAGACACCAGCTGTAATGGCAGAAAGTATTAAAATTATAATACTGCTGTTTGACTGTTTAATGTGAAATCTTTGAATTTTCTTTTTCAGGACCTCATTATTCTGAGAAATGCATTTGACCTGCTTTTGCCAAAGGTAAGATGCTGACAGGAGTTTCCTACCAGTTTAGATGCCTCATAATAGGAATGACCTGAAACTGTGTGAATTCAGGCAGTCAGTACCTAATGTTGTCAGGTCAGGAACTCTGTACGTCATCTGTGGAGTTAATTGTTTCTTCTTGCATTAAAACATAAATATGGTGTTCACGTGTCCTTAATCTCTGCAGTGGGAAAGCAGAGGCGGGTGGATTTCAGAGTTAAAGGCCAACCTGGAAGAGTAGAAGTGATTGATTGCTTTAAAGCATAACCTTTTAAATGTAGTCGGTGCAACCAGAGACGCATTGCCGGAGTGTGTCGGGTTAGGCCATGACTTGATCCTGTTCTTCTGCAATGGTCTTAAAATAGCTCGAGAAATGTTAGGGAGTCGACTCAGTTTTCAGATGTTGGGTCCTGTGGTCCTTGCCCGGGGCACTTCAGGATACAAAGCTGAAATGACGTGAGCACTCTCTTCATTGAGCTGAGGTGTAATTTTATGTTAAATTTTGTGAACATTTAGCTGAAGTTACATAAAGAACTCAGTTGAATTCACGCTCTTTCCCCCACATGCTCTTTCTTGTAGCTTGCTAGAGTGATCTCGAGACTTGCTGATTTTGCTAAGGAACACGCTGCTCTGCCCACCTTGGGTTTCACACATTTTCAGTAAGTGATAAGATGACTGTCGGGGAATTGAACTTACTGTGTGCTGTTGAGGCCAGAATCTCAAAGTGTAAGCAGATAAGTCGGGACACTGTTAGAAATGTGTCTGAAGCTTTGATTAGAAGCTTTTTCTGGGGACTGGGGCTGTTGCCTCATGGGAATGTGATTGTCCGGCATGATTGAACTCTTGAGTCCACATCCAGAATGACAAGAAAGAGTAAATAAGCTACATTGACACCATGCATGGAGGCACACGAGTGCAGTCCCAGCTACTGACGGCCTGAGTGGGAAGATAACTTAGCCCATAAGGTCTAAGCTAGACAGACAACAAAATAAGACCGTCTCAACAACGAAAAGTATAACTTTTTAATGACTACGTTTATTTAAATTTATTTATTTATTTGTGTGCAGTCATGACAGTGCACATGTGGGGGACAGAGGACAACATGTAAGAGTTTGTTCTTTCCTTCCATGATGGGATTGAACTCAGGCCATCAGACTGGGAGTAGACTCCTTACCAACTGAACTACCTCACTGACCCAAGAATTAGCAGTTTGTAGTTATCAAAAGCAAAGAATCATTCATAAACTTATCTTCTTTTTTAATGTCTGTGTATGTTTTGTCTGCATGTATGCGTGTTTCTCTACCACTTGCGTGTCTGATGTCTGAGAGACCAGAAAAGGGCATCAGACCCCCTGAAGCTAGAGTTACAGGTTATGAATCCCTATGTGGAATGGAGCCTGGGTCCTCTGGAGGAGTGGCCAGTGCTGTAACTCCGAGCCATCTCTCCAGTCACTCACATTCCTTTTTATTCTTTTCCTTTTATTTTTCTTTCCTTTTTTGGGTTTTTTTTGTTTGTTTGGGATTTTTGTTTGTTTGTTTGTTTGCTTTTGGGGGGGGGTTTGGGGGGAGGGGTTTTGAGACAGGGTTTCTCTGTGTAGCTTTGGATCCTATCCTGGAACTCTCTCTGTAGACCAGGCTGGCCTTGAACTCACAGAGATCCAAGTGCTGGGATTAAAGGCCTGCACCACCACCATCCAGTTTTTTTATTTTTAATTATTATTTTTTATTTTCTTAAGTGTCTAGCCCAGGGCAGTAATCCAGACTCAGAGGAAAGCATTATGTGAGAATGTCATTTATGGTATCATTGAAAAAAGTCTAGATGACTTGGCAGATAAAAGAATATAAAAGAATAAATAATTAAATAAGGTACAGTATGCCCAGAGGTTGGAGTAATACCCAGCAGAATGTTGTTCATAAGGCAGTGTGAAGGGGCAGGAGAGATGGCTCAGCAGTTAAGAGGCTGCTCTTCCAGAGGTCCTGAGTTCAATACCCAGCAATCACATGGTGGCTCACAACCACCTGTAATGAGATCTGGTGCCCTCTTCTGGTGGGCAGGCATACATGCAGACAGAACATTGTATACATAATAAATAAATAATTTTTTTAAAAAAAGACAGTGTAAAGGTGGTGGTGGCACACACCTTTAATCCCAGCACTTGGAGGCAGAGGCAGGTGGATCTCTGAGTTCGAGGCCAGCCTGGTCTACAGAGTTAGTTCCAGGACAGCCAAGGCTACACAGAGAAACCCTGTCTCAAAAGAAAAAAAAATGACATTATGAAAGTATGTTTAGGTTTATGTTATGGGGACAAGAAAGTTTAAATAACACAAAGACCAGGTATCATGATATATGCCTTTAATCTCAGAACTCGGGAGGCAGGGAGTTATGTGAGCTCAAGTCCAATCTGGTCTATATAACAGGTTCGAGGCTAGCCAAGGATACATAGATCTTTTCTCAAAAGAAAAAAAAAATGTTGTAGAAAAATTACCACCTTGTTAATTTGATTACTCTGGTTTAGGGAAATCATAATAATTAATGATTTTAATTATTATGGCTCAGAGTTTAAGAGCACTAACTGCTCTTCCAAAGATCCTGAGTTCAATTCCCAGCAACCGCATGGTGGCTCACAATCACCTGTGATGAGATCTGGTGCCCTCTCTTGGCAGAATATTGTATACACAAGAAATCTTTTTCTTTCCTTTTTTTAAATTCCCCTTTTGGCCTGTGTGTATGTTGACAGAAGCTCTATCCTAGCGCTGCACTCCGAACCCTGTTCTTTCTGCTTTTCTTACTTTGTTTTGTTTTGTTTCTGACAGGGCTCGCTGTGTAGCTCTGGCTAGCTTGAAACTCCTGTGTAGATCAGGCTAACCTCAAACTCGAAGAGCTGTGCCTGCCTCTGCCTCCCAGTGACGCATGGCGAGCTCAGCCCCAGCCGCGTAGTTTTTATTTTTAGAATATTCAAACATTTCTATAATCACTAAATACAGCCCTAAAAACCGTATCACCTTTGGAATGCTAAATTATTTTTAGTATATTTACAGTATATGATAATTAACACCTTAATTTTATAATATCACCATCAGCAATCTCTTCTGCCACCCCTCCCCACCCTGGCAAACACAACCCTGTTTTTTGTCTGTAGATTTGCTTACCTCAGAGATTGCATCTAAATGGAATCATGTACAGTGTTATGACCTTCCATAGATGACTATTTTGTGTAAAATTTATCTAATCATAGTGTAGTATGTGTCTGGAATTTATTTTTTCTTATGACTAGGCAGCATCCCATCCATAGATCTCCCTTTTTTTTGTTTGCCCCTTCATCAGTTGTGAGCATCAGTTTGGGTTGGCGTTTTACAACTGCCATGAATAGTGCTGCCACGGGCATGTCCACACAGGTCAGTCTGCAGGAGTGAGCCAGGAAGTCTTGGTTAGGGTTTCCCGGTGTGACTGGGTGTCAGTGGCTGTTGTAAGCATTTCTTATCAACATCTGGCCGTCTACACAATATACTTTGTCCCTAGCCTTTGATTAAAACACCTCTAGGCGCCGCAGTCTTAAGTCAGTAATCTTGTCTCTTTACGCTGTGTGAGGCTCTGGCTTCCATCCCCAGAACCTAGAAGGAAAATAGCCTCTTCCAAACAATTTTTTTTTTCGAGGTAGGGTTTCTCTGTGTAGCCTTGACTGTCCTAGAACTCACTCTGTAGACCAAGGTGGCCTCCAACTTACAGAGCCCTGCCTCTGCCTCCCAGGTGCTGGGATTAAAGGTGTGTACCACCCTTTTTACCACCACCCGGCTAAAAAATCCATATTCTTTTCATTTGTATTGGGGCATGTAGATGGGGGAAAGAGGACAATTTGTAGGACTCTTGATTCTCTCCTTCCTCCATGTGAGTCCCAGAGACCAAATTCGTGTTGTCAGGCTTGGAGGCAAGCACCTTTGCCCATTGAGCCATCTTACCAGTCCATGGTTTGTTTTTGGTGGTGGTTGTTGTTTTCTTCCTTTTTTTTCAGTTTATGGTTTTGTTTTGTTTAAAGACAGTGTTTCCCTGAGTTAGACATACTGGCCTTATACCTGTCGCCTTTAGCCTCCAAGTGCTGGGATTCCAGGTGTGTACCACACTACCGTTTCACCAGCTGTGACAAGGTCTTGGTGAAGGAGTGTGTCAACCGCCCTTGGTGTCTGGTTTGCGGTAGCACCGCTGCCTGCACCCTCTTTGCTCAGGCTTTTAGCCGTTGCTGTCTTTACTAGTTTCTCCAGCTTTCACTTCGCTCCCTCTCCAGCTGGTAGTGGTGGCCTCGATGTGGGACCTCTGTGTTCTTTCTGTCCTCCTTTCAGGCCTGCTCAGCTGACCACGGTTGGGAAACGCTGCTGCCTTTGGATCCAAGACCTCTGCATGGACCTCCAGAACTTGAAGCGTGTCCGTGATGAGCTCCGCTTCCGGGGAGTGAAGGGCACTACCGGCACCCAGGCCAGCTTCCTGCAGCTCTTCGAGGGGGACCACCAGAAGGTATTCTGACAGTTGAGCCAGCTCCAGGACCCACGTGGTGGGAGGAGAGAACCAGCTCCTGCAAGCTGGCCTGCTTCTGTGCTCGTGTCGTGAGTGCGTGTTTATGTACACACAAAATAAACGTATTTAAACAGTATAATAAAAATATACCCATACTGCATTCATTTCTTAATGTCCGAAAGTGACCTGAGGGACAGCTTAACTCCGTGGTACCAGCCCACAAGACAAGGCTGCCTCTGGCTTGATAGGACTGATTCAGAATGTGTCAGAAGCGGCCCAAGGCCCGGCTAGATGACCAGTCCAGGTAGACTCAGGCTGCACACCTACATTTTTTTTCTTCTTCCTTCCTTCCATTTAATTTTACTTTTATGTACATTGCTGTAAGGGTGTTAGATTCCCTGAAACTGGAGTTAAGTACAGTTGTGAGCTGCCATGTGGGTGCTGGGATTTAACCTGGGTCCTCTGGAAGAGGAACCAGTGCTCTTTTTTTATTTTGAGTTTTTCAAGACAGTGTTTCTGTGTGTAGCTTTGGCTGTCCTGGAACTCCTTGTACACCAAGCTGGCCTCAAACTCAGAGACCCTCCTGCCTCTGCCCCCCGAGAGCTGGGTTAAATCGTGGACCAGTGTTCAGCTTTTGAACAGCTGCATTTCTAACAGGATGTGTCCTGTCTTTCTTAAAGGTGGAGCAGCTGGACGAGATGGTGACAGAGAAGGCAGGGTTTAAGAGGTACATTCCTGGGGCAATGCTGGGTCTCTAGTTTCAACTGCTTGTGTGTGTGTGTGAATGAAAGTTTTACCTGCATGTATGTCTGTGTATCACATTTGCGCTTGTGGCTGGTGCCTGCAGAGGTCAGAAGAGGGCTTTGGAATCCCTGGAACTGGAGTTAGGGATGGTTGTGAGCCACTGTGTATGTCTGTGAATCAAACCCAGATCGTCTGTGAATCAAACCCAGATCCTCTGTGAGTACAACAGTATACTTACTGCCAAGACATCTCTCCTGTCCCTTACTTAGCTATTTTATTTATCTGGATGTTTTGTCTGTGTTTATGTCTGTATAGCATGTGTATGCAGTGCTCATGGAGGCCAGAAGGGAGTGTCAGATCCCTTGGGACTTGGCATTACAGACAGTTGTGAACTGCTGTGTAGGTGCTGGGTATCAAACCCCAGTCCCCTTCAAAAACAGCAACTGAAACTGGGCATAATGGTACACACCTTTAATCCTAACACTCAAGAGACAGAGGCAGGCAGACCTCTGAGTTCCAAGACAACAATGGCTACATAGTTATCTTACATACATAAGATCCTTTCTCAAAAAAAACAGAAAGAAAGAAGGAAAGAAAAGTCAGTAGGTGCTCTTAACCGCTGAGCCATCTTTCCAACCCCTAGGTTTCCTTATAGCAGCTTTGCACATATTGGTCTTCTGTTGCGGGTTTGTTTGTTTGAGATAAAGTCTCTCTTTGTAAAGCCCAGACTGAACTTGAATTCACCGAAGTCCTCCAGCCTCAGCTATGAGGACTACAGTCCTCAGTCCCCATGCCCGGATGTGTCAGTGGTTCTGTCTTTCCTCGGACACTCAGTGAGTAGCTGTGACTCTGGCCACCTATGTTGAGCTCTACCAGGCTCCTCCATGATTCCTTTTCCTGGGCACCTCATGGAGCTGCAGGGGACATGATGTTCTAGGTTCTGCCTCCTCTGCATAGCTGGGGATTATTAAACAGGAGAAAGAACTTTATTCAGAAGCCGGTTGCCTGCTGGGGCAACCTGAGGATTCCTGGAAAGCCAAGCCGTCACTTTGGGTTAGTTTTGGTTTGTCTACATCACAATATCTTTCTTTCTTTTTTTGTTTTGTTTTGTTTTGGTTTGGTTTTTTGTTTGTTTGTTTGTTTGTTTGTTTTTTGTTTAGATATGTAGTCTTGGCTGTTCTGTTGCTTGCTATGTAGACCAGACTGGTCTCAAACACAGAGATCTGTCTGCCTGCCTGCCTCTGCCTCCAGAGTGCTGGAATTAAAGGTGTGCACCACCATACCCAACTGACAGTCATTTTTTCTTTTTTGTTCAAGACACTGTTTCTCTGTGTGACCCTGGCTACTCTGGAACTAGCTTTCTAGACCAGGTTGGCCTTGAACTCACAAAGATCCATCTGCCTCTGCCTCCCGAGTACTGGGATTAAAGGTTGGTGCCACTACCACCCAGTGTTAGTCACATATATATTTTTTAAAAGATTTATTTATTTATTATGTATACAGTGTTCTGCTTACATGCCAGAAGAGGGCACCAGATCCCATTATAGATGGGTGTGAGCCACCATGTGGTTTCTGGGAATTGAACTCAGGACCTCTGGAAGAGGTCTGAGCCTCTGAGCCTTTTCTCCAGCCTGATAGTCACATATTTTAACATAGATCTCTTTTTTTATTTCAGAGCTTTCATCATCACAGGACAGACCTATACACGAAAAGTGGACATTGAAGTGCTATCTGTGCTGGCCAGCTTAGGGGCATCAGTGCACAAGGTAAGGGCGGCAGCTTGTAGGGACCCTCAGACAGACCAAAGTTTAAATTAACCCATATTTCTTATCTGTGCTCTGCCATGTGGCTTAGTACCTTTTCTCAGTATGGCATGCTCATCTTGCTTCTCCCTGTGTCCCACCTAGCTATCCTGTTCAGCTATTGGCCTATCCACTTATTTATTAAACCAATTCCACGACATAGTCACACAGTATAAAGAAATATTCCACAACACAAACTTTTAGTTAATCGTATCTCAGTACATTAGTCATGATAATTTGGGACCTATAAGGAAAGCCTTTAAATTGAGATGTGCCAAAGAGAAGGAAATTACTCCTACATCTACAGCATGGTCATCTGTTGAAGGATATGTTAAAATTAAAATTCTTCAGCCAGGCAAATAGTAGCATGGGCCTGTGATTCCATCACTTTAGAGGGAGAGGCAGAGTTGGTTCAAGGTCTTCCTTGGCTACATAGCAAGTTGAAAGCCATCCTGAGCTACTATGAGACCCTGTCTTAAAGAGAAAAAAAACCCACATAATCGGCTTGCTTTTCCATGATCTGTCCATGTTTCTTTCTCTTTTGCACTCAAGTCAGGGTGCTGCTCTGTAGCCCAGGCTAGCCTAAGATGACCCAGCCGCTGAGGTTATAACCACCACCACACTCGACTTCCTGACACCTGACAGTTTTTGGCTAAGAATGTCTCTGTTTCAGTTCTCTGGTACTTAGAACCGGGACCCTGTGTATTCCAGGCAAGTGCTGCAGCGCAGAGCCACCTCCCTAGTCTGCTCTTTGTATTTGTCGTCTCTGTTTTTTAGGCGCAAAGCCTGAGTAGAAACTCTGGGCTTCTAGGTGGGTAGGGCTGGCTTTGAACTCAGCAACAGCACATGTTAAGAGTTTATTACCTGCCTGGCAGTGGTGGCACGCATTCAATCCCAGCACCCAGGAGGCAGAGGCAGGTGCTGATCTCTGATTTCAAGGCCAGCCTGGTCTACAGAGTGAGTTCCAGAACAGCCAGGGCTACACAGAGAAACCCTGTCTCAGAAACAAGCAAACCGAGAAAGAGCTTAGCACGTGTGTGGCGCCTGGCCTGACCCCAGGTCCCCTGTGTAGCAAGCATGGAATGGTGCCTGGTCTGCCTCCCCAGATTTGCACTGACATACGTCTCCTGGCGAACCTGAAGGAGATGGAGGAGCCCTTTGAGAAACAGCAGATTGGTGAGTGTGAAGTAGCGGCTGCTGGAGAGATGTGCGGGTCTCCCCTGCTGGAGAGACGTGTGGGTCTCCCCTGCCGGAGAGGCATGTGGGTATCCCCTGCCAGAGAGACGTGTGGCTCTCCCCTGCCGGAGAGGCGTGTGGGTATCCCCTGCCGGAGAGATGTGCGGGTCTCCCCTGCCCGAGAGACGTGTGGGTCTCCCCTGCCGTGTGGGTATCCCCTGCCCGAGAGGCGTGTGGATATCTCCATGACTTCTCAGGTGCACGTAGCAGATGCTTGTGCATTTGCTATTCCTAGATGCCTTTCTGCCTTTGCATCCTGTCCTCTTCTCTGGGCAGGCTCGAGTGCGATGCCATACAAGCGGAACCCCATGCGCTCCGAGCGTTGCTGCAGCCTGGCCCGTCACCTAATGGCCCTTGTCATGGACCCGCTACAGACAGCTGCTGTGCAGTGGTTCGAGCGCACACTGGATGACAGTGCCAACAGGTCAGTGCCTGGGACAACACTCGCAGCACAGTGGGAGGAAGACTAGAGGAAAGAAGCAAAACGCAGATTTGAACATGTCTGCTTTCTTCCGTATCCTCAAGAAGCCTCGACTGGAGCAGTTTGCTTGATGCTCCACCCCTAGTGCAGTGATTGAAGACTGCAGGCAGCCTTCCTAAAGGAGGCGGTGGCTTACAACTTAGGAAGAAAGTGTTAAGATGTAGCTCATTGGTAGAGTGCTTGCCCAGTATGCACAAAGCCTATGATTCGATTCCCATCACCACCTAGACATGGTGGCACACACCTGTAGATCCAGCTCTCTGTGGGGACAGGGTTGGAGGCAAGAACATTAGAAATTCAAGGAACGCCATTCTCCTAGGGAGTCAGCGTCCACCCTTGTTGGAGGGAGGTTGCTTGTTGGTTCCCAGCTGCCCACTTGTTGGTTCGCAGCTGCCCGGCTAGCTTAGACCCAAAATAATCACACAGAAACTGTATTATTTAAATCATTCCTTGGCCCATTAGCTCTAGCTTCTTATTGGCTAACTCTTATATTAATTTAACCCATTTCTATTAATCTGTATATTGCCACGTGGCTGTGGCTTACCAAATAAAGTTCCCAGCGTCTATCTCCAGCAGCTCCATGGCTTCTCTCTGACTCCGCCTTTCTTTCTCCCAGCATACAGCCTAGCTTTCCCTGCCTAGTTCTGGTCTTCCCTGCCATAGGCTCAGAGCAGTTCTTTATTCATTAACCAATAAAAGCAACACATAGACAGAAGGACCTCCCACACCACACCCTGGCCTGGAGACCCTGTCTCAAAGGAAAGGAGACATGGGCACTTAAAGGGTGATCAGGAGCACACACAGACACAGCAGGAGGTTATACGGAGCCCTTTTGGCTAAGGTATGAGCACAGGTAGCAGCTAGTCTATGGAGAGTCTAAAAGCCCCAAGAGGAGTCTTAGCTTTGCTGTGAAAACCTGTTTGTTCATGTCCTCCTGTCTATTTTATATTTTTTAAATTTAGGTTATTTTATGTGTATGAGTATTTTGCATACATGTATATGTGTTATGTGTGCACCATGCATGTCTGGTGCCCACAGAGTTCAGACAAGGCTACTGGATTCCCTGGTGCGGGAGTTAAGTGTGGTTGGAAGCTGGGCATGTGGTGCTGGGAACTGAACCCAGGTTCTTGTAAGAGCAACAAGCACTTCTTAAAAAAAAAATTTATAATTTATTTATTTTTATTTTATGTGCATCAGTACTTTGCCTGCATGTATGTCGGTGTGAGGGTATCAAATCTTGGGGTTACAGACAGTTTTAAGCTGCCATGTGGGTGCTGGGAATTCAACTGTGGTCCTCTGGAAAAGCAGCCAGTGCTCTTAACCACTGATCCATCTCTCCAGCCCCTGCAGCAAGCACTCTTAACAGCTAAACCATCTCCTGTATACTGTAAATGATCTGTAGACTGCACCTCATACCTGATCCTGTGTAAATGCGGGGTGAATAATTGCTGTTACTGTGGTAGTTGGGGAGGGAAAGAAACTGACTGCCCAGCAGTTTATTTTTCCAAACGTTATCAACCTGTGGCTAAGAGAAGGCGTGGGTGTTAAGCTCTCAGATACAGAAGGCCGTGGTAGAAGGTAAAACCGAATTCAGATTGCCTGCTGAAATTCCCCAGTGTCAGTTAGCGAGTCTTGTGTGCAGGAGGCACTGAACGAGGTAGACCACTGCAGGGGTCCAAGCCCACCCGGGCCCAGTGGCCATGCGGGTGGAAAAGAAGGATACGAGTGGAGGCAGCCAACAGGCCAGCCTAGGTGAGAACTTGGTGAGTGGGGTGCTCCTGATAGCTACTGAGAAAAGACCTGCTGCAGCGGGGAGCAGCTTGGTAGTGGTGAGCAAGAGCCAGTGAGGGGATGGCTAGGTTGATGCTGGAGTCTGAGGTAGAGCCTCACGTGTAAGGTCTGCTGCTTGTGCAGACGGTATGGACTCGAAGTGAAGATAAGAGCGTTGTGAGGACACTGGGGTGAGCGACATCATGAGACTGAAGGAAACTGCCCAGCGTACATAAGGCATGAGAAGTCAATAGGGCAGCTTCTTGGACACGCCTTGTGTGTCTCTGACGTTTGATTAACTGAATGCGTTTGTTTTGTAGACGGCTCTGTTTGGCGGAAGCGTTTCTCACTGCAGATACTGTGTTAAATACCCTGCAGAACATTTCTGAAGGACTGGTGGTATACCCCAAAGTAAGAGGCATTGGAAATGGGAAGGGGAGTGCTCCGGAAGGAATGTACTGGGGTGCTATACTCTGGCCCAGGGGAGCTCTTCTACCAGACCTCGTTCTTGAGTCCAAAACAGCAGAGGGAAGCAGATCTGTTTAGTTCATAGACACGCATACAGACCGAGAAAACACTGGCTTGTCTTGACTTGAGCAGCGGTAGCCAGGCAGAGACAGTGGCACTAGTCACCTTGTTTTTGTTGTTTTGTTTTATGTGCTTTTTGTCGTGGTTGGTTGGTTGGCTTTTATTTTTTGAGATTGGGGCTCACTATGTAGTCCAGGTTGGCCTTAAACTCACATAGAGTGTCCTGCCTCTGCCTCCTGGATGCTGGGGTTAAAGGCATGCAGCTCCACACCTGGCCGTTTGCTTTGTTCTAGGTACCTGACCAGGTGGGGTCTTCTCCATCACATACTCGTTGAAATTCAGCAAGTGGAGGGAGGGTGGTCGTGAGCAACCTCTGGGAGCCCAGCCCAGGTCCTGTGCAGGAGCAAGAAGTACTCCTGGGCCAGCTCGCCACCCAGATTGGTAGTCTCCCATGAAGCTGCTTCTGAGAGTTTACTTAAAGACTTTTTCATTTTTTTAAAGAAGGGGGGGGGGCAAAATCTAAATTTGTAAGAAAATTGAGAAATGCGATCCTGAGTAAAGCATTGCACCCCCCATCTCTGTAAACAGTGGCAGTTCGTAGCCCTCCTGTGCATTTTCTGACCTACTGGGCATACTCTGTGGCTTCATAATGTTAAACATCTGTCTTGCCCCTTCTAGGTTATTGAACGGCGCATTCGGCAAGAGCTGCCTTTCATGGCCACAGAGAACATCATCATGGCAATGGTCAAAGCTGGGGGCAGCCGACAGGTATGCTAACAGGTGAATCAAGCTGGGTACAGTGGCACACACCTCTGATCCCAGCGCTCAGGCGGCAGAGGCAGGTGGATCTCTGAGAGTTCAGGGATAGCCAGGGCTACATAGATAGACTCCCCTCCCCTCAAAAGAAAAAGAAGTGATTCAGAAAAAAAGTTGTCATTGGATCTGAATCTGTTGGGACTGAGGTGGAAGCAAGAACCAGTGGCTCACAAGGTTGTGGAGAGGAGGAGCACCCATCTCAAGAGTGTCCTTCAGCTGGGGTCACAGTAGAGGCCATGGAGGAATCACTCTGGAATAGCCACCTCAGCAGGCGGAGAGGTCCTATTGCGAAGAGTCCGACTGAGGTCTAAACACCCGGGGATGATGTGCTGATACCACCTCACTCTCTCCCCAGGATTGCCATGAGAAGATCAGAGTGCTCTCCCAGCAGGCAGCTGCCGTGGTTAAGCAGGAAGGGGGCGACAATGACCTCATAGAGCGCATTCGGGCAGATGCCTACTTCAGCCCCATCCACTCCCAGTTGGAGCGTCTGTTGGACCCCTCTTCTTTCACTGGCCGAGCACCCCAGCAGGTAACTGTTCGGTTGGGCACTCTCAGTACTACTGTCTCTACAGTGCTGGTTGCAGAGTCTGGGCCTCTGGGGCTGTGGGAGGAATGCGAGAGGGGCCACCTAGAGAGGCTAAAAAGTATAGTAGAGGTTGGGCCTTTAATTCCAGCCTGGGGAACATAGTGAGTTCTAGAAGCTCTAGGGGTTGCATATATGTGTAAAGAGACCCTGCCTCAAAACAAACAAACAAAAAAAGTAGAGACCTCCCCACCCCAAGGATCTCAGAATTCTGTCTCACGGTGCATGGCAGCCAGTCCATAAGCATGAACAGAACACTCCCATCCAGCTGTTTGAAATGAAGAGTTAGTTTTTGTTTTGTTTTTCTCAAAGATCAGAACCATGCTTTTTTTGTTTAACAAGGTGGGAATATTTAGGCCACAAGGGCTTATGTCACAAAAGCCCAAATTCTTTCCCGTCCAACTCCACAGGATTCAGTGCATTTTTAGCTTCCGTGGGCAGGGCAGCCACACCCACATGCAATACAGAGAGCCAAGTGATTAAATGCAAACAGAATCATTTCTCGGAGGACTTCAGCCAAGGTAATGGTCAGTGTAGGCAAGGGGAAGAGAGTTAATCCTTTGGGAACCGGTCAGATGGGACTCGGGCAGAGGATGGGGAAATCTGATTGCCTGGCAGACTTTAGAGAGACACGCTTGTGTCTGGGAGACCTAGCCAATAGGCGGCTGAGGACAGCACATGCTCAGTGGAGGCAACTTTAGCAGGCTCAGCCTTAGGGCTTGGACTGGTTTGAGGAAGGTTTAACGTTTCCTTTTGTCTCGTGTTTGCTCACCCTGGCAGGTCCACAGATTTCTAGAAGAGGAGGTACATCCCCTGCTAAAGCCCTACGGGAGTGTGATGGAGGTGAAAGCAGAGCTGAGTCTGTAGAAGACATGCAAAGATTATTGGGACTTCGCTAATTGTATTGTGGAGAAATTGAATTCTGAAGTGCCTCCTTTACCTCAAGAATGTACATTGAGAGCAGGACAGTGGTAGCACATGCCTTTAATCCCTGCACTCAGGAAGCAGAAATAGGTAGATCTTTGAGTTCAAAGCCAGTTTGATCTATAGAGCTAGTTCCAGGACAGCCAGGGCTACACAGAGAAAACTCTGTCTCAAAAAAATATATACACACACACACACACACACACACACATTAAATTTGTTGTTGCCTAGGGTTCACAATAGACAGGTGTACATTTTTGTTGGTTTTTTTGTTTTTGTTTTTGTTTTTCCTGAGACCGTGTCTCATTATGTATCCCTGACTGGCCTGGAACAGAGATCCCCCTACCTCTGTCTCCCCAGTAGGGATTAAAGGTGTGCACCACCATGCTTGAATGTTTTCTTCATTCTTTACAGCAGCATAATCTTGCAGAGTAATGTAATTTAGACTCACATAGTTCCCAGTTGCAGTGTTTTCTGACTTACTGTGAGACTATGTCCCCATAAGTAAAAACTTCTAAGTAAAAACATGAGTCTAGTTCACCAATCAAATATTGTTACATGCTCATAACACTGACAGTCGCTTTTAGTCAGAGAAGATTGTCTGTCACAAGTCCTATTAGTAATACAGTCAGATGTCTGGTGTAGTGTCCTGAGTCCTGTGCGGGCACACTTAGCTACACACTCTTCTTCTATAGTCCTTTTCAGGTGTTCAGTGGATTGTAAAGGAGCAAGGAATCCTGGTCCCGTGAAAATGGGTTTAAATAGAAAAATCACCTGGACCCAGTGGTTCAGAATTATCAGATACCTTGATTTCAGTTCTTTTTTTACTGAGATTAAGTCATGATGTTTGTAGCTAAAGAACAGGAAAGAATGGGTGCTGTTGGGCCCTTCAGCTCAGGTTGTGCCTATTTCAGTTTTTGGAGAGGCTTGCTTATCAGGGATGTGCTAATGAATAAATGGATTGCGTCATGGCATGTGCCAGTCTTTGATCTTTGTTAAGAAGATTGGTAGCTGTTTAGACAGGCTAGTCAAAGACTGAGGTCTTAGTTGCCCGGCCGGAAGGGGAATATTATGTGCAACCTTGCTTCAGGCTGCATGTTTTGGTGTAGATGAAAACAAAGGGCTAGAGAGATGCTCAGCTAGGAAAAGCCAGCCTGGTCTACACAGTTAGACAGTGAGGGTCAGGCCAGTCCAGGCCAGCCTTGTCTACACATTTAGACAGTGAGGGTCAGGCCAGTCCTGGCTACACAGAGGAACCCTGCCTACAAAACAAACATGAAGATTTTGTTTATCAGATTTTTAGTTGACAAAAACTAGGATAATTAACCAACTTGGTAATAACCGAGATTTCATCTGGTAAAGTAAATGTAAACAAATCGATCTTAAATTCTGTAAGAGCCAGAACTAAGTTCTGGGATACATTGTGGTAATGGTGTCCAGAAAGGTCACCAGATCCTACGCCACACTCAGTATTATGTTCAGTCTTAAATATGTCTAAAGAGAAACATCCAGCCTCTAGACCCCAGTGTCTCATGAGGAGCGCTGGAGTCCGAGATTCAGTGTGTGTGGACATCTCCAGGTTGGCCGTGAGCTTGTGCCCCAGCCTCCAGGGTGTGGTGATGGCAAGTGTGCTACACCACACGCCACAACCCCGGCTATCAACACTTTAGATACTGTGTAGTAGAAGAATGACATCGTGATCTGTTGTCCAACAAGAAACCCTGAGGTCAGTATTGTCACCTGTGTGAGAGTGGCCCACAGCCCACCTGCTGTCCAGGAAGGAACTGGAGGACAGCCTTGTTGTCAAGGGTGTTTGAGGGAGGGAAGTCTGGGCCGTTCCAGTTGTGCTTGTAAGTATCCAGAATCTGGACATGCTGCCTCACTCAGCCTTGTCATCCAGCACTTGGGAGACTGAGGCAGGGTGATTGTCGTGGGGACAGTTTCAGGCTGGATGATATACAGAGCGAGACAGTAGGGTTTTTTTTGGTTTTTGGTTTTTGTTTTTTTAAATGGAGCCAGAAATTGATTGGGACCGGGTGGTAGTGGTGCACACCTTTAATCCCAGCACTTGGGAGGCAAAGGCAGGCGGATACCTATGAGTTCAGGGTCAGCCTGGTCTACAAGAACTGGTTTCAGGACAGGCTCCAGAGCTACAGAGACAGCTGGTCTCAAAAAGCCAAAATTAAATAAATAAAACAGAAATTGGTTGGGGTGGCTCAGTGATCCTTAGTATGCACAGGGTCCTAGACTTGGTTCCCCACAATAAAAGCCAGAAGTGAAGAGCTTCTATTGGAAAGGAAAGGGGCAGCTGTCAAACCGCCAAACCGACGTCTCCATACAGCTTCAGAGCAACAAGCACGAGCCACAGAGTTATGCTCAGCTCGTCCAGGAAAATGCATTTGTTTGTGTGCGCTGGGTGTGGGGCTGCGCATGTGTGTGGAGGTCAGTGATTGGCACTGGGTGTCTGTCTCTCCCCACCTGTTTTTGAGACAGAGCCTTATGGAACCTAATGCTTGTCCTCTTTCCCTGATTGACCGCCTAGCAAGTTCCCAGAGTCTGCCTGGGAACTACCTGGCATTGCCGAGTACACACTACTGTGCCTGGCTTTTTTGTGAGAGCCGAGGGTCCAAATTCAGGTCTTCACGCTCGCACAGTGTGGGAGGGTCTGTAAACGCCACGGCCAGCAAAGTGTCAGTCTGTGAAGCAAGAAGGAAATCGCTTCAACACGACTCAGTAGCCTGTGTTGGTTCAGACTTCGAGTCTGACCCTGGGCCGTTTATCGTAGGCATATTTAAATACAGCACAACTTAGAAAAGTTTCCTGGCAATAACTCAGCCCCGTGTGCACGATAAAGTTTAAAGCGTGGCAACATCAGAAGTCTTCAGGTCAGGAGAGACGACTCGGGTTAAGAGCATTGGCTGCTTTTCCAGAAGTCCTGAGTTCTATCCCCAACAGCCACATGGTGGCTCACAACCTTCAGTAATGAGATCCGGTGCCCTCTTCTGGCCTGTGGACATACATTCAGGCAGAACACTGTATACATAATAAATAGTAAATTAAAAACAACAACAACAAAAACCTTTACAAAGTACATAATGGGCTCTTTTTCAATGTTAAGGTCTTAGGGAGTCTCTGGCATGATCTTCGTCATTTAAGTAGAGCAAAGGTCATCAGGCCATGAACCACCTCTGGTCCTATTTGTAAAGTTCATGTGACTTCTGCCATAGAGATGGGTTCTCTGTATTGCCTGGAGAACAGTGCTCAAGATGAGGGTCTGGGGAGGATGCCTGAGATACACGCAGGGGTCTGGGGGAGCCAGGTGTGCAGGGCTCACAGTCTGTTAGCCAGTCCATTCCCAGTCTTCAGGGCAGAAAACAGACATCTTCAAAGAGACAACCCTGTGTATTTAACATTTCTGGCTTCCCCAGTGCTTGTCTGTGAGCACAAGGACCTCTGTCCCCTGCAGAGTGGTAAGTGCTTTTAACTACTGGGCTGTCACCAACTTTCCGTTTTATTTTTTGAACTCACTGATCAGGCTAGAGTGACTGTCTGCCCAACAAGCCCAAGGGTCCCCCCTCCTTATGTCTTCTCCCCACTGGGATTATAGGAACCCACCACCATGCTTGTCTTTTCATGTGGGTTTGGGGGCTCAAACTTGGGTCCTTGTGTCTGTATCTTAAGCATCTGTCTCGCTGGCCTAGAATATGCATTTGTCAGCCTCTTGAACACCGCAGCTGTGTCTTCTTTTGCTCCGCCTCCCTCTTGAAGGTCTCTGTGGTGCCCCGGCAGGTCTCCAAGTCTTATGCTCCGTAATCCTGACCCAGCTTCCTCAGTAGTTGGGACTTTTTGTGTACACTACCACTCAGGGCTTCCTCTTGAAAAGATACTGAAGGAGCCCTGCATTTCAGCCACTCAGAAGGATGGGTGTTGACAGCCTGCTTGGGCTACAGGTTTAAAGCCAGCCTGGGAAACGAGACAACAGGATGTCGCTCAGTTGATAGCGCACTCGTGTAGCATACCAGAAGCCTTGGTTTGATCCTCAGCACAGCGTAAACTGGGCATGGTGGGACACATTTGCAATCCTAACAATCAGCCTGTGATACAAGCGGCTTTGTCTCAAAAAGGAGTAGGGGTGGGGGGCATGTGAGGTAGCTCAGGGGTGAAGAAACTTGCTACCAAGCCTGGCAACCTAAGTTCAATCCCCAGGATCCACATGGAGGAAGATTTGGACATGAATACCTTGGCACACATAAACATACATAAACACATCACAGCACAAAAATAGGTAAAATATAATTAAAATAGAAAAAGATTAGGGGATCAGCCGTGGTCCAGAACTTTAACCCAGAACTAGGGAAGCAGAGGTGGGTGGATCTCTGTAAATTCAAGGCCAGCCTAATCTACATAGCGATTCCAGGTCACCCAGGATACATTGAGAACCTGTCTCAAAAAGAGAGAGGGAGAGGGGCTGGAGAAATGGCTCAATGGTTAAGAGCATTGCCTGCTCTTCCAAAGGTCCTGAGTTCAATTCCCAGCAACCACATGGTGGCTCACAGTCATCTGTAATGAGGTGTGGTGCCCTCTTCTGGCTTGCAAACATATACACAGACAGAATATGATATACATAATAAATAAATATTTAAAAACAAAAAACAAAAAGAGAGGGAGATTTTGAGAAATCAGGGATAAGGGGGAGGGGCACTTCAGTTACAAACTGGAGGCCCCTGTTGAGTCCCCTGTCTGACATTTGAACTACAGTGTCTACAGAAAGAACTTGATCTCTGCCCTGATTTTGGCACTCTGCCCTGAAAGCTGCTCCAAGGAATACACCAGGCACACTGGGGACCTTAAATGCCAGGGATTTGAGCTAATTTCTTCACAGAAGATAAGGAAACAGGATCGGCTTGCTCAGTTAGACTTGTGTGGTGACGGCTGGTTTGGCCTGTTTCTCTTGAGTACTTTGGGTGGGTTTGCGTGTCCCTGAGCTCTTGTTCCCCGTGTTTACATACTACACACTTGTGCTTAGACTCTTAGGTGCCCTCAGTCTTTCCCCTGTGACGTCTAATTGGAGCTACAGGTTTGCCGGAAGAGAAAAACTTGTACTTTCTCTAAAATCGGATTTACGATCAGCATGTGTTGAAAGCCCTGATCAGAATCACACCGGACACCAGAGGTTGGGCAGATCAAAGGACACAGGCTTCCTGTCCAGCTGCAAACAGCTGGGAGCTTGTTGATATCAAAGCTCATCTCTGTTATTTGCAAATATATCCTTAAGTGGAAACATGGTAGCAGAGTCTAGACTGGCATAGATCCTGAGCATCTGCGGGGTCAAGTGATCTGGAGCTGTACACAGGGATCTGTCACAAAAGATACCAGAAAACACCATGTCCTGGGGCAGGAGAGGTGAGTCATGGGTGAACAGAACATGTCCTGTTCAAGCATGAGGATCCAGGTTCAGATCCCAGTATGCACTTTTTGTTTTGTTTTTGTTTTTTAAGACAAGGTTTCTTTCTCTCCCTGGCTGTCATGGGACTTCCTCTGTGGATGATGCTGGCCTCGAACTCAGAGATCTGACTGCCTCTGCTTTCCAAGTGCTGGGATTAAAGGCACGTGCCACCATTGCTCAGACAGTACCTCATTTTTAAAAAGCTGAGTGCGGCCACATGTGGTTGTAACCCCAGCACTGTGGGGAACAGACAGGAGGATCCATAGGTTCAGTGAGAAGCTTTTCCCAGAGGACTAAAATGGAGAATAGATTAAGACTCATGCTAACCTCGTCTAGCCTGCCATGTGTATACATAGATGCTCACACCTGCACACGTGCCCATCACCACACACACACATGCATACACACAAGATGAGAATAAAAGAAATACCATATTTCTTCCCAAGCTCAGCAGGGCTCACCAGCCTTTCGGTGTGATCAGCGAGAAGCAAGGCTGGCTGAGTTTGCTTTGCCTGCCATGAAGAGACT